TTTCCAGCTACAATAGCCATTTACAACATGAACAATGTCTACACTGTATTTCTGATCAATTTGATGTTATTTTAATGGACAAAAAAATTGCTTTTCTTTCGATAACAAGGACATTTCTAAGTGACCCCAAACTTTTGAACGGTAGTCTATTTCTGCTTATAATTTGAGACATTTTGGTAGGCTATTTGTTAGTTAACTTGTCTATAATTATTAGATACATGTAGCTTCTCTTTTCTCATTATATGTTGCCCTAGAATACTAAATAAACCCTTGCTCAACAGAATAATGTAATAGATAGATAGAATGAATGCTTCAATCTAGTTGACATCGGTAAAGCTTTCTCTGTCATGTTTCGCGGAGCAAAGACATTTAGGCACTGGGGAGAAAATACAATAACGCAAAAAAGAAACGGGAAGGATTTTCTATGCAAAATGTCCAAATGACATCAGTTTGACCAGTTGTAAGGAAAAATAAAGCTGTGGAAACAACCCAACATGTTTCTGCTAAGATTTCAGTTTCGATGCATATTTTATGTGGTTGAAATACTATCAGCTTTTATGATGAAGACAGCACCTCTACATATGGTATCTAACTGAGCATTAGATTCTCACAAGATGCAGAAATAAATAAATCATATTTCTCCACTCCTGTTCCCAAGTCAAAATGTTGCCTACATTTGGTGTATCATTTTACTCCAAGAAATGCTTAATTCTGCAGGAGTTATTATTAAGGCTATGTGAGAGGGTATAAACCTACAGTCAGTGACCAAATTTCAGTTTCCATTTAACCTACAGTGGGGAAAAAAAGTATTTAGTCAGCCACCAATTGTGCAAGTTCTCCAACTTAAAAAGATGAGAGAGGCCTGTAATTTTCATCATAGGTACACGTCAACTATGACAGACAAAATGAGATTTTTTTTCTCCAGAAAATCACATTGTAGGATTTTTAATGAATTTATTTGCAAATTATGGTGGAAAATAAGTATTTGGTCAATAACAAAAGTTTCTCAATACTTTGTTATATACCCTTTGTTGGCAATGACACAGGTCAAACGTTTTCTGTAAGTCTTCACAAGGTTTTCACACACTGTTGCTGGTATTTTGGCCCATTCCTCCATGCAGATCTCCTCTAGAGCAGTGATGTTTTGGGGCTGTCGCTGGGCAACACGGACTTTCAACTCCCTCCAAAGATTTTCTATGGGGTTGAGATCTGGAGACTGGCTAGGCCACTCCAGGACCTTGAAATGCTTCTTACGAAGCCACTCCTTCGTTGCCCGGGCGGTGTGTTTGGGATCATTGTCATGCTGAAAGACCCAGCCACGTTTAATCTTCAATGCCCTTGCTGATGGAAGGAGGTTTTCACTCAAAATCTCACGATACATGGCCCCATTCATTCTTTCCTATACACGGATCAGTCGTCCTGGTCCCTTTGCAGAAAAACAGCCCCAAAGCATGATGTTTCCACCCCCATGCTTCACAGTAGGTATGGTGTTCTTTGGATGCAACTCAGCATTCTTTGTCCTCCAAACACGACGAGTTGAGTTTTTACCTAAAAGTTATATTTTGGTTTCATCTGACCATATGACATTCTCCCAATCCTCTTCTGGATCATCCAAATGCACTCTAGCAAACTTCAGACGGGCCTGGACATGTACTGGCTTAAGCAGGGGGACACGTCTGGCACTGCAGGATTTGAGTCCCTGGTGGCGTAGTGTGTTACTGATGGTAGGCTTTGTTACTTTGGTCCCAGCTCTCTGCAGGTCATTCACTAGGTCCCCCCGTGTGGTTCTGGGATTTTTGCTCACCGTTCTTGTGATCATTTTGGCCCCATGAGGTGAGATCTTGCGTGGAGCCCCAGATCGAGGGAGATTATCAGTGGTCTTGTATTGTCACGCCCTGACTCTGGGGACTCGTATTTGTTGAGTCAGGGTGTGTATTTTCTGTGTGGTATGTTCTATGTTGTATTTTCTAGGTTTAGATCTAGATCGTCTAGATCTATGTTGGCCGGTGTGGTTCCCAATCAGAGGCAGCTGTCGCTCGTTGTCTCTGATTGGGGACCATACTTAGGTAGCCTATTGGCACTAGTGGGTTGTGGGATCTTGTTCCAGTTAAGGTATGTTGTGCTGCCTTGGACTTCACGTTTCGTTTTGTTTGTTATTTTGTCGTTGTGTTTAATATTGAATAAACATGTACGCATATCACGCTGCGCCTTGGTCCGTCCCGTCGATGAACGAACGTGACATGTATGTCTTCCATTTCCTAATAATTGCTCTCACAGTTGATTTCTTCAAACCAAGCTGCTTACCTATTGCAGATTCAGTCTTCCCAGCCTGGTGCAGGTCTACAATTTTGTTTCTGGTGTCCTTTGACAGCTCTTTGGTCTTGGCCATAGTGGAGTTTGGAGTGTGACTGTTTGAGGTTGTGGACAGGTGTCTTTTATACTGATAACAAGTTCAAACAGGTGCCATTAATACAGGTAACGAGTTGAGGACAGAGGAGCCTCTTAAAGAAGAAGTTACAGGTCTGTGAGAGCCAGAAATCTTGCTTGTTTGTAGGTGACCAAATACTTATTTTCCACCATATTTTGCAAATAAATTCATAAAAAATCCTACAATGTGATTTTCTGGATTTTCTTTTCTCAATTTGTCTGTCATAGTTGACGTGTACCTATGATGAAAATTACAGGCCTCTCTCATCTTTTTAAGTGGGAGAACTTGCACAATTGGTGCCTGACTAAATACTGTTTTCCCCCACTGTAGCCTAATAAGCAAATCATTCTAAAACACTGAGAAATATGGACATTTCATCAATTACAAATGACATGACCCTCTCCTGGACTAGATTTAAAAAAGACTAAACCCTCCCCTTGACTGAAATTGAAAAAGCATGACACTCCCCCATTTTACTCCAGGTATCATTATGTACTAAACATTTTGATCCATCCCTAAGGCTGCCCTGATCTCACAACCATGACAGTGACTGCTGTGCTACAGTATCTATCAGGGTTATATTACCCAGAGATTACCCTGGGCTGCATGAAGGACCTTATTAAAAACAGTTCGTTATTGTAGTAATGTGTACAAGCAAGCCTACAAATGTACCTGTTTTAAACCTGTTTTAGACTATAATTCCCAGCCAGGATCTAACTTTTAAGTAATGACATCCAGTTAGTTGGGAAGAAGAGCCTTTTGAGGAAACTTGTCAGATGATGTGAGTTGCCTGTGTTGAGTTTGATGCCTTTGAGCCAATTCTGTGTGAGAGTGAGACTGCCATAACTCTATTTTAGGCCATAAGCAATTGACAGGACAAACATTTTCCAAAATGTGTTTTAATCCCTGAAAAAAGGACCAAAACACAGACATTGTAATAAAACAGCACAGATAATCTTGACTAGAGTGTCCTGGTTTCACTGACAGTCCATGGTTAGTCTGTCTAGTTACCTCATCATCATTTCCACCATGCACCCATGTTTTCAGGTGTATGATCTGTGATATGTGCTCCTCTCTTGTGCTCAATTGTGCATGTGTAAGAGAAGGAACCTGAAATGGATAGGCAATCCAGCACAGCTCATCATCATTAGGGGAGACCGGGGTAAGGTTGTCACACCTTTTACTCTTGTGTGTATTTCTCAGCACCAGTATATCTTACAAGACTCTTTTCAATATTAGGAGAAAGACCAAGGTCTTGGGTTGAAATGGAGAAAGTTTTTTATCCTCATAAATTATTCCAACATGGAGTTATATGTCCATCAAACACACTAGCGGGGTTGGATGTCACACCCACTGGGCACAGACGTCAATTCAGCGTCTATTCAACGTAATTTCATTGAAATGATGTGGAAACAATGTTGATTCAACCAGTGTGTGCCCAGTGGGACAGTATGGAATTGGTTGTTTGCTAGTAGCTTATGCCTTTTGTAACAGGAAATGAAGCAATATAGTATACAGTCTTAGAAATAGCCTTTCTTGGGTCAAACAATATTTCTAACAAAATTCAGCATTTTATGCCGTGAGAATAAAATATGGCATTTTGAGTAAATTTGTGTGTGTATGCGTGTGTTTGCACCCACGTGCGTGTGTGGCAGAAAAAAATATGTGTGTGAGGGAGAGGCTACGAAAGGAGCTCTTTATAGCACAAGCACAAAAGAGCTTGGGATTTATTATAATGGAGTTGATAGTGACAACCAACCCCAACCAGCTCCCCAAAGCTAATTAAGATGCTGGTTACCACATGACTTGACCTTGGAACTCATAAATATGTTTGACATATAGCTCTCCCTTTCCTCTTTTCAACAAACATAATTGTTCATGGATACTCCCACAATTCAAACATTTACAAAGAAAATACCAATATATATATATATATATTTTACTTCCACCTATGAAAAACAAAAATTCCCCTCACCTCAATGTTTTGTCATGCTGACATGAACTGACCAGCTGGATAAATTCCTTCAAATAATTCACACATTTTTACCTTAAATTACATAGTGCCATTTAGATTGGGAGTAATAGCACTGTGACAACCAACCCGTGAGACAACCAACCCCGGTCTCCCTTACACACACACAAAACCCCACAACAAACATACATTAACTGATATAGAGCAGATCCTGAACAACCTTTCAAAATAACACACATACACAAACACACAATCAAATTAAAAACTGATGGAAGGCCAACAGTATGAAGGCCTGCTGATCTTGGCTGATAAGAGATGCAGACTTTGTCATCACTTCATGTGTCCTTCAGTTCGACTGATTGTTGAGAATCTTTAAATCACATTTCCCTGCTGTTCCCTCCTCTAGGCCTTACTCTTCTCCCTCTGCTTATTCAAGTATGAACACACTCCCCCTGCTAAGTCTCTTCTACACATTCCTGCCCAGACCTCCCACAGACTTTTTCCTCTCAGCTGTTCCAGTTGTATCCACCCTCCTTCCTCTGGGCTTCCCTTCCTCTTTTTCTGCTGTTCCGGCTGTGGCTTCCCTCCCACCTCAGTCTCTCACTGGCTGTTGCAGACGGTGCCTCCCAATTTGCCCCCGGCAGCGGCCTTCTTGCGCCTCTTGTTGAGCAGAGGGTTGCTGGAAGTGTCCAGGTCTTTGATCTTCACCTGGTCGTAATCCACACGCATGGTGGCCAAAGCACTGGTCATCTCCTCCTGGAGCACACAGAGCGTAAGGAGTTAGGGAGAGAGGGAGGGTGGGAAATAGAGAAGAAAGAGAGAGAGAAAAATAACAAGAATCAGAGTGAGGGAGGTTGTATTTTATGACAGATAAATAGGAGAAGGTAGATAGGCAGAAGATAAACCTCTGCTCTGAATATACAGCATAATAAAGAGGAGGGAATAAGCCCTCTGTTAATGAACATGGCCTCAGACCTGACTGTGATGTCTGCCTCCACTTCTGGAAGGTCAACCACTCCAGGGTCATCTCCAAAGTTTGGGAGCAATTCCATTTCACATGAATTCCACAAAAAGACAGAAATTCCACTCATTTTGAGATCTCCATGGGAACACCATGTGTAATTCTCATCATATCAACCGTATTTCAAATGTGGTCTGGATGTAAACTCAATGGCGCCGGAGGGGATGGCTGCCGTTTTACGGGCTCCTAACCATCTGTGCTATTTTGTGTGTTTTTCCGCATTGTTTGTAACTTATTTTGTACATAATGTTGCTGCTACTGTCTCTTATGACCGAAAAGAGCTTCTGGATATCAGAACAGTGATTACTCACCTCGACCTGGACTACGTTTTTTCTTTAATGAGTCCGACGCGAAGGCTTCTCCGAGACCAGGCCCAAATCCCCATCATTCACGTGAAGAAAATATGGAAATACAGGGGGCGGAGATCGGGGTGCCTTGTGAGAATTCATCGGCGAGTGGGTAACCCGCCTCTACCATTGTCAGGAGTGCTGTATGTGGAAGGTGCGGGAATCAGGCGCAGGACACAGAAGCTTCGTTCAACAGTCTTTAGTGAATCAATACGAGCAAAAGTGCCCGGAGACGAGCGATACGCACACAGGCGTAAATGAACAGGAAAAATACTAACGCGCACAACAAGTGCGAAAACCTCTCCTAAAAACCAAGGAGGGAAAACCAATACAGACACGAAGACAGAAGATCCCACCAACACTGGACCAAGCAGCGTGTCCAGGAGCCAGCGCCAGAGGTATCGCTAAAGGACATCAACCTCGACTGGGCCTGGCCCACGGGGAGGAGAGACCCCCAGAAATTTTTTAGGGGGGGGCTCACGCCGTGGACGACGGGGCAGCAGGAGGCCGCGATAGAGCGGTCCAGCGGGTTTGCAGAGGAGGCCGCCAGGTTAAGGGGGCCACTGGTCACAGAGGAGAGGGAAAGTGTAGAGGCACGGCGAGAGGTACTGGGGTGTGTTACCAGTCCGGTCCGGCCCGTTCCTGATCCCTGCGTAGGGCCAGTGGTGTGTGTCCCCAGTACGGTCCGGCCTGTTCCTGTTCCTCGCATCGAGCCTGTGGTGCGCGTCGTCAGCCCGGCCCGGCCTGTTCCTGCTCCACGCACCAAGCCTATGGTGCGCATCGTCAGCCCGGCCCGGCCTGTTCCTGCTCCACGCACCAAGCCTATGGTGCGCATCGTCAGCCCGGTTCGGCCTGTTCCTGCTCCCCACACCAAGCCAGTGGTGTGCGTCGTCAGTCCGGCACAGCCCGTGCCTGTTCCACCGGTGCCTGGTCCGGCACCGGTCAGCTGCTCCACGCCGGAGCTAGAGCAATCCGCTCCACCGGTGTTCAGTCCAGCCCCTGTGGTGTTTGGTTGGCGCGGCCAGAGTCCGCACCTTTGGGGGGGGGGTACTGTCACGCCCTGGCTCTGGGGACTCTAGTATGTTGAGCCAGGGTGTGAGTTTTCATTTGTTTTTCGTTCTAGTTTTGTAGTTCTATGTTGGCCAGTGTGGTTCTCAATCAGAGGCAACGTGTATCAGCTGTTGCTTGTTGTCTCTGATTGGGACCCATACTTAAGCAGCCAGTTTTCCCACAGTGTTTGTGGGATCTTGTTCCTGTGTAGGTTTGTGTTTTGCACCTTTGGACGTTGTCACGATCGTCAGGGAGAGACCAATGCGCAGCGTTGAAGGTGAACATATTTATATTTATTAAATGATCACACGATCAAAACAACAAACGAAAACGTGACGTCTACGGTTTAAACACAAACCAACACGAACAAGAAACCACAAACACAAAGTGAAAGACAGACAGTTAAATATGGCTCCCAATCAGAGACAACCAGCTGACACTCGTTGCCTCTGATTGGGAGTCACTCAGGCCAACATAGAAATACAAACATAGAATTACACACCCTGGCTCAACATAACAGTGTCCCCAGAGCCAGGGCGTGACAGTACCCCCCCCTAAAGGCGCGGACTCCGACCGCGCCAACTAAATACCACAGGGGAGGGACCGGGTGGGCACTCCGCCTTGGCGGCGGATCCGGCTCCGGGCCTGATCCCCACTCCCTCTCCAACCCCCCAAAGTACCCCTGGTCCGGTCTGGCCCCGCTGGCCGGAGCTGGACTGCACACTGATGGAGCGGATTGCTCTAGCTCCGGCATAACGCATCTGACCGGTGCCGGACCAAGCACCAGTGGAACAGGCACGGGCCGTGCCGGACCGACGACGCACACCACTGGCTTGGTGTGGGGGACAGGCACGGGCCGTGCTGGACTGACGACGCACACCACTGGCTTGGTGTGGGGAGCAGGAGCGGGCCGGACAGGGCTGACGAAACGCACCACAGACTTGGTGCGGGGAGCAGGAATGGGCCGGACTGGGCTGGCGACGCGCACCACAGACTTGGTGCGGAGAGCAGGAACGGGCCGGACAGGGCTGACGAAACGCACCACAGACTTGGTGCGGGGAGCAGGAATGGGCCGAGCCGGGCTGACGAAACGCACCACAGACTTGGTGCGGGGAGCAGGAATGGGCCGAGCCGGGCTGACGAAGCGCACCACTGACTTGGTGCGGGGAGCAGGAACGGGCCGAGCCGGGCTGACGAGACGCACCACAGACTTGGTGCGGGGAGCAGGAATGGGCCGGGCTGGGCTGGCGACGCGCACCACAGACTTGGTGCGGAGAGCAGGAACGGGCCGGACAGGGCTGACGAAACGCACCACAGACTTGGTGCGGGGAGCAGGAACAGACCGGACCGTACTGGGGACACACACCACTGGCCCTACACCGGGATCTGGAACGGGCCGGACCGGACTGGTAACACACCCCAGTACCTCTCGCCGTGCCTCTCCACCTTCCATCCCCTCTTCGACCAGTGGCCCCCGTAACCTGGCGGCCTCCTCTGCCAACCCGCTGGACCGCTCTATCGCGGCCTCCTGCTGCCCCGACGTCGTGAGCCCCCCCCTAAAAAAATTCTGGGGGTCTCTCCTCCCCGTGGGCCAGGCCTCTATCGTTCTCGCCCAACTCTCGCTCCTCTGTCTCCAACTCCCGCTATTCAGCTCCTCAATGGGCTTGACCCAGTCGAAGCTCTTCCTCAACTGTTCCCAAGTCCACCCTCTCTGCTCCTCACTAGGCTTGACCCAGTCGAGGTTGCCACGGAGATCTGCTAGCGATGGCTCCTGGACACGCTGCTTGGTCCGGTTTTGGTGGTTTCTTCTGTCACGATCGTCAGGGAGAGACCAATGCGCAGCGTTGAAGGTGAACATATTTATATTTATTAAATGATCACACGATCAAAACAACAAACGAAAACGTGACGTCTACGGTTTAAACACAAACCAACACGAACAAAAAACCACAAACACAAAGTGAAAGACAGACAGTTAAATATGGCTCCCAATCAGAGACAACCAGCTGACACTCGTTGCCTCTGATTGGGAGTCACTCAGGCCAACATAGAAATACAAACATAGAATTACACACCCTGGCTCAACATAACAGTGTCCCCAGAGCCAGGGCGTGACAGACGTCACGTATCGATTTGTTGTTTTTGTTCGTGTAATCATTATTTAATAAATATGTTCACCTTCCACGCTGCGCCTTGGTCCTCTGTATCCGACGATCGTGACAACAATCTGTTCTATTGGCCAACGTGCAATCACTGGAGAGTAAACCGGATGATCTCCGTTCGAGACTATCCTACCAACGGCACATAAAAACTGTAATATCTTATGTTTCACCGAGTCGTGACTGAACGACAACATGGATAATATACAGCTGGCTGGGTTTTCCGTGCATCGGCAGGACAGAACAGCTACGTCTGGTAAGATGAGGGGTGGGGGTGTCTATTTGTCAGCTGGTGCGCAATGTCTAATATTAAGGAAGTCTCGAGGTATTGCTCGTCTGAGGTAGAGTACCTCATGATAAGCTGTAGACCACACTATCTACCAAGAGAGTTTCATCTATATTATTTGTAGCCGACTATTTACCACCACAAACCGATGCTGGCACTAAGACCGCACTCAACGAGCTGTATAAGGCATTAAGCAAACAAGAAAATACTCATCCAGAAGTGGCGCTCCTAGTGGCCGGGGACTTTAATGTAGGCAAACTTAAATCTGTTTTATTTAATTACTACCAGCATGTCACATGTGCAACCAGAGGGAAACAACTCTAGACCACCTTTACTCCACACACAGCGACGCATACAAAGCTCTCCCTTGCCCTCCATTTGGCAAATCTGACCATAATTCTATCCTCCTGATTCCTACTTACAAGCAAAAACTAAAGCAGGAAGTACCAGTGACTCGCTCAATACGGAAGTGGTCAGATGAGGCAGATGCTACGCTACAGGACTGTTTTGCTAGCACAGACTGGAATATGTTCCGGGATTCATCCAATGGCATTGAGGAGTATACCACCTCAGTCACCGGCTTCATCAATAAGCGCATCGACGACGTTGTCCCCACAGTGACTGTACGTACATATCTCAACCAGAAGCCATGGAATACAGGCACAAAATGCATCGAGCTAAAGGCTAGAACTGCCGCTTTCAAGGAGCGGGATACTAATCCGGACGCTTATAAGAAATCCCGCTATGCCCTCCGACGAACCATCAAACAGGCAAAGCATCAATACAGGACTAAGATTGAATCCTACTACACCGGCTCTGACACTCTTCAGATGTGGCAGGGCTTGCAAACTATTACGGACTATAAAGGGAAAACCAGCCGCGAGCTGCCCATTGACGCAAACCTACCAGACGAGCTAAAAGCCTTTTATGCTCGCTTCGAGGCAAGCAGCACTGAAGCATGCATGAAATCACCAGCTGTTCCGGACGACTATGTGATCACGCTCTACGTTGCCGATTTGTGAGCAAGACCTTTAAACAGGTCAACATTTACAAGGCAGCGGGGCCAGACGGATTATCAGGACAAGTACTCAGAGCATGCGCGGACCAACTGGCAAGTGTCTTCACTGACATTTTCAACCTCTCCCTGACCGAGTCTGTAATACCTACATGTTTCAAACAGACCACCATAGTCCCTGTGCCCAAGAAAGCGAAGGTAACCTGCCTAAATGACTACTGCCCCGTAGCAATGACGTCGGTAGCCATGAAGTGCTTTGAAAGGCTGGTCATGGCTCACATCAACACCATCATCCCGGAAACCCTAGACCCACTCCAATTTGCATACCGCCCCAACAGATCCACAGATGATGCAATCTCAATCGCACTCCACACTGCCCTTTCCCACCTGGACAAAAGGAACACCTATGTGAGAATGCTGTTCATTGACTACAGCTCGGCATTCAACATCATAGTGCCCACAAAGCTCATCACTAAGCTAAGGACCCTGGGACTAAACACCTCCCTCTGCAACTGGATCTTGGACTTCCTGTGGTAAGGGTAGGCAACAACACATCTGCCTCGCTGATCCTCAACACAAGGGCCCCTCAGGGGTGCGCGCTTAGTCCCCTCCTGTACTCCCTGTTCACCCACGACTGCGTGGCCAAGCACGACTCCAACAACATCATTACGTTTGCTGTCGACACAACAGTGGTAGGCCTGATCACCGACAACGATGAGACAGCCTATAAGGAGGAGGTCAAAGACCAGTGTGGTGCCAGGACAACAACCTCTCCGTCAATGTGAGCAAGACAAAGGAGATGATCGTGGACTACAGGAAAAGGAGGGCCGAACATGCCCCAATTCACATCGACGGGGCTGCAGTGGAGCGGGTCAAGAATTTCAAGTTCCTTGGTTTCCACATCACCAACAAACTATCATGGTCCAAACACACCAAGACAGTCGTAAAGAGGGCACGACAACACCTTTTCCACCTCAGGAGACTGAAAAGATTTGGCATGGGTCCCCAGATCCTCAACAATTTCTACAGCTGCACCATCGAGTGCATCCTGACCGGTTGCATCACCGCCTGGAATGGCAACTGCTCGGCATCTGACCGTAAGGCGCTACAGAGGGTAGTGCGTATGGCCCAGTACATCACTGAGGCCAAGCTTCTTGCCATCCAGGTGGTGTCAGAGGAAAGACTCCAGTCACCCAAGTCATAGACTGTTCTCTCTGCTACCGCACGGCAAGCGGTACCGGAGCGCCAAGTCTAGGTCCAAAAGTCTCCTTAACAGCTTCTACCCCCAAACTATAAGACTGCTGAACAATTAATCAAATGGCCACCCGGACTATTTACCTTGACCCCCCCTTTGTTTTTACACTGCTGCTACTCGCTGTTTATTATCTATGCATAGTCACTTTACCCCTACCTACATGTACAAATTACCTCGACTAACCTGTACCCCAGCACATTGACTCGGTACCGGTACCCCTGTATTAGCCTCGTTATTGTTATTTTATTGTGTTACTTTTTATTTAAAAATTTACTTTTGTTTATTTAGTAAATATTTTCTTAACTCTATTTCTTGAACTGCATTGTTGGTTAAGGGCTTGTAAGTCAGCATTTCATGGTAAGGTCTACACCTGTAGTCGGCGCATGTGACAAATACAATTTGATTTGATTTGATTTGGTTCTGCTGATCCTGGGAAGAGATGTAAGTCCCTAGATGGCCAGAAGGTGTCAGTGTTGGTCTGATTCTGACCTTCACGTCGTCCCACATCTCTCTGTCCTCAGTCAGGACCCGCGTGGTGTGGAGCGGTGTGGAGGGAACAACCATGGACTGCTGCAAAGACAGAACACAGACACACCATCAGGCATGAGATTACAGACTGACATTCATTAACTGATGCACGTTTTCACACACAAACGCACACACACTCACATTGATCCAGGGGTGGTTCATAAACTGTGTGATGGTCATTCTCTCGTTGGGGTCTGTCTTCAGCAGCTGATTGATCAACTGTTTGGCTGGAAGAGGAAAAGCAATATGAGGAAAGAGGTCAACATTCAATGAAAAACACACATTTACGCATGCTTACATATGCGTTAACAATCAAGTCAACAATCAACTCCTTTGTTTTGCTGACATTGAGGGAGAGGTTGTCGTCCTGGCACCACAATGCCAGTTCATTTACTTCCTCCCTATAGGCTGACTAGTCGTTGTTGGTTATCAGGCGTACAATCGTGGTGTCGTCAGCAAACTTGATGATGCAGTTGGTGTCGTGTAAAGCCACGCAGTTGTGGGTGAACAGGGAGTACAGCAGAGGGCTGAGGACACACCCCTGGGGGGCCCCTGTGTTAAGAGTCAGTGTGGAGGAGGTGTTGTTGTCCATCCTCACACCCTGTGGTCTGCCCGTCAGGAAGTCCAGGATCCAGTTGCAGAGGGTGGTGTCCAGACCCAGGGCTCTGAGCTTGGTGTCGAGCTTGGAGGGAACAATAGTGTTGAATGCTGAACTGTAGTCAATGAACAGCGTGTTTGTGTTGTCCAAATGTGTTACGGACGTGTGAATAGTGATGGAAATGGCATCTTCCATGGATCTGTTGGAGCGGTAGGCAAATTGGACTGGGTCCAGTGTTCCTGGTATGCTCCCCTTGATGTGGGCCATGACCAGCCTCTCAAAGCACTTCATGATGACCGGGGTGAGTGCGATGGGGCAATAGTCATTTGGTCATGTCACCTTGTTTTTCTTGGGCACTGGGACGATGGTGTTCTCCTTGAAGCAGGTGGGGACTCCACTTGGGACAAGGACAGGTTGAAAATGTCAGAGAAGACGCCTGCCAGCTGGTCAGCACACACTCTGAGGACACGGCCAGGGATGCCATATGGGCTGGTGGCTTCGTGAGTATTCACTCTTTTGAGAGTTCTTCTCACGTCAGCCTCGTAGAGCGAAAGCACCTGGTCGTCCGGAGCAAGAGTTCCTGGACAGCTTGGAATTGTCTGCCTCGAAGTGAGCATAGAATGTGTTAAGCTCGCCTGGGAGGGTGGGCACCACACAGCTGGATTTGCCTTTGTAGTTCGTGATTGTCTGTAGTCCTTGTCACATGCGACGCGAGCCTGAGTTGTCGAACATCAATTTAAGTTTGAGTCTGTATTGTCTTTTTGAATCCCTAACTGATTTGCGGAGCTCGTACCTGCTTGCCTTGTACGCGTCGCATGCCACCGAGTCATCGAGGTTCATCCAGGGTTTTTGGTTGGGGAATGTCCGGATTGCTATTGAGGGTACAACATCATCAACGCATTTTCTAATGAAGCCTGTGACTGACGACGGATATTCCTCAATGTTGATGGATGAGTCCAGGGTGGATGAATATTTGAACATATTCCAATCAGTATTCTCAAAACAGTCCTGTAGCATTGAGTCTGCCTCCTCTTGAGTGGTCGTCACTAGTTACCACAGCCACAAAGTCAGAAGACCCGCCTACTCGACCAATCAGATGAGGGAGTGTGATGACGCGTATACACACCATATACACACTCACACACACTACATTCACACTCCCACACAAAACCCACACACATTCACATACACTACATATGCACACACACTCACACACACACACACACAACACACGCACGCATACCGACACAATACAAACATACATACATATTACACACACACATACACACACGCATGCACACACACACACACACTTTTACACTAATTATTTGCTGCTGCTACTCTTATTATTATCTATCCTGATGCCTAGTCACTTTACCCTGCCTTCATGTACATATCTACCTCAAATTCCTCGTACCTCTGCACATTGATCTGGTACTGGTACTCCCTGTATATAGCTCCATTCTTGTGTATTTTATTTTGTTCCTCTTGTGTTACTATTTTATTTGTATTATAATTTTTAAACTCTGCATCGTTGGATAGGGCTCGTAAGCAAGCATTTCACGGTAATGTCTACACCGGTTGTATTCGGCAAATGTGACAAATAACATTTTATTTTATTTGATGCCGGCTCAGAAGGCCCCGCCTACCCAACCAATCAGATGAGGGAGTGTTCTTGGTTGCGGGAAGCGCCACATTCTTGAAATGGCATATCTCAAGTTCAAATTTGAGTACTAAATAACTAAATACATTTGGGAACAAGAAATGGCAACATCACTAAAATTCATAACATTGAGAAAGGACAAAAGTTTTGGGCAAAGGGGTAAGTTGGCTTTTTTTTTTTTTTTTTAGATAACTAGTAGTTCACTTTTGCTACTCTCATCTATAATGAGCTAGCTAGCTAGCATAAGGGATTCCATTCCAAGCACAGAGAAGTTGTTCTATTTGATACTATTCATTCTAATAGTAATAAACTCAGCAAAAAAAGAAACTTCCTCTCACTGTCAACTGCGTTTATTTTCAGCAAACTTTAACATATGTCAATATTTGTATGAACATAACAAGATTCAACAACTGAGACATAAACTGAACAAGTTCCACAGACATGTGACTAACAGAAATTGAATAATGTGTCCCTGAACAAAGGGGTGGTCAAAATCAAAAGTAACAGTCAGTATCTGGTGTGGCCAGATAGGATATCTCTGCATTAAGTACTGCAGTGCATCTCCTCCTCATGGACTGCACCAGATTTGCCAGTTCTTGCTGTGAGATGTTACCCCACTCTTCCACCAAGGCACCTGCAAGTTCCCAGACATTTCTGGGGGGAATGGCCCTAGCCCTCACCCTCCGATCCAACAGGTCCCAGACATGCTCAATGGGATTGAAATCCGGGCTCTTCGCTGGCCATGGCAGAACATTGACATTCCTGTCTTGCAGGAAATCACGCACAGAACGAGCAGTATGGCTGGTGGCATTGTCATGCTGGAGGGTCATGTCAGGATGAGCCTGCAGGAAAGGTACCACATGTGGGAGGAGCATGTCTTCCCTGTAACGCACAGCGTTGAGATTGCCTGCATTGACAACAAGCTCAGTCCGATGATGCTGTGACACACCGCCCCAGACCATGATGGACCCTCCACCTCCAACTCGATCCCACTCCAGAGTACAGGCCTCGGTGTAACGCTCATTCCTTCGACGATAAGCGCGAATCCGACCATCACCCCTGGTGAGACAAAACCGCGACTCGTGTGAAGAGCACTTTTTGCCAGTCCTGTCTGGTCCAGCGATGGTGGGTTTGTGCCCATAGGCAACGTTGTTGCCAGTGATGTCTGGTGAGGACCTGCCTTACAACAGGCCTACAAGCCCTCAGTCCAGCCTCTCTCAGCCTATTGCGGACAGTCTGAGCACTGATGGAGAGATTGTGCATTCCTGGTGTAACTCGGGCAGTTGTTGTTGCCATCCTGTACCTGTCCCGCAGGTGTGATGTTCGGATGTACCGATCCTGTGCAGGTGTTGTTACACCTGGTCTGCCACTGCGAGGTCGATCAGCTGTCCGTCCTGTCTCCCTGTAGCGCTGTCTTAGGCGTCTCGCAGTACGGACATTGCAATTTATTGCCCTGGCCACATCTGCAGTCCTCATGCCTCCTTGCAGCATGCCTAAGGCACGTTCACGCAGATGAGCAGGGCCCCTGGGCATCTTTCTTTTGGTGTTTTTCAGAGTCAGTAGAAAGGCTGTTAGTGTCTTAACGACCGTTCCACAGGTGCATGTTCATTAATTGTTTATGGTTCATTGAACAAGCATGGGAAACAGTGTTTAAACCCTTTACAATGAAGATCTGTAAAGTTATTCAGATTTTTACTAATTATCTTTGAAAGACAGGGTCCTGAAAAAGGGACGTTTCTTTTTTTGCTGAGTTGATATCTTATTCTTGACATTCAACAGATGTACAGCCTTTGGCAGGAAAATAACTCAGTTGGGAGAGTACAAGTCTCCCATTCAGTGGTGTTCCCTTTCAAGCTGTTAGCATGAAGACATATGAATACCACCAGGGAAAGACAGACAAACAAAAGCCAAAGACAAATATGCTGCTGAAATTAACAAGGCAGTAAGTTCAAAGACAGATAACTGTAATTTATACCATACACTTTTAAAACATTAATTTCATTTTAATAATGTTGAAGTACTAACTAACAATGGAATGTTCCTCAATTCAATTTAAGAAGATGGGACTTTAAATGGGTGTCCCAACTCTGTGGTCACTAAAGATCCCATGGCACTTATTGCAAGAGTATATAATTGGGGATAGAGTGGTGAGTTTCCCCTTACACTGTTAAGAGCTTTGGGTGTCTAGAAAAGTGCCATTTAAGTCCAATTGGTTATTATTATTATTAAATGTTTTGCCATCTTCCCTAGCTTGAAGACCATGCCTTTGTACAGAGCTGGAAACTGGTACAAAATACCAAAATGGTGGACTGCATGGCTATAATAAACAAACATCGCCCACGTTATCTGCTTTCCTGGTTTTAAGGTAAATATGAAAAAGTATATCAAGGTCTAGGCCTACTGTTGGTCAAAGTCTAAGGCTCCGTTTACACAGGCAGTCCAATTCCAATTATGGGCAAAACAGCTGATCTGATGGTCAAAACTGATCTGATGTAAACTCAGCCAAAGCTGGGACCGAGAGACTGAAAAACAGCTTCTATCTCAAGGCCATCAGACTGTTAAACCCAGTACCCTGCCCTGAACTTAGTCACTGTCACTAGCCGCCTACCACCCGGTTACTCAACTCTGCACCTTAGAGGCTGCTGCCCTATGTACATAGACATGGAATCACTGGTCACTTTAATTATGGAACACTGGTCACTTTAATAATGTTTACATACTGTTTTACTCATTTCATATGTATATACTGTATTCTAGTCAATGCCATCCTATTCAACTATTGCTATATATATACTATTCTATGCTACGTATTCTACAGATATACAAAATATTCTATCAACATACACTGCCTTCGGAAAGTATTCAGACCCCTTGACCTTTTCTAGATTTTGTTACGTTACAGCCTTATTCTAAAATGGATTAAATCATTTTTTTCTCTCCCCTCATCAATCTATACACAATACCACATAATGACAAAGCAAAAACAGATTTTTATAAATGTTTGCAAATGTATTTTTAAAAAACCCGAAAATATAACATTTACATAATTATTCAGCCCCTTTACTCAGTACTTTGTTGAAGCATCATTGGCAGCAATTACAGCCTTGAGTCTTCGTGGGTATGACGCTACAAGCTTGGCACACCTGTATTTGGGGAGTTTCTCCCATTCCTCTCTGCAGATCCTCTCAAGCTCTGTCAGGTTGGATGGAGAGCGTCACTGCACAGATATTTTCAGGTCTCTCCAGAGATGTTCAATCTGGCTGGGCCACTCAAGGACATTCAGAGACTTGTCCCGAAGCCTCTCCTGCGTTGTCTTGGCTGTGTGCTTAGGGTTGTTGTCCTGTTGGAAGGTGAACCTTCGCCCCAGTCTGAGGTCCTGAGCGCTCTGGAGCAGGTTTTCATCAAGGATATCTCTATACTTTGCTCCGTTCATCTTTCCCTCGATCCTGACTAGTCTCCCAGTCATTGCCGCTGAAAAACAACCCCACAGCATGATGCTGCCACTCTGAAGCTCTGTCAGAGTGACCATCGGGTTCTTGGTCACCTCCCTGACCAAGGCCCTTCTCCCCTGATTGGTCAGTTTGGCTGGGCGGCCAGCTCTAGGAAGAGTCTTGGTGGTTCCAAACTTCTTCCATTTAAGAATGATGGAGGCCACTGTGTTCTTGGGGACCTTCAATGATGCATACATGTTTTGGTACCCTTCCCCAGATCTGTCCCTCGACACAATCCTGTCTCGGAGCTCTACGGACTATTCCTTCGACCTCATGGCTTGGTTTTTACTCTGACATACACTGTCAACTGTAGGACCTAATATAGACAGGTGTGTGCCTTTCCAAATCATGTCCAATCAATTGAATTTACCACAGGTGGACTCCAATCAAGTTATCTGAATACTTATGTAAATAAGGTATTTCTGTTTTATATTTTTAAGAAATGTGCAAACATTTCTAAAAACCTGTTTTCACTTTGTTATTATGTGGTAGATTGATGAGAGATTTTTTTTGGGATACATTTTAGAAAAAGGCTGTAACGTAACAAAATGTGGAAAAAGTCAAGGGGTCTGAATACTTTCCGAATGCACTGTACTGTCCATAATGTCTATAATGTCTATACATCCTATCACATATATATATTTATACTCTGGACTCCAACATTGTTCGTCCTAATATTGATATATTTCTTAATTCCATTATTTTACTTTTAGATCTGTGTGTATTGTTGTGAATTGTTAGATATTACTGCACTACTGGAGCTAGGAACACAAGCATTTCGCTACACCCGCAATAGCATATGCTAAATATGTGTATGCGACCAATAACATTTTATTTTATTTTATTTACATAATAATAGTACACATCTAACAAATACCACATTATTTGATGTGTAGATTGAGGAAAGTACAGTGCGCTCTAAAAAGGAGACCTCCCAGCTCTGAAGTCAGCACTAAGTGAAAAACCCAGCTCAGTGAAGGCTAGACCCAGCGCCAGGATAAAGGGACTAAGGAGGCAGTTGAAATCGGCGAAGGGGCAAAATGTTTTGGGGTTCTTGCATTGGAATTATATTGAATCACGCTATACCACAATAAAACTTAAAAGTTTAAATGCAGGGACTCCGAGATCATTGAGTGCTTTTGAAATCTGTAGCCTATCTCTGCTGCACTGTATCAGCACAATGGACAGTGCCCTACAGCTAGGCTGATTTGGCCTAAAAAACAATGCAGCTATTGGAGTAAACCTATTTTGACACATAACTATGAGTAAGGGCAAACATTATGATAAGCTTGCAAGCTGAGATTGAATAAGACATCCGATTACCACTTTGCATTTAGAACGTTTGGTTTTATTATAGCTAATAAAATGCTGTGTTCAAAACATGCATACCCGTCATCACACCCCCTCGTCTGATTGGTCTTTGCCTGAGAACCGTAAACCGGCATATGCCATATTTGAGTAAAAGTAAAGATACCATAATAGAAAATGGCTCAAGTAAAAGTTAAAGTCACCCAGTAAAATACTACTTGAGTAAAAGTCTAAAATTATTTGGTTTTCAAAAGTAAATGGAATTGCTAAAATATACTTAAGTATCAAAAGTAAAAGTATAAATCAATTCAAATTCCTTATATTAGGCAAACCAGATGGCAAAATATTATATATATATATATATATTTTTTTTTGCATTTTCAGATAGCCAGGGGCACACTCCAACACAATTTACAAATTAAGCATTTGTGTTTAGTGAGTCCGCCAGATCAGAGGCAGTAGGAATGACCAGGGATGTTCTCTTGATACGTGCATGAATTGGACCATTTTCCTGTGACAATGTAACGAGTACTTTTGGGTGTCAGGGAAAATGTATGGAGTAAAAAGTACATTATTTTTTTTAGGAATGTAGTGAAGTAAAAGTAAAAGTGGGTAAAAATATAAATAGTAAAGTAAAGTACAGATACCCCCAAAACACTACTTAAGTTGTACTTTCAAGTATTTTTACATAAATACTTTACACCACTGGTCATCACATTCCCTCATCTGATTGGTCAAGTAGGCGGGCCTAATGACTTTGTGGGTGGTAACTAGTGACGACCCTCTTGAGTTGCTGCTTGTAGGCGAGGAGTAGGAACAGAGCGATGTGATCTGATTGGCCGAAGTGGGGGCGGGGAATGGCTTTGTGCGTGTTACGGATGTTTGTATATACATGGTCCAGCACGTTGTTTCCTCTCGTGGGGAAGGATACATGTTGGTGACATCTTGGAAGAATGTGTTTTAAAACATGCTTGGTTAAAATCACCTGCAACAATAAAGACTGATTCTTGCTGGCTAATGTTCTTGTACAGTTCGTTGTGTGCTGCCTTGGTGTTTCAGGGTTTTCTCTTCCATTTCAATCCTTGGGCGGTCCAAACAGTGTACTTTTTAAACATTTTATAATTATATTTCCGGGATGGAAAAACAATTTCAGTGTAAACTTGAACCAGATATAATTTATGTAGAAAAGACACTGGACCTATATATTTTTTATAATCTTTGAGAACTAACCATCACTCAAATAAAAGCTAGACAGTCAGGGGGAATTCAAAATTCCAAAAACAATGAATTTAGCAGTATAGATTTTGTTATTATATTTCAGCAAAATAACACAGCATTAGCCATAGCAAAATACATAGAATTGCAGGAAATTTGCTTTATAACTGCAACATTTTCTCTCAGCTACATAGCAAAATGTGTAGAATTGTAGGACATTTGCTTTAAAACTGCAAACATTACTCTCAGCTCCCTACAGACAAAAAAAATATACGTGCCTTTTACATTTTCAGATTAGTGATGTTTTCAAATGTCATTATCTGCTGACTAACATCAAGAGGTATGTAGAAGTAGACAGTAGAGGTTGTGACCTTTCAGGTGATGTGTAACATTCCAACTCCAAATTATTTAGATTGTTTATACAAATGCAACTACGTCAGCTGTTCAAAATAATTCAAAATGGAGATATATGGTTCTTCGTCTGTAAGGCTCAGTTGGCCTATGTGAGCAGGATGCCCTACCAGTGTGACTTCAGAGATTCAGTCAGATAATCCCTGGCATTTAAGAGCTGCTATTCTGTGTTTATGTGCCTTGTGTATGTTTGTGTGTGCTTTTGGACGAGTGTTGTGCTGTGAAACTGACTATTTAGAAGTTTGCTTATGTTTTCTAGAGTAAAAGGTCCCTGGGACTGACATCATTTGAGGAATGCAACACTATACTAACTAAACAAAAGCCAGGGATAATAGTCTAGTGAAAGGGTAACCCGACCCAGTCTCACCTTCCTCTGACACTTCAGCCCATTCAGGTTTGGGGAACTCGTACTGGCCCAGCCTAATTCTCCGCTTCATCCCTGGAGAGATGGCCTGGCCCGTGTTAGAGTAGAACGGAGGAAACCCACACAGCCTGCAGAGGAGACAATTGCGTAGAGGTTGACAGTTATTAGGTTGCACTGACTTTCATATGATTATATACTATGTATGTACTGTATATGCACACACAGACAAACAAACACACACACACACACACACACACACACGTTATGTTCTTCTATCATCGTGGGGACCTAAAATACATTTCCATTCCAAATTCTATTTTCCCTAACCCCTAACCCTACCCTTACCTTAACCCATAACCCTAAACCTAAATCCTAACCCTAACCCCTTACCCTAATTGTAACCCTAACCTTAATTGTAACCCCTAAGCTTAAAATAGCCTTTGTCCTCATGGGGACATGGAAAATGTCCCCACGAGGGAGAATTGTCCTTGTTTTACTATCCTTGTGGGGACTTTTGTGGATTTTAGGTCCCCACAAGGATAGAAGAACCAACCCACACGCATGCATGCACACACACACTGTACTCACAGGATGTACATGATGACACCCAGAGACCACATGTCACATGACTTGTCATATTTCTCCGGGCCCAAAACCTCAGGGGCTTATCAACAGGGCGACACACACAAATAGAGACAGACAGACGGAAAATACAATTACATGATGGAAACCACTTAAGTCCAAAGTATGCATAATATTGTGCAATAAATCTGATTGTCACACATACTCCTATTCCTACAGTAGTATAGTATTGTAACTTACCCACGTAGTAAGGGGTGTAGCAGGGGGTCTGCAGGAGGTTGTGCGTGGTCTCCTTAGCAAAGCCAAAGTCTGTCAGTTTGAGAGTACCATTGCGCTCCTGATGGGTGTACAGCAGGTTCTCAGGCTGAGGGAGAGGAAGTGAAACGTATCTGTCATTAAACATGTCACTGTTTACACATAGGATTAATAAATGCATGGCAACTCTGTTTGTCACTATCTGCTGCTCTTATCTTGATATGTGTGTGAGTGACATTGCTCACCTTGATGTCTCTGTGTGCGATGTTCATGTTGTGGAGGAACTCGATGGCCGTGCCAATATCCCGCATGATCTCTGAGCCCTCTAGAAGAGGAGAGCAGAGAGACATAGTCTCAGGACAACACTGTATGTAACATTAAACATACATTGTGTAACCCCCTGTAAAGACTGTGTTCAGTTTATTATGTGTGGCGATGCTCATGTACGCGTTCTGGAACTGCCCGCGCCCCCCGTACAGAACTGTCTGCGTCCACGTACGGTGTGGCACTGGCGCCAAGTATATTGGCCGGGTACACACAAATTGGGCTGAGGTGATCTTGGGGAACAATGACAGAGTTCGCTAAGAGTGTTGAGACACCAACGTTTATTGTTCAATTTACTTTTTGTTTAATAGTCAGGAACAATATGAGTGTAGCCAGCTACTTTTCACTCGCTTTCTCTTTTAATTTTGTGGTTCATCAGATTCGTCATCATCCTCGAGGGACAGACAAACAAACTGCTGGCTAGTCAATACAGCAAAGATTTTTTTATAACTAACCCAAGATAGACCACAGCCTGTCGTTTCCAATGGGAGCAAATTAATCATAGTGGGCAAAACAAGCAAGGAGGTGGGCAGAGCCAAGCTTGATTTAGCAAGATTCTATTGACGCGTTCTAGCATGTATTTGCATATTTCCGTTAGGGAACGCCTACTCTGCAAAGTGCGCGTGTGCAATAACTCAATTCGCTCTTGCACTCCTAAACAAAGCAAATTTTAGAAACCTTGGCAAAGGGTAAAGTCTACAAAACGTAGTCCACTCTGTTCGTAACAGATTCTAGTTTTGGGAACAGAAAACATTATTGAGATCAAGTGTTTAATCGATGACAGATTTAGCAGAATGTCAGCCAAAATCCATCTTGCTTCTCCCGATGTCAGTCACTGGGTTTCCTCTCATCACCATATTTGGTGGTGAGTGGAAATGCCAACCGGATGCTTCAGATTTATACTGTATATCCGGTGAAACATCTAGCTCATTGTTCTATCTGTGGGTACAGCTAGCTAAGCTAGCTAGCTACTCTACTAGCAGCATCCTACCACTACATCATCACCGGCTGCCTGCATTTATTCTACAAGTTACTCTCTGGGTACCGATAGAGCTCTCTGGTTGTTTCTTCCACCTGTTAAAACCAATGGAATGCTTGGCCCTCTCGTTGATAGATGCTAGCTACCTATGACCCTCTGTCTGGTTCTCCTCTTTTCACTGGATGGACGGTACAGGGGAGAACGACTGCCCCCTCTCATTGAAGCCACAGAAGTTCAAGGCCGCGGTACTGCAGGCATTGTTATTAGAAAACAGGATCCCCCATTATAGTGAATGGAAAATTGACAATCTTCGTGTAAATAAATGTGTTTTGGAAGACAATCATGGTACCAATAACTGCTTCTAATACACCAGATGTATGTCCTTGAACAGATTATTTTAAAATCGCACACAGAAGAAGTTATAAGGAAAATGTAGTTGCTAATGGCAGCCTACAGTACCCCGGTCGGCCTTTAACTTGAGTTACTCAATGAGAAGGGGCAACACTGAGCTAGCCTGCAATATCACTTCCTGGAGTAGCTCAAACTGCGCATGTTATGTCTCCATGAGATACCATCTTAACCGACTTCATTTTGCTTCAATGCACTATTGAATCTTCACATAGGAATGAATGGTGTCACATGATCGATGGCTTTGTCCATTCATATATTTACAGTCATTGGGATGGTAATGTTCATGTTTTAACACCTCCGTGTCCAAGGACAAGGACCTAACTTTTTTAATGTATTTTTGGGGTGTCCTAAGATTTTTATTGTTTGTAAAACTTTAGTTTAGAGCTCTCAAGTGTTTTAACTTCACTATCTGTTGGCTTTTAGGTACAGTATATATACAGGCACCAGTTTCGAACTAGCTTCAGCTTTCTAGGGTTCAAGGTTGGGAAAGTAGTTAGCTACTGTACGTCTACAGGGTTTGATTAATATTTGATATATGGTTGAACAATTGCAATACTGTAGATTTTTTAAAATTATATGTCTTATTCAAATCCTTTAATCATTTTGAGGTTTTAATATTATTCCTGTTTAAAATTAGTCTCAGGGTTTTATAGGTCCAGTATTATTGTGTGGTCATATGGTAGTTCATTGTGTCCTTTGTGATAATTGCTATGTCCTTACATTTGTACCTTTTTACATTCTAATCCATTTTTGACCATTATCTTTAGCTTTAATAAATTCCACTGACGTGTAGGAAAAGGGTTATTGTGTTGCCATTGTGTGGGTGTATCATATAGTTTCCTATTAAGCTAGTTATAACCTTTTAAGTGTGTATGCTTATTAGGTGGAGGCACCACATTATTCTATACATGAAACATATACAGTCTGATGGTGTATCTTACCACTGTAATTTTATTTGACTCATGTTAACACACATGCAGTGTCTTGTAGGCCTACATGCTACCCATATACACAACCCTTGTCTATTACTGCCACTCACCTATATACAGTGGGGAATAAAAGTATTTAGTCAGCCACCAATTGTGCAAGTTCTCCCACTTAAAAAGATGAGAGAGGCCTGTAATTTTCATCATAGGTACACGTCAACTATGACAGACAAATTGAGAAAAACATTTCCAGAAAATCACATTGTAGGATTTTTTATGAATTTATTAGCAAATTATGGTGGAAAATAAGTATTTGGTTACCTACAAACAAGCAAGATTTCTGGCTCTCACAGACCTGTAACTTTTTCTTTAAAAGGCTCCTCTGTCCTCCACTCGTTACCTGTATTAATGGCACCTGTTTGAACTTGTTATCAGTATAAAAGACACCTGTCCACAACCTCAAACAGTCACACTCCAAACTCCACTATGGCCAAGACCAAAGAGCTGTCAAAGGACACCAGAAACAAAATTGTAGACCTGCACCAGGCTGGGAAGACTGAATCTGCAATAGGTAAGCAGCTTGGTTTGAAGAAATCAACTGTGGGAGCAATTATTAGGAAATGGAAGACATACAAGACCACTGATAATCTCCCTCGATCTGGGGCTCCACGCAAGATCTCACCCCGTGGGGTCAAAATGATCACAAGAACGGTGAGCAAAAGTCCCAGAACCACACGGGGGGACCTAGTGAATGACCTGCAGAGAGCTGGGACCAAAGTAACAAAGCCTACCATCAGTAACACACTACGCCGCCAGGGACTCAAATCCTGCAGTGCCAGACGTGTCCCCCTGCTTAAGCCAGTACATGTCCAGGCCCGTCTGAAGTTTGCTAGAGTGCATTTGGATGATCCAGAAGAGGATTGGGAGAATGTCATATGGTCAGATGAAACCAAAATATAACTTTTTGGTAAAAACTCAACTCGTCGTGTTTGGAGGACAAAGAATGCTGAGTTGCATCCAAAGAACACCATACCTACTGTGAAGCATGGGGGTGGAAACATCATGCTTTGGGGCTGTTTTTCTGCAAAGGGACCAGGACGACTGATCCGTGTAAAGGAAAGAATGAATGGGGCCATGTATCGTGAGATTTTGAGTGAAAACCTCCTTCCATCAGCAAGGGCATTGAAGATGAAACGTGGCTGGGTCTTTCAGCATGACAATGATCCCAAACACACTGCCCGGGCAACGAAGGAGTGGCTTCGTAAGAAGCATTTCAAGGTCCTGGAGTGGCCTAGCCAGTCTCCAGATCTCAACCCCATAGAAAATCTTTGGAGGGAGTTGAAAGTCCGTGTTGCCCAGCGACAGCCCCAAAACATCACTGCTCTAGAGGAGATCTGCATGGAGGAATGGGCCAAAATACCAGCAACAGTGTGTGAAAACCTTGTGAAGACTTACAGAAAACGTTTGACCTGTGTCATTGCCAACAAAGGGTATATAACAAAGTATTGAGAAACTTTTGTTATTGACCAAATACTTATTTTCCACCATAATTTGCAAATAAATTCATAAAAAATCCTACAATGTGATTTTCTGGATTTTTTTTCCTCATTTTGTCTGTCATAGTTGATGTGTACCTATGATGAAAATTACAGGCCTCTCTCATCTTTTTAAGTGGGAGAACTTGCACAATTGGTGGCTGACAAAATACTTTTTTTCCCCACTGTATATAAATAGATAGAACCCAGGTTCAGTACTATCAGTACTAGCCTAGTTAAAGTCAGAACAAAGCTGCCTGAAGAAAGAGGGGTCACACATATACAGTGGCTTCCGAAAGTATTCACCCCCCTTGGCATTTTTCCTATTTTGTTGCCTTACAACCTGGAATTAAAATGGATTTTTTGGGGGTTTGTATAATTTGATTTACACAACATGCCTACCACTTTGAAGATGCAAAATATGTTTTTATTGTGAAACAAACAAGAAACATGACTTGAGCGTGCATAACTCTGTAGCTCAGCTGGTAGAGCACGGCGCTTGTAACGCCAAGGTAGTGGGTTCGATCCCCAGGACCACCCATACACAAAAATGTATGCACGCATGACTGTAAGTCGCTTTGGATAAAAGCGTCTGCTAAATGGCATATTAATATTAATTAATAACTATTCACCCCCCCCCAAAATCAATACTTTGTAGAGCCACCTTTTGCAGCAATTACAGCTGCAAGTCTCTTGGGGTATGTCTCTATAAGCTTGGCACATCTAGCCACTGGGATTTTTGCCCATTCTTCAAGGCAAAACTGCTCCAGCTCCTTCAAGTTGGATGGGTTCCGCTGGTGTATAGCAATCTTTAAGTCATACCACAGATTCTCAATTGGATTGAGGTCTGGGCTTTGACTAGGGCATTCCAAGACATTTCAATGTTTCCCCTTAAACCACTTGAATGTTGCTTTAGCAGTATGCGTAGGGTCTTTGTCCTGCTGGAATGTGAACCTCCGTCCCAGTCTCAAATCTCTGGAAGACTGAAACAGGTTTCCCTCAAGAATTTCCCTGTATTTAGCGGCATCCATCATTCCTTCAATTATGACCAGATTCCCAGTCCCTGCCGATACAAAACATCCCCACAGCATGATGCTGCCACCACCATGCTTCACTCTGAGGATGGTGTTCTCGGGGTGATGAGAGGTGTTGGGTTTGCGCCAGACATAGCATTTTCCTTGATGGCCAAAAAGTACTCTCATCTGACCAGAGTACCTTCTTCCATATGTTTGGGGAGTCTCCCACATGCCTTTTGGCGAACACGTGTTTGCTTATTGTTTTCTTTAAGCAATGGCTTTTCCATAAAGCTCAGCTCTGTGGAGTGTACGGCTTAAAGTGGTCCTATGGACAGATACTCCAATCTCCGCTGTGGAGCTTTGCAGCTCCTTCAGGCTTATCTTTGGTCTCTTTGTTGCCTCTCTGATTAATGCCCTCCTTGCCTGGTCCGTGAGTTTTGGTGGGCGGTCCTCTCTTGGCAGGTTTGTTGTGGTGCCATATTCTTTCCATTTTTTAATAATAGATTTAATGGTGCTCCGTGGGATGTTCAAAGTTTCGGATATTTTTTTATAACCCAACCCTGATCTGTACTTCTCCACAACATTGTCCCTGACCTGTTTGAAGAGCTCCTTGGTCTTCATGGTGCCACTTGCTTAGTGGTGCCCCTTGCTTAGTGGTGTTGCAGACTCTGGGGCCTTTCAGAACAGGTGTATATATACTGAGATCATGTGACAGATCATGTGACACTTAGATTGCACACAGGTGGACTTTATTTAACTAATTATGTGACTTCTGAAGGTAACTGGTTGCACCAGATCTTATTTAGTGGCTTCATAGCAAAGGGGTGAATACATATGCATGCACCACTTTTCCGTTATTTATTTTTTAGAATTCTTTGAAACAAGTTATTTTATTCATTTCACTTCACCAATTTGGACTATTTTGTGTATGTCCATTAGATGAAATCCAAATAAAAATCCATTTAAATTACAGATTGTAATGCAACAAAAATAGGAAAAACGGCAAGGGGGATGAATACTTTTGCAAGGCACTGTATAGTATGTCCATTCCCAGAAACATGTAGCCCAGTCCTCCTTCCCCGGCCCCCTTCCCTCTGAGCCCCCTTACCTCTCTCAGTGAAAGCCTGGTCCCCTCTGGCCTGGATCCGGCTGAACAGTTCTCCCCCTTGCATACTGGAACCAGAGAAACGCACACATTGAGTTAATATTGAGACGCTGTCATGGAGTTATCATTCTAAAAACAACACTGCTTATCACTCTCCTACATTATAAATGTTTCTACAAGATAAACTCTGCTACGTCAATAAAAAGCCATAAAATATTACAGTGAAAGCAGGAACCATTTAGGAGCACTCTTGATCAGCATGATGTTAGTGGGATAACGTTAGCCTGGGAAAAGAACAGTCTGCCATGCACTTCATCTCCCCCTCTGTCTTTATACACATTATACACATAAACACACACTGACATTCAGAAATCCATACACACTGTAACTCCTCTACCCTCCTTCAAGATCTCTGTCTTTAGAAAAACACTGTGAATCACTCTCTGTTATGTGGAAAGCATTGTTTATACACTGAGTGTACAAAACACTAGGAACACCTTCCTAATATTGAGTAGCACCCCCCTTTGCCCTCAGAACAGCATAAATTTGTCAGGGCATGGACTCTACAAGGTGTCAAAAGCGTTCCAAAGGGATGCTGGCCCATGTTGAGTCCAATGCTTTCCACAGTTGTGTCAAGTTGGCTGGATGTCCTTTGGGTGGTGGACCATTTTTGATACACACAGGAAACTGTTGAGCATGAAAAACCCAGCAGCGTTGTAGTTCTTGACACACTCAAACCGATGCGCCTGGCACCTACTACCATACCCTATTCAAAGGCACTTAAATATTTTTTCTTGCCCATTCACCCTCTGAATGGCACACTTTCACAATCCATGTCTCAATTGTCTCAAGGATTAAACATCCTTATTTGACTTGTCTCCTCACCTTCATCTACACTGATTGAAATGGATTTAATAAGTGATATCATTAAGGGATCATTGCTTTCACCTGGATTCTCCTGGTCAGTCTATGTGGTGGAAAGAGCAGGTGTTCCCAGTGTTTTGTACACTGTGTATGATCTTTTGAGAGAGTGTGTGTGTGTGTGTGTGTGTGTGTGTGCGTGTGTGTGTGTGTGTGTGTGTGTGTGTGTGTGTGTGTGTGTGTGTGTGTGTGTGTGTATGTGAGAGATAGAAAGAGTGAGTAAGGAGGAAGTGAGTAAGAGAGAGAGCCAAGTCCAAATCCAACATCCATGTCCAACTCAGTTACCGACTATTCTCCTTCATTACGCTAGCTGAGCTGAGCTGCTGCTCTCCTCTGACCCTCTCTGAGAAAGGAAACAGCTGACCACAAAGAGAGATTACTTTACAGAGAACAAACACGTCACACACCCTCAACTCAGCTCTGAACCGTCAGGCACCCTGTCTACGACTGGTCAGTGCACTATACTCCCATGTGTCTGAAAATGCACCTCAAGGGAAATCATTGTCAGTATCTAAACAGTATCTCTTCTGTCGTGTTTAAAATTCCACATACCATATATTCTTTATTTCCTTGGCACTTGACTGGAGGATGAGCGAATACTACAGTATATCAAGAGAGTCGGGTGTAATTATTTTGTACTGAGAGCCTGAGGTGATCTGTGAGGCACAAGTAGAGTCCCAGCCATGGCCCAGGCCTGCCACATACTTGGCCTGCATAGACATACCAAGGCCAAGTGAGTGAGCTTTCCATCAAGCCTAATGGTGTCAGAGAGAAGCTATGAGGGACTGGCAATATGTCAATAGTTTATGGCCAGTGGCTGAGGACAGAGAAATATGACTTGTATTCCCACAGAGAGCAGAGGATTCTGGGTAAAAGAGATGACAGGACAGGATCCTACCATTCCATGATGATGAGCAGGCACTTCTTTCCATGATGCATGTTCTCGTACAGACTGAGAATGCGAACGATGTAAGGTCCCCCCGACACCCGCCAGTGTAGCTCAACCTCCAGCCTCGCCTTGGGACTGTCATAGAGAATCTGAGAGAGAGAGAAACAGGAAGAGGTGGGGTAGGAATTTTATTTTTTCCCTCTTTCAGTTCCCTACCATACAAGTCCTGTGTAGCTCAGTTGGTAGAGCATGGCGTTTGCAACGCCAGGGTTGTGGGTTCGTTTCCCACGGGGGACCAGTATGAAAAAAATATGTATGCACTCACTAACTGTAAGTCGCTCTGGATAAGAGCGTCTGCTAAATGACTAAAAATGTTTTTTTAAATGTTAGGGGGCCTGTTTAAGTCATTGCACACACACAAACCTTGACTTGAAATAGACATAACACATGCGCACACATGCGCATGCACGCACACACACGCACACAGTAGGAGGCATGGTAGGCCTTGACATAGCACCTGTCTTTCATCAGAGGATATTTTTGGGTGCTGACAGTGACAGAGTGGGCTCCTGCTGGATTCAAGACCAGCCCAGTCACAGAGCTGCAGCTGAGAACAGAACACAACACAGACAGTCTGGCCACCACTCATCCTTTACCACAACCTTACACACTCTCTAACACACCTTTTACAGATTCAATTATATGATAACGTGGATGGTGAGAAATGTGGAAGCTACTGTACATGTCTCTTGCGGTTGGAGATGGAGTTTCATCTAGACAGTTGTGGTTTTAGAATGACTGGCTATAAACGGACTTAAAGGTCTCATTCGATTACAGAAGTCATAACCGGCAACCTGACTCTCTCACTGAACAATTCATTACTTTTTTTAACACAGGAAAAGTGGGTAAAAGTTAGGATTTGGTCCTAAGAGACAAGCTCTCATCACATCTTCATTGCATCATCCATCCAACCTGAATGGCCTATGAGTGGCCAAGGCAGGCACGTGTTGTTTAGAGTAGTTAATAAAATACACAGTTAAAACTTTAACCAAAACAGTCATCAACCCTTTTTGAAGATTTACAATGTTACTATAGGAAGTAGGAACTAGGTTTTATATCAATTTCACCCAAAATAATAAGTGATTCTTCGTTTCTGGTTAGATGCATATTTATATTGTGAATGAGTCTGTGTTTTTATGTGTGTGTTTAGAGTATGCATGTGCTTAGGCATGTTTTCTTTATCATTAATGAGTGTGTGTGTATTTTTAAAGAGGAAGTCCTTCCCCTTTTGTTGCAGGGGAGTGTGTTGAAAGTGGAAGCGAAGGACTTCCGTTGGCCTCTTTAACTGATTTCTGTTTAACTTAACCTCACAACCCACAGTATCCAGGGTATCCCTAAAAGAGTGGTCCTTACTTCTGTCCAGTATCTGGGGAGCATGTGAGAGTGAGTCTTGGATACCTTATTGCTTGGTCAAAAATATACAGGTTAGGACAAGAGGGTTCTAATATCCCATAAGTCTTTGCATAAATGAGGAAGAATTCTAAACAATGGGACTAGCAATGCGAGGGAAAATGACAGGAAGTGAATGTTAACAGTACAGAAAGTAAATATCCTTAAATATCCTGATCTAGTGAGATATACATGGCGGAGACTCAATCAAGCTAGTCGTCTTGACTACTTTCTTATGTCATTCTCTTTGGCACCAAAAGTTTAAAAAGTATTGATAGGGGACAGGATGCGGTCGGAGTCGGACAATCATATAATTGGCATATACATTACTCTTACTGAATTTCCACGTGGGCGAGGATATTGGAAATTTAATCAAAGCCTATTGGATGATAACTTGTTTTTAACTAGGACAGAGGAATTTATAACTGATTTTTTCCGACATAACATAGGTACAGCAAATCCCCTTATTGCATGGGACACCTTTAAATGTGCCTTTAGAGGCCATGCAATTCAGTACTCATCTCGAAAACAAAAGCAATTTAGGTCAAAAGAGTCCACACTAACAAAGGAAATAGAAGGTCTAACAGAACTGATAGATAGTAATAAAAACTGTAACATAGAGGCTCAGAATAAATTAGAGGAAAAACTAAAATAAATGGAGAAACTTATTCAAGAAAGATCAAGTGTAATATATTATAAAAAATAAAGCAAACTGGATGGAATATGGGGAAAAATGCACCAAATTATTTTTTAATCTTCAACATAGGAATGCTACCAAAAATATTTTTTTGAAACTGGTTACAAATGACGTAGTCACCCATGATTCACCAAATTATATTTTGAAGGAGGAAACAAAGTACTTTAAGCATATGTTTTCGTTTCAGTCGCCTCCATCTCCTCTAACTGAAGCAAATTGTAGAGTTTTTTTATTTATTGATAATGTAAAATTAACAGCCATACAGAAAGTGAAGGTGAAATTACAGAGGAGGAACTTCTGGATGCAATTAAAGACTTTAAGTCCGGGAAAACGCTAGGGTTGGGATGGCATACCAGTCGAGGTATACCAAACCTTTTTTGATATACTCAGAGGACCGTTATTAGCATGTTTTAACCACTCCTATGTAAATGGTAGATTATCAGAAACTCAAGAAGAAGGCCTGATTTCATTATTACTGAAACAGGATACAAGTGGAAAATATAAAGATCCAGTCCATTAAAAAAATTGGCGGCCTCTTACACTTCAGTGTTGTGATGCAAAAATTCTAGCAAAATGTATAGTGCATAGAATTAAAAAGGTATTGTCGGACATTATACATTCTAATCAGACAGGTTTTTTACATGGGCGATACATTGGAGATAATATAAGGCAAGTACTGGAAACAATAGAACACTATGAAAAATCTGGGAAGCCAGGCCTACTATTCATAGCAGACTTCGAAAAGGCATTTGATAAAGTACGACTGGGGTTTATATATAAATGCCTGGAGCATATCAATTTTGGACAATCTCTTATAAATTGGGTTAAAATCATTTATAGTAACCCTAGGTGTAAAATAGTAAATAATGTCTATTTCTCAGAAAGTTTTAAACTGTCAAGAGGAGTGAAACAAGGTTGTCCACTATCGGCATATCTATTTATTATTGCCATCGAGATGTTAGCTATTAAAATCAGATCCTACAATAATATCAAGGGATTAGAAATCCAGGCCTTAAAAACAAAGGTGTCATTGTACGCTGATGATTCATGTTTTCTTTTAAATCCACAACTTGAATCCCTCCACAGCCTCATAGAGGATCTAGATACATTTTCTAACCTCTCTGGATTACAACCAAATTATGATAAATGTACTATATTACGTATTGGATCACTAAAAAATAGAACATTTACATTACCATGTAGTTTACCAATAAAATGGTCTGATGGTGATATGGATATACTCGGAATACATATCCCAAATGAAATAAATGATCTCACTCCAAAAAAATTTATTAGAAAGTTAGCAAAAATAGATAAGATCTTGCTACCATGGAAAGGTAAATACCTGTCAATTTGTGGAAAAATCACACTGATTAACTCTTTAGTATTATCCCAGTTTACCTATTTGCTTATGGTCTTGCCTACGCCTAGCGAACAGTTTTTTAAATTATATGAGAAAATTAAACGGGCCTATTTACAGTGGGGGAAAAAAGTATTTAGTCAGCCACCAATTGTGCAAGTTCTCCCACTTAAAAAGATGAGAGAGGCCTGTAATTTTCATCATAGGTACACGTCAACTATGACAGACAAATTGAGAAAAACATTTCCAGAAAATCACATTGTAGGATTTTTAATGAATTTATTAGCAAATTATGGTGGAAAATAAGTATTTGGTCACCTACAAACAAGCAAGATTTCTGGCTCTCACATACCTGTAACTTCTTCTTTAAGAGGCTCCTCTGTCTTCCACTCGTTACCTGTATTAATGGCACCTGTTTGAACTTGTTATCAGTATAAAAGACACCTGTCCACAACCTCAAACAGTCACACTCCAAACTCCACTATGGCAAGACCAAAGAGCTGTCAAAGGACACCAGAAACAAAATTGTAGACCTGCACCAGGCTGGGAAGACTGAATCTGCAATAGGTAAGCAGCTTGGTTTGAGGAAATCAACTGTGGGAGCAATTATTAGGAAATGGAAGACATACAAGACCACTGATAATCTCCCTCGATCTGGGGCTCCACGCAAGATCTCACCCCGTGGGGTCAAAATGATCACAAGAACGGTGAGCAAAAGTCCCAGAACCACACGGGGGGACCTAGTGAATGACCTGCAGAGAGCTGGGACCAAAGTAACAAAGCCTACCATCAGTAACACACTACGCCGCCAGGGACTCAAATCCTGCAGTGCCAGACGTGTCCCCCTGCTTAAGCCAGTACATGTCCAGGCCCGTCTGACGTTTGCTAGAGTGCATTTGGATGATCCAGAAGAGGATTGGGAGAATGTCATATGGTCAGATGAAACCAAAATAGAACTTTTTGGTAAAAGCTCAACTCGTTGTGTTTGGAGGACAAAGAATGCTGAGTTGCATCCAAAGAACACCATACCTACTGTGAAGCATGGGGGTGGAAACATCATGATTTGGGGCTGTTTTTCTGCAAAGGGACCAGGACGACTGATCCGTGTAAAGGAAAGAATGAATGGGGCCATGTATCGTGAGATTTTGAGTGAAAACCTCCTTCCATCAGCAAGGGCATTGAAGATGAAATGTGGCTGGGTCTTTCAGCATGACAATGATCCCAAATACACCACCCGGGCAACGAAGGAGTGGCTTCGTAAGAAGCATTTCAAGGTCCTGGAGTGGCCTAGCCAGTCTCCAGATCTCAACCCCATAGAAAATCTTTGGAGGGAGTTGAAAGTCCGTGTTGCCCAGCGACAGCCCCAAAACATCACTGCTCTAGAGGAGATCTGCATGGAGGAATGGGCCAAAATACCAGCAACAGTGTGTGAAAACCTTGTGAAGACTTACAGAAAACGTTTGACCTGTGTCATTGCCAACAAAGGGTATATAACAAAGTATTGAGAAACTTTTGTTATTGACCAAATACTTATTTTCCACCATAATTTGCAAATAAATTCATTAAAAATCCTACAATGTGATTTTCTGGAAAAAAAATTCTCATTTTGTACCTATGATGAAAATTACAGGCCTCTCTCATCTTTTTAAGTGGGAGAACTTGCACAATTGGTGGCTGACTAAATACTTTTTTCCCCCACTGTATATAATGAATATGAATTAGGAGGACAGAAATTATTAAATATTAAAGCATTAGACCTATCACTGAAAGCTTCAGTCATACAAAAATTATACTTAAATCCGAACTGGTTCTCTAGCAAATTAGTAAAATTGTCTCATCCAATGTTCAAGAAGGGACTTTTTCCCTTTATTCAGATTACAACCCCTCACTTTCAGGTATTTCAAAAGGAAATCATCTCCCAAATATCACTATTTCTAAAACAAGCCATAGAAAGTTGGTTGCAATTTCAATTTAATCCTCCAGAAATGACAGAACAAATATTGCAACAAATATTGTGGTTAAACTCAAATATACTAATTGATAAAAAAATGTTATTTTTTGAGAAAATGTTTAAAAGAGGTATAATCTTCGTAAATTATATTATCCGTAGGAATGGTAGAGTTATGTCGCACATGCAGCTAACAAAAACATATGGAAATGTCTGCTCTACCCAAAATTACAACCAAATAATTGCAGCATTACCGCAAAAATGGAAGAGGAAAGTGGAAGGAGGAAAAAGTAAGGAACTTGTCTGTCGGCCTTGCATTAAAGAACATAATTGGTTAAATAAAATTGTGATGAATAAAAAAGTTTACCAGTTTCATTTAAGGACCAAAAGATTGACAGCCGTCCCATATACAGTGGGGAGAACAAGTATTTGATACACTGCCGATTTTGCAGGTTTTCCTACTTACAAAGCATGTAGAGGTCTGTAATTTTTATCATAGGTACACTTCAACTGTGAGAAACAAAAATCCAGAAAATCACATTGTATGATTTTTAAGTAATTAATTTGCATTTTATTGCATGACATAAGTATTTGATCACCTACCAACCAGTAAGAATTCCAGCTCTCACAGACCTGTTAGTTTTTCTTTAAGAAGCCCTCCTGTTCTCCACTCATTACCTGTATTAACTGCACCTGTTTGAACTCGTTACCTGTATAAAAGACACCTGTCCACACACTCAATCAAACAGACTCCAACCTCTCCACAATGGCCAAGACCAGAGAGTTGTGTAAGGACATCAGGGATAAAATTGTAGACCTGCACAAGGCTGGGATGGGCTACAGGACAATAGGCAAGCAGCTTGGTGAGAAGGCAACAACTGTTGGCGCAATTATTAGAAAATGGAAGAAGTTCAAGATGACGGTCAATCACCCTCGGTCTGGGGCTCCATGCAAGATCTCACCTCGTGGGGCATCAATGATCATGAGGAAGGTGAGGGATCAGCCCAGAACTACACGGCAGGACTGGTCAATGACCTGAAGAGAGCTGGGACCACAGTCTCAAAGAAAACCATTAGTAACACACTACGCCGTCATGGATTAAAATCCTGCAGCGCACGCAAGGTCCCCCTGCTCAAGCCAGCGCATGTCCAGGCCCGTCTGAAGTTTGCCAATGACCATCTGGATGATCCAGAGGAGGAATGGGAGAAGGTCATGTGGTCTGATGAGACAAAAATAGAGCTTTTTGGTCTAAACTCCACTCGCCGTGTTTGGAGGAAGAAGAAGGATGAGTACAACCCCAAGAACACCATCCCAACCGTGAAGCATGGAGGTGGAAACATCATTCTTTGGGGATGCTTTTCTGCAAAGGGGACAGGACGACTGCACCGTATTGAGGGGAGGATGGATGGGGCCATGTATCGCGAGATCTTGGCCAACAACCTCCTTCCCTCAGTAAGAGCATTGAAGATGGGTCGTGGCTGGGTCTTCCAGCATGACAATGACCCAAAACACACAGCCAGGGCAACTAAGGAGTGGCTCCGTAAGAAGCATCTCAAGGTTCTGGAGTGGCCTAGCCAGTCTCCAGACCTGAACCCAATAGAAAATCTTTGGAGGGAGCTGAAAGTCCGTATTGCCCAGCGACAGCCCCAAAACCTGAAGGATCTGGAGAAGGTCTGTATGGAGAAGTGGGCCAAAATCCCTGCTGCAGTGTGTGCAAACCTGGTCAAGACCTACAGGAAACGTATGATCTCTGTAATTGCAAACAAAGGTTTCTGTACCAAATATTAAGTTCTGCTTTTCTGATGTATCAAATACTTATGTCATGCAATAAAATGCAAATTAATTAATTACAAATCATACAATGTGATTTTCTGGATTTTTGTTTTAGATTCCGTCTCTCACAGTTGAAGTGTACCTATGATAAAAAATTAAAGACCTCTACATGCTTTGTAAGTAGGAAAACCTGCAAAATCGGCAGTGTATCAAATACTTGTTCTCCCCACTGTATGTATATATGTATGTGTATATATATATATGTGTATGCATGTGTATATGTATATATATCTATATATGTATATATGCGAGAAAAAAAAACATATGGGGCATTGGAAGTGATGCAGACAATTACATTGATGGAAGTTACAATCTATCTGCAATATTAAAGCTGATTTACCCCCTAAAAAAAAAAGAAGAAAAAAAAAAGACAAAAGACACACACACAAGAACACACACGGACACACACACAAAACTGAGTTAATATTCAGATGGACTCATTTCTAATGTGAGGTGACATCATCTGGGCACTCTGCAGATACTATGGGACCTAAAAACACACCTGTCCCTGATTCCTCTCTAAACCAATCAACAATCTCCCCCATCTTCCTCTAAACCAATCAGACCCTTCTCCGCTGAGGCCCCGGCAGTGACAAAGGTTTAATCTGGTTAAATGACCCAGCCCCTTCTTAACAGAGCATTGTGTCCTGATATCCATTTAAGAATCTCATCTTTTCACTTCATAGACCTTTTCACACACTGGCAAAACATCAAAGCTTTACACATTTATATAAATTAGGAAGTTTAGAGACTGTTCAAGGTTGAGAGCAGTCTGGACATTGGTCTGTGTGTCTCAGTAACAGAGTTTGTCTAACCTACCTTTGCCTTTATAAGTGCTCTATTCAATCTGTTTACAGATTGCATGATAGAAATGTAAAGGTAATTTCCGATTTAGCCGACATATGCAGCGTTTACCGTGAATGCAGTCTCCACTAACGCAGGAACATTGCCTTTAAATGTATATCACACTGTAACGCTGAACTTCCATGAATCGGATTGAATAGAGCCCTAAGTCTCTATTCAACCAATAAAGAGGTAATTAAAGTGAAAAAGTAAATAGTGCGGAGAGTTAAGTGTGAGAGTGCAGGATTTATCCTGTTGTAGACTAGTAAGTAGTTAGGGAGTGTGAAGAACAACTGTAACTCCAGGAATTAAAAAGATAATAAGCTAACACGTACACTGAGTGTACAAAACATTAGGAACACAGTGCACCCCCCTTTTCCCTCAGAACAGCCTAAATTAATTCAACAGACTCTACAAGGTGTTGAAAGCGTTCTACAGGGATGCTGGTCCATGTTGATTCCAATGCTTCCCAAAGTTTTGTCAAGTTGGCTGGATGTCCTTTGAGTGGTGGACCCTTCTTGATACACATGGAAAACTGTTGAGCGTGAAAAACCAAGCAGTGTTGCAGTTCTTGACACACTCAAACCAGTGCGCCTGGCACCTACTACCATACACCGTTCAAAGACAGTTAAATATTTTGTCTTGCCCATTCACCCTCTGAATGGCACACATACATAATCCATGTCTCAATTGTCCCAAGGCTTAAAAATCCTTCTTTACCGGTCTCCTCCCCTTCATCTACACTGACTGAAGTGGATTTAACAATTGACATCAATAAGGGATCATAGCTTTCACCTAGATTCACCTGGTCAGTCTATGTCATGGAACGAGTAGTGTTCCTAATGTTTTGTACACTCAGTGTATACTGAAGGTCTTCTGAATGTTAAGATGAAGAGATACTGCTGATATTAGATTAGTAACATTATAGGATACTCAAGAGAAAATAAGATCCCACTTGAAACAAAATGTAGCTAAATCTTTGCAAATATATAGTAATTACATATACTGTAGGCTACACAGGTAGACATTGTTACGTTTTACTAATATAGTACTTCATAGTAATACCTCTTTGTGGTATGTAGTCAGGTATAATCCTGAAATACACATTCACATGAACAGCACGTGTTTAATCTATAATGCTTATCATCCCACCATTCCTCTCTGACTGATTAACAGTTTTTATTGGCATGGCCGACTTTCCTGGGGCTGGGGCCACTGTTCAGGTTAGTAGGTTTACTATGCTACACACTACAGATTCTCAGATCACTTTCAAGTGAACCGAAACCATAGTAATTTAAGTGGGACACAGATGGACCAAAACCCTGCTAACCCTGCCAAGAAGTTGCATCAACCCTGCCAATGGCTTATAATATAAGAAGAACAACCACAAAGATTAACAGAAGCTGAAGAAACTGAACAGTGAGCTAAAACCCACATAGATGCAAAACCCTACTATGAGATTAATCTAAAAACTATTTGAAAGAAGAAGAACTTGGCTATGAAGAGAGTGCAGTAAAAGTTTGTCTGGAGGAAATGGGAGTTCCAAAATGGAACATTCACCTGCCAAATAGAAGTTCTAATGGAACATACAGCGAATGGAATCTTAGGAGTTCCTTCATGGAACAACACAGGGTCTTTTCAGGCTAGACACTGATTCTTGGAGCTGGCAGCCAGGCAAGTCCAAGACGAGAGAACCCTGATCGCTGTAATTGAATTAGATTAAAAGGATGGCTTCACTCCAGGTCTAGTAGAGTGGATTAAACCTATACCCATCCATTACACTTAGTGCTCAGGAGTGGATTTAATTAAAAACTGACTGAGCTGGACAGCCCTTCACCCCCATGCCTCGTTCTCTCTATGCCTGTTTGTCTTGTATTAAAAACAAAGGGGAAATCGAGTTGTAAATTACCAGCAGTGTCAATGTGATACTTTATGCACAAGGCTCACCCAGGCAACTGAAGGTTGAATAACTATTGTATAAACAGAGAGGCTGGTTTCTGTACAATCACAAACTCCACCACACGCCTGCCAGAATATTTTCCAATCCACATGTCACACTTTGTGTTTTATTTGGCATACAGTGGGTGGTGGTGTCCCTGCAGTCAATATTGAAATTATTTCAACTTCTCTCGTTCTCCAGCCTTAAACAAGCTTGTAAATGGGTTCTGAGTGAGAGCCCAAGTAGGGCAGCTTTGCCCTGTGACTGTGACCTGGTCGTCACTAGCTACCACAGCCACAAAGTCATAAACGCTGCCTATTTCTACAATTTATCTTCTTAAAATCTGATTTTAAACCTAACCCTAACCTTAACCACACTGCTGTGACCTGCTCCGGGTCCTCTCTGACTATGGGAGTTATGATCAGGCACCTGGTGAGACACCCAGCTGTGATTGCAATGAAAAGGCTAAACAACACTAGCCTGGATGACACGCCTCACATGGTACACAGCAGAGGGAGAACTGTGACACACTGGTCGGACAGGAGTCCGTTGTGAATGCATTGATTTGATTGGTTCTTTTGTCAGAAAAAAATAAATAATCTGGGGGGTTAATACCTTACGTTGTTTGGATTTGAAAATCCAACAGTTGTATTGGAAGGGGGCGGCGCTTGGGGGCTGTGTGTGGTTGTCCATGTGGGTGTGAGTGAGAGACACAGAAGATAACCAATCAGTAAAAAGGCACATCCCCTTCATTATCGACACATCGTGCCGACAACATAAAAACAGCCTTTCCAGACTCTGAAGTCAGGAGGACTTTGAGTTAGGTGTCAGCCAGACTATAACAACACAGCTTCTTACCTGCTATAGGCAACTATAGCAGACAATGTCAGGCAGCAGGCCAATATTCAGTCCTCCAATTTAACATGCTCAGTACTAATTATCCACAGCATCCACATGCCAAATTGTGTTTTCCTGACTAATTGCACTCTGCAGTATTTTATCTCAAACTCTGAAACCTCTAATAATTGAATGTGAATGACAAGATTGATTTGAATTCAGGACAATTTCGGACACATAAGACTCTGCTCCCCTGTAAAATGACTCTCTCTCTCTTCTCTGATTCTGTACTCTATCCAATCATTTTATCCCGACCCCACCCCTCTCTTGTCCTGTGTGTGTGAGACTCTGTGCCCCTGGTTTGGGGATTATGATCCGGCTGAACTGCTTTAGACAGTAAATCGCTCCCTCTGTAGCCCTGTACTTCCAGGTGACAGCTTTCCATTGCTTGACCAGAACAACGTCTGTGTGTGTGTGTGTCACGTGTGTATGTGTTCCTAATATTCCTAGGACTGTACATTACATTTTAGTTACACTGTTTATACACACTCCATATTTATCTATATACTGGATTCTTTACATAGCTCACTCTAATATATCTACTGTTGTACATATACAGTGCCTTGCAAAAGTATTCATCCCCCATGGCGTTTTTGCTATTTTGTTGCATTACAACCTGTAATTTAAATAGATTTTTATTTGGATTTCATGTAATACACAAAATAGTCCAAATTGGTGAAGTGAAATTAAAAAAATTACTTGTTTCAAAAATGTCTAAAAAATAAATAACGGAAAAGTGGTGCGTGCATATGTATTCACCCCCTTTGCTATGAAGCCCCTAAATAAGATCTGGTGCAACCAATTACCTTCAGAAGTCACATAATTAGTTAAGTAAAGTCCACCTGTGTGCAATCTAAGATTCACATGATCTGTCACATGATCTCAGTCTATATACACCTGTTCTGAAAGGCCCCAGAGTCTGCAACACCACTAAGCAAGGGGCACCACCAAGCAAGCAGCACCATGAAGACCAAGGAGCTCTCTAAACAGGTCAGGGACAAAGTTGTGGAGAAGTACAGATCAGGGTTGGGTTATAAAAAAATATCCGAAACTTTGAACATCCCACGGAGCACCATTAAATCCATTATAAAAATATTGAAAGAATATGACACCACAACAAACCTGCCAAGAGAGGGCCGCCCACCAAAACTCACAGACCAGGCAAGGAGGGCATTAATCAGAGATGCAACAAAGAAGAAAAAGGAATAGTTATGCACGCTCAAGTTTTCTGTTTTTTTTGTCTTACTTCTTGTTTGTTTCACAAGAACAAATATTTTGCATCTTCAAAGTGGTAGGCATGTTGTGTAAATTAAATGATACAAACCCCCAAGAAATCCATTTTAATTCCAGGTTGTAAGGCAACAAAATAGGAAAAATGCCAAGGGGGGTGAATACTTTCGCAAGTCACTGTAATTCTTAGTATATCTTGTATAAATTAATCTGGTGTATATACATATAGACTGCATTTGGATTACTGTTACAGTGCTATTTGGCTTGTTAATTGGATCAGTTACATTTCTTGATTTGTTGTTTTTTTCCTTATTTTTTGTATTATTTGTGTACTTTACTGCATTGTTAGGAGCTAGTAATATAAGCATTTCGCTGCACCCCCTATAACATCTGCTAAAGTGTACATGACCAATAAACTTTGATTTGACATGTGTGTGCGCGTGGTATGAGATGAAAAAACTTGAGTTCCACGAGCTCAAGGGAAAAACCTAGTCTTTAGCTCAGCAGGATAACAGTATCTTGCATCATGCCAATGATGTTGGTTCTATTTGGTCAGATCACAAGTTTGTTGCCTCTCAACCAGAATAGTGTATGAAACATGCAAACCACACACGTGTAAATCAAGACCAGAGTAACACATTTGTTCTGAGCCTCAGCCCATCACATTTTCCCCCATGCCCATCTTCCAGGTGCAGAGTCAGCGCCGGAACTGATACCCTACACAAGGGTCATATGCCACTGCCAGCGCACGCACACACGTACAGAGAAAAACACAAAGATATGTAGAAGATGCATTACACACACATCTGGATACTGGTACACCACACACACGTGTTAATTACTGTGCTATTACACCATCATGGCCCTTCCTTGCTTTTCCTCAATAGAATACTTATGTACAATGTCATGATGCTAGTGCTTCGCACATGTTCAATGAGTTTGTAGAGGCAGAGAGAGAAATCTAATTAGAAAAACTCAGAATGTCAAAGTTCCTAGTTTTTCTAGTTGATTTGATCTTGACTAGGGATATATTATGCAAGAGCCCAATACCACCAAATGGCATCAGGACTCAAACTGAGTAACAGGCTATTTCCACGGATAGGTGGTATTACCTTCAGTGCGCACTTCTCCCCAGTTTTCTTATTGGTGCATTCCAGAACCTTCCCATTGATCCCCAACCCAAGGACCTGATTGGAGATCTTATACTCGTCTGTCACCGCGTTACGCTTTATCTCCAATTTGGGGTAAACGGGCATAGTGAAGTGCGTGGAATCCGTGTCCTCCTGTGCAGCCGGCGCCGCGTTGTCTGTGGGGGCTTGCTCGGTTTGAGGTTCTGATGGGGAGTCAGGTTCTGGCTCAGCCTTCGGCGGTTCAGAAGGTTTCTCCTTACCGTTACCATTTTGTAGCATGGTCACACAGATGATGTGTCCGTGAGTGGTCAACCAGGATTTTAAAAAACGGACCTCAACAGGCTAATATGATTTTGCAAGTGAAATGACGCGCTTGTCCAGTAATTTACAACAAGCAGAAATGACTCCTTGACATCGCTACGGGCGCGCATTCGGTGTTCACTTACTCGTGGCCAGTTCCTGTGTGCCTCGGGATGTTTAAAACATTTAAAAGACAATAGCATACGAGTCAAACGTCCCACTATTAAAAAGGTTTTATACTAAAACTTTTCTAAAATGGAAAAAATAAAATGGAAAATACTTTACGGTATATACACAACAGTAGCCTATTGATCTTCTTCAACCAATTATTAAATTCAAGTTCAATACAATAATCATGCATATCCACGGGGTAAAAAAAATCACAATAACCATGTCCAGATCTGAATAGGCTAGAGTAGAATTGTGGTCAGATGCCTTCGGTTAAACTGGCCTCGTAGCTTTCCAACGTCCTTTTGTCACATGGGCTACTGACTGAGGGGAGCTTACATACGCATTACCCTCTACTCAAGTAATTTCTCAACTGGCTTTCTCTTAAAGGAGCAGTACATTTGTCGGCAAATAACTAGTAGTCTGTACTAGGACAGCTAGGCCCGAAGGGTAGGGTTGAATGGAATCAAATAAAAAAATGCCCCTAGACTAACTGCAATCTGTCAGAGTAGGTGGTATCATTAATTTTTGTTTTTAAATGTATCTGCTTTTAAACAAACTCTACTTCAAGACCATGCACAAGTGTGTCAAAATGTTCAAGGACATCCCAGGTGAGTGATGCATCTGATTTGTAATCAAAGTGCTTATTATAATCCAGGCCTAAATCCCCCCAAAAGCAAAAATCAATGAGTGGCAAGGAAAAAACTGATGATCAAGAGCGAGGGAGAGAGAAACAGATATATATAGAGAGGGGTGGGGGTAAGGAGACAGGGATGGACATCCTTGAAAACTGAAGCAGGCCACATCACCTGCTTAGCTAAACACTGTCATTCTGGCAGTCATTTTAAACACATATTCCAACATAAATAGTATGACGGTATAGCTTAATCTGACATCTGAGAGTATATCATTTATTGCATAGAGACTAAATACAGACTGAACTAAACTTTGCATAGAGTCTTAAAGTGGATTGAATAAACTGTGTGACTTACTGGTTCATCAGTTTAAATATTATGGGATTAGTGGAGGAAACTGTTTTATTGCTCTCCTCTTCCAAAATAGCACAACTAAAATAAACTTCACTGCAGTTGGCAGTGCCTTCAGAAAGTATTCACAACCCTTGACTTTTTCCACGTGTTACCACCTGAATTTAAAATTGATTAAATTGAGATTTTCTTGTCACTGGTTTACAACAATACCCCATAATGTCAAAGTGGAGTTTTTTGACATTTAATTTAAAATGAAAAGCTGAAATGTCTTGAGTTAATAAGTATTCAACCCCTTTGTTATGGCAAGCCTAAATAAAGTTCAGGAGTAAAAATAAAAAGTAACATAATACGTTTCATGGACTCACTCTGTGTGCAATAATAGTGTTTAACATGATTTATGAATGACTACCTCATCTCTATACCCCACACATACAATTATCTGTAAGGTCCCTAAGTCGAGCAGTGAATTTAAAAACACAGATTCAACCACATAGACCAGGGAGGTGTTCCAATGCCTCGCAAAGAAGGGCACCTATTGGTAGATTGTTTTTTTTAAAAAGAAGCAGACATTGAATATCATTTTGAGCATGGTAAAGTTATGAATTACACTTTGGATGGTGTATCAATACACCCAGTCACTACAAAGATACAGGCGTCCTTCCTAACTAAGTTGCCGGAGAGGAAGGAAACCGCTCAGGGATTTCACCATGAGGCCAATGGTGACTTTAAAACAGTTACAGAATTTAATGGCTGTGATAGGAGAAAACTGAGGATGGATCAACAACATTGTAGTTACTCCACAATACTCATCTAATTGAAAGAGTGAAAAGAAGGAAGCCTGTACAGAAAAAAAATATTCCAAAACATGCATCCTGTTTGCAACAAGGCACTAAAGTAATAATGCAAAAAATGTGGCAAAGCAATTAACTTTGGGGCAAATCCAATACAACACATTATTGAGTACCACTCTCCATATTTTCAAGCACAATGGTGGCTGCAACATGTTATGGGTATGCTTGTAATCGTTAAGGACTGGGGAGTTTTACAGGATAAAAAAGAAATGGAATGAAGCTAAGCACAGGCAAAATCCTAGATGAAAACCAGGTTCAGTCTGCCTTCCACCAGACACTGGGAGATTAATTCACCTTTCAGCAGATCAATAACCTAAAACACAAGGCCAAATCTACACTGGAGTTGCTTAGTAAGACAGTGAATGTTCCTGAGTGGCTGACTTACAGTTTTGACTTAAAACTACTTCAAAATCTATGAAAAGACCTGAAAATGGTTGTCTAGCAATGATCAACAACAATTTGACAGAGCTTGAAGAATGTTGAGAAAAATTATGGGCAAATGTTGCACAATCCTGGTGTGGAAGGCTCTTACCCAGAAAGACTCATAGCTGTAATCGCTGCCAAAGATGCTTCTACAAAGTATTGACTCAGGGGTGTGAATACTTGTGTAACTGAGATCTCTGTATTTCATTTTCAATAAATTTGCAAAAATGTCTAAAAACATGTTTTCACTTTGTCATTATGGGGTATTATGTGTAGATGGGTGAGAGAAAAAAAACAGTTTAATCAATTTTAAATTCAGGCTGTATCACAACAAAATGTGGAATAAGTCAAGGGGTATGAATACTTTCTGAAGGCACTGTAGAAACATAAAAACATTCCCCCTCAGCTAAAATGTGCATCCTGCCAGGAAAGTCCAGTTTGTTTGATTTTCATGTTTTTGTTGTTGTTGTGTATGTAGTAAGGGAAACAGAAACTGTGTGTGTTGATTGTGTTTAGTAGTCCAGCGCACAGATGAGGGCCACGCCCTGTTTGATCCAGTATCTCTGGGTGGTGTGTGTGGGCAGCTCCACAGCGATCACGTAGTTAGTAGAGTGACCCGTCGTAGACAGAGTTCCTATAGAGGAAACACGGAGATGCAGTCAGGACCAGACTCAAACTACTGCACTCCCTTTTATACTGATTCAGGTAAATCATGGTGATCTCATCTGTCAAGAAACTGTAATAGTCCCTGGAAGCTGACGGTGGAAAATACAGAGCTACAGTATGAAGCATTTTGTTATTGGACACCGGGTCTATTTTGGGCATGTAATAAACCACCTAAAAGAAGCACACGGGCTAATACACTATTACACAGACAGACACACTAATATAAGGGTATGCAAACACACACCAGCACACACACACACAAGGCAAGCACAAATTAGCACACACACAAACACTGTTGGAGCCAGATCCATGTACATGAGTGTATACAGTAGGTGCAGTATTGGCCTGTTCTATTGCTCAGGCACTGACCGGCGCGTGTGAGGGTCTTGTAGATGGGGCAGATGTAGACCCCTGAAGTGGGTGGTTTGCGGTTGGGCTCAGGGACCATCCAGATGACAGCCATCTCAGTGTAGAGCTCTTTGGGCCGTGACTCAGTGAGCAGGCCTACCTTGGCGTCCCAGCGGGCCCCCTCCAGGAACAGGCCGTGGATGTAGCAACCCATCTCAGGCCTCTCCTTCAGCGCAGAGGCAGACTCCCTCATCACCTGGGATGGGACATAAAGGAGAAGGCACAGATGTCATTAAGTTCAAGGATGTCATCAAAAACTTCCAATGTAGAAATCGGCCAAGTAATACCCAATCAAAACAAGTAATCAATTTTCCATCAGTCTTTGGAAATACTGTAGGTTTATGTAATTTCTCACTATAAATGTAACCTGCAATATGAAATAAATTCTCATTTGGGGAGGAGGGAAGGGAGGAAGGGAGTGAGCGTGTGCTGCTATCTCACCCTGAAGTCAAAGCCGATGGTATCTATGGAGAGCACGGAATGGCGGGCAAAGTTCTGCAGTGTTCCTGTGAGGAAGGCTTGGGGGAAGAAGAAGCCACTGATCCAGAAGACAGGTGGGACACCGTCAGAGATCCAGCCATGTAGGAACTTGATCCTCTGGAGCAGGTCAGACACCCAGGAGGCCAGGGGTTTCAGAGAGGGGTAGGCCTGGTGGAAGACAGGGAGAGACGGAGGGAGTCCTTAATGACATGTACACATTTCAATGGGGTTCTCAAATGAACAGGAATCAGACAGCAGTATACAGATGAAACAATGTATTGTAAAACCAATAACCAATACCAATAAATTGAAGGCAAAACTACAGAATATAATGTAACCTTGGTGACTTGGTTGTTTTTTAGCACAGACTGTAGTATTTACTGTGGGACATATTTGGGAGATGGACCAGTTGCTAGGCAACAGTGCGACACGCGAGAGAGAAGAGAGAGGACTCACAAAAACTACAAGCTATCAACGTTTGTAACTAATTGTTTCAAGCAGTTTAAAGATGTGTACTTCGCTCACCAGGGCAAATAAATGTAGTATATATGACATTTAGTTGAGGATCGCCGATCACTGTGAGCTCAGCAAGGGAATTGTTGCTTGTACTTTCTCGGACTGAGAGGATCAACTGTCATCAACAGGCTGTTCTTTCTGTCTCTCAACCGCTATGCTGAGAGACTGTGATACAACGATCGTGGTAAAAGAGAGAGGAATTAATAGTTTGAGTGGTCCCGTTTAAATTGAAGAGGACTGTTTTGTTTTTGGGGGTTTTCACAAAAGGAAAAGTGTCGAGACGTTTCAGTGTGTTTCATAGATGCGGTAAAGAGGTCAATCAAACTCGACCAAAACAATGGAATTACCATGGAAACACGTGGGGGAAAGGGATGTGGGGGAAAGATTCCAAATCTCCTCATAGAGTACCACAGTATGAGTCATAATACCCATTAAATCTAGTGGTCAAACAAGGAAATTATTCCAATCGTTTTCCCACCATACATTTTTCCCATAGGGGATTTTAGAAACACTTAAAATAGGGACTGTGTTTCGTATAGGCTTACCCTGGCATGACGTTTTGATAACCGTGTAAGTCTTTCTAGGACAAGGTGACTTTTATCTATATACAGTACCAGTCCAAAGTTTGGACACACCTACTCATTCAAGGGTTTTTCTTTATTTTGACTATTTTCTACATTGTAGAATAATAGTGAAGACATCAAAACTATGAAATAACACATATGGAATCATGTAGTAAGCAAAGAAGTGTTAAACAAATCAAAATATATTTTATATTTGAGATTCTTCAAATAGCCACCCTTTGCCTTGATGACAGCTTTGCACACTCTTGGCATTCTCTCAACCAGCTTCACCTGGAATGCTTTTCCAACAGTCTTGAAGGAGTTCCCACATATGCTGAGCACTTGTTGGCTGCTTTTCCTTCACTCTGCCGTCCGACTCATCCTAAACCATCTCAATTGGGTTGAGGTCGGGGGATTGTGGAGGCCAGGTCATCTGATGCAGCAATCCATCACACTCCTTCTTGGTAAAATAGCCCTTACACAGCCTGGAGGTGTGTTGGGTCATTGTCTTGTTGAAAAACAAATGATAGTCCCACTACGCCCAAACCAGATGGGATGGCATATCGCTGCAGAATGCTGTGGTAGCCATGCTGGTTAAGTGTGCCTTGAATTCTAAATAAATCACAGACAGTGTCACCAGCAAAGCACCCCCACACCATAACACCTCCTCCTCCATGCTTTACGGTGGGAACTACACATGTAGAGATCATCCGTTCACCCACACCACGTCAAAGACACAGCGGTTTGAACCAAAAATCTCCAATTTGGACTCCAGACCAAAGGACAAATTTCCACCAGTCTAATGTCCATTGCCCGTGTTTCTTGGCCCAAGCAAGTCTCTTCTTATTATTGGTGTCCTTTAGTAGTGGTTTCTTTGCAGCAAATCGACCATGAAGGCCTGATTCACACAGTCCCCTCTGAACAGTTGATGTTGAGATGTGTCTGTTACTTGAACTCTGTGAAGCATTTATTTGGGCTGCAATTTCTGAGGCTGGTAACTTTAATGAACTTATCCTCTGCAGCAGAGGTAACTCTGGGTCTTCCATTCCTGTGACAGTCCTCATGAGAGTCAGTTTCATCATAGCGTTTGATGGTTTTTGCGACTGCACTTGAAGAAACTTTCAAAGTTCTTGACATTTTCAGTATTGACTGACCTTCATGCCTTAAAGTAATGATGGACTGTCGTTTCTCTTTGCTTATTTGAGCTGTTCTTGCCATAATATAGACTTGGTCTTTTACCAAATACGGCTATCTTCTGTATACCCCCCATACCTTGTCACAACACAACTGATTGGCTCAAACGCATTAAGAAGGAAATAAATTCCACAAATTAACTTTTAAGAAGGCACACCTGTTAATTGAAATGCATTCCAGGTGACTACCTCATGAAGCTGGTTGAGAGAATGCCAAGAGTGTGCAAAGCTGTCATCAAGGCAAGGGGTGGCTATTTGAAGAATCTAAAATCTAAAATATATTTTGATTTGTTTAACACTTTTTTGGTTACGACATGATTCCATATGTGTTGTTTCTTGTTTTGATGTCTTCACTATTATTGTACAATGTAACAAATTGTAAAAATAAAGAAAAACCCTTGAATGAGTAGGTGTGTCCAAACTTTGGACTGGTAGTGTATTTGCCTCGGTCACAGGCCAGTAAAGTTTGGAACGGATTCGTGAGTGTATTTCAGACTTAGCATTTTTTCGAATGTCTTTTATTGTGTTGAAGGGGATCCCCATTTAAAGTATCTATGAGCGCTCTTAGGTGTTAAACTCTGGTACCAGGTCTTTACTAATTAGATGAGTGTGTATATACAGTAGCTGTGATTGATTTAGTGATTCAAAAGGGGTTGATAATAACTGTTGGTATATACCATGTTTTCAACTTGCGTTGTTTATTGAAACTGAATTGACATGTTTTCCTTTTTAATAATAATTCATAACTATTAGATGTTAGTGATTATTCTTTTGCATAGTTCAAGGGATATCTAATTGGTGTGTAATTCAATACTGTGTGGGCATATTATATTTCCTAGTGGGTAAACTATGTATTCTTTAGGGGTATATTACCTACTAGGTGGAGGCACTGCACTATTTTATTTTTGGTTAGGCCCACCCAGTCCACACACTAATTTTCACATGGTGCCTGCTTACAGACCACATAGTTTATTACTGCCACACACCTTAATACTAGGTCCAAACTGATATGAACTCAGGTCCCTCAGCAGAGAGGGCTAAAATAATGTAACTCTAAATATGTTCATGTATACGTTCCTGTAAATACCTTGGCCTGCCACATGTCAGGGACTTTGTTGATGAATAGGCTGTTGGCCATAAGCTCCAGTTCTGATGACATCACCACTAAGCCCTTCAGAGCCTTCACGATATCACTGAGGCTCTGGGATATGACCGCTAACAACCGGTTATACCTGAGAGAGAGAAGGGTGGGTGGAGAGAGATAGGAGAAAGAAAGAGATACTCAGGAGAATGTTGACTATAGAAGAGCTCTCTGATATGAAATATTGGGATGGTAACTGGAACTGTCTTGAGGTTAATGGTGGGAGAAACAGATCTGTCACTAGACAGAATGTTAGGGACTTCAGCAGTGGTTTATGACAGGACTAGGCTACCTGATGACCTCCTGGATCAGGACTGTGTTCATGGACTCCTCATACTGGACTGGGTACTTAGTCATCACCTCCTGAACACTGAAAGGCTGGGGGACCTTCTCAACAATGCCTGCCACTATCTCCTCCACGATCTACAGGGAGAGACAAACAAGATGCATTACCAGCCCAGCCTGAATTCCTTCAAACTTACAACCACTCAACCCCCCCCCCCCCCCCCCCCCCCCCCTTAAGTCACCATTGGCCTCATGGTGAAATCCCTGAGCGGTTTCCTTCCTCTCCAGCAACTGAGTTAGGAAGGACGCCTGTATCTTTATAGTGACTGGGTGTATTGATACACCATCCAAAGTGTAATTAATAACTTCACGATGCTCAAAGGAATATTCAATGTCTTTTCTTTTTTTTTTTGCCAATCTACCAATAGGTGGCCTTCTTTGCGAGGCACTGGAAAACCTCCCTGGTCTTTGTGGTTGAATCTGTGCTTGAAATTCACTGCTCGACTGAGGAACCTTACAGATAATTGTATGTGTGGGTTACAGAGATGAGGTAGTCATTCAGACATCATGTTAAACACTAGTATTGCACACAGAGTGAGTTCATGCAACTTTATATGTGACTTGTTAAGCATATTTTTACTCCTGAACTCATTTAGGCTTGCCATAAAAAAGGGGTTGAATACTTATTGACTTAAGACATTTGTAGAAATGTCTAAAAACATAATTCCAGTTTGACATTATGGGGTATTGTGTGTAGGCCAGTGACACAAAATCTCAATTCAATCTATTTTAAACTCAGGCTGTAACACAACAAAATGTGGAAAAAGTCAAGGGGTGTGAATACTTTCTGAAGGCATTGTATGTTAGCATGTCAACAGAATGGTGCCCTGAGTATTTCCTATGAGCTTTTGTTAACTAGAAGAATGTAACCAATTTTGTGCATCTGTTCAACTCAAATCCGCTGGTCTTTGCCAAGTCTAACAGCTAAGGAAACTACAGTAACAGCTGTATAAGCAAAAAATATAAGTAAGACCAGCTGCTGACACGACCCCAGATGGGACAATATACAAAATAAAAAAACAAGTTCAAAACCTGTTACTTGCTGGGGTAGAGTTTCAGTGAGAGAAGACACAGGAGAGGACACACACAGTACACATACACACAGTACACACACACACACAGTACACACACACAGTACACACACAAACACACACAGTACACACACACACAGTACCTCTTCTCTGGCCTTGCCCCCGCTGGCTGCTGCTTTAGGCTGGAGCTGCATCACAGCTCCCAGCAGGGTAAACGCCTCATTCTGGGCAAAGCTGATGTTAGCATTGTCATGGAGACCAAAGATCTCAGGTGTGTCGTTGATGGGCAGGCCACGGATGTACGCCAGGTAGCCCTGAGAGACAAGCAAAATGGATATTAGTGGTTGTTGGTTGGGAATTAGCCAGTGTTTAATTGGTGCTTAACCAGACCAAACTAACCGTCTCATTCTCTGACCTTGATGTCGAGCTCAGTGTCGATCTGCCTGTAGACTCCGGAGGCGGAGTAGGCGTAGTCGGCACCGAGCACAGCAGGACAGTAGAAGTCCTCCAACACGTTGAGGATGCAGCGGCGGTCCCAGTCATCGGTCACACGGCCACCATAGTTGATCTCCCCTGCAGTGTACTTCAGAACCTGGACAGATGGAGTAGAGAACAAGTGCACAATCAATCACTGAGAGAACGCAGGCACACACACCAGAAAAAAAGGACACACTGAACCATACAAAAAATGCATAATCTTGCTAGAGGTATTTGTTTCAGCTGATAGTTCAAATATATGTAATAAGAATGACATTTCAATGACAATAGGAACCAATTTGGAATATTTGCAGTGTGTCAGACAGTGGACAAGAACGTGTGAAGTGTTACAGGGAGAGAAGAGAGATACGTTTTAGGACTGTAGACAGGAATAGTGGACAGTGGAGAATAGCTAAAAGAAAGGGATCAGAGATAAAAGAGTAGGATATGAGAGGAGAGAGAAGGAGAGGGGAGATGAAAAGAGAAATACTAAAGGAAAAGCTGGAAGAGAAGGAAGAGAGAGAGAGAGAGAAGAGAGAGAAGAGAGAGAGAGAGAGTGTCTTCCCCACCTTGTAGGGGATGTCCTGGTACTCATCCAGGAACATCTTGAGCTGGCTGATACAGATGCGCAGGTCACCGTCAGTGAACTCATACGGGATGTTGAACCCCAGTGGGCCGAACTTTCTGCGCTCAATGGCATTACCGTGGAACAGGCACAGAGACAGGAGCAAGGACTTAAGCTCTGCAGCCTGGAGAGGAGAGGAGGAACAGGGGACAGTGTTAGACGAGGGGTCTAGATATGTAGAGTTTTCCACTTGAATTACACAATACAGTCACAGTATAGTATGGGAGTGAGAGGAGCCAGACCCTGGTGCAGGTAGTGATGAAGTCATCATTCAGGCTTAGGTAGGTCTTCAACAGGTTGGCCTTGATGCCTCTGGGAGGCTCGATGGTCATCTTAGAGCCATTCTGCAGGATAGACACAGGGAACTTGTTGCTGGGCAGGCTAGTGAGCCACAGACGGAAATCCCGGTGTACCTGAAAAGGAATGAATAGGGTGTTGGCAGGTTTAAGAGTGAGAAAGGTTTCTACATCTCACTTTACTGTATATCTTCAGTTGTGTGTGTGTGTGTGTACTTCTAGGTGAGCCCACCTTATCTGGGTCAATGTTCTCAATGAGTCTCTCCATGGAGGGCATCCAGCTGGGTGCCAGGTGACAATTCTGGAAGAAGACCCACTTTCCCCTCTCCATGGCACTGTGCATCATGGCCTCAGCCCAGGGACCCTGGCACACAACCACAACACACAGGACCAGTTACACAGAGGTCTCAGATGATACCAACATGACAGTGAAATACTGTAGAGATCACCAGGCTTAGGTTCAAACCTCATGACTTTGAGCCTTAGCCTAACTCTGTCTGTCTCAGTTATTTCTCAGACTGGCTTGCACTCATTGTGATGGTGAATGTAGCACGTCTTTAGAAGGGGATACATACAGGACACAGAGTCCTAGTCCTCTGGCTAGAAATAGGCTGGTAATTATCACTGAGGTGGGGAGACTTAGCTTTTCTTAGCATGACAAATGAGAGTGACCTCATTGGGAGGACTAATTTACAGTGGGCTGTCCCATGGGTGTGAGGAGTGAGTTTCCCAGGCATTCCCCAGGCCCTGCTGACCTGCCCCTGGCCCAGGGAGATGGCACTCATCTTCTTGGAGAACTTCATGACGTCAGCAAACTTGTAGAGGTCAGCGGCAGGGTCGGTTCCGGGGGATAGGACGAAGATGAGGGGTGTGGAGGGGGATGACTCCTTAAATACAACAGACAGATCTGATGCCTGAGGGAGAGATGGAAGGAAGGAGGGAGTTAGGGAGGGAGTAAGGAGAGAGAGGTACAGTAAAGAAGGGTGTATGAGAAACATAAAATAAACAATGAGGTGACCTACATTGGGAAAAACTCTGATGAGTTTATATTGTAAATATTTAAACCAAATGGCTTTAGAATAAACCTGGTGGCAAAGTGTTTACACTGAGTTGGATACAGGGCAAACCAATTTATACCAAAGATGGCATTGACAGTGGCACTGAGGAAAATGCAACTTAGGATGTCTTCACTACCCGGGAAGGCAAAAGTGAAAAAGAGTTGGTACAGCACCTGTGGCTCTATGAAGCGCTGGCCCAGCTGAGCAGCCACAAAGTCCTGCAGGCCGTGAGTCATGCGGTCAGCCCTCAGGCAGCGCAGGATCAACAGCTTCTGGAAAGAGTCCAGTTGGGTGTTCCATTCCCCTGGGACCGGCTCCCTACACACACACGCACACATGCACGCACACCAGTCAGCAGTCAGTGTAGGTGTAATTTGCAGTATCTATTGACACACTGCAAACTAGCATGTGTTGTGTCTACACTCTTAGAAAAAAAGGTGCTATCTAGTCCTAAAGGCACTCAGTAATGGAAAGTGGCAGCTTGAGTAATAAAAAAAAGAACTTTGTCACACAACCCATTTGTAATGGGTAACTTAAATAATACTTGGGACATTGAGGATGTTTTATTTGTCTTTAAAGAAAAGTAGGAGATTGTTTAGTTCATGTTTTAAGTATCCCTATATTTCTGTTATTACGGTGCTATCACTCTGTTATGAGTACGCCTGCGCGGTAGTCTCTCTGTTGATGGACCTGGCCTGAGTGCAATGGCAACTGTGTACTGTGGAAATACAGTGAAGTAAACGTTGTTAAACTGGAACCTAGTCATTGTGTCATTTTGAGTTAACATCTAGAACCTAAAAGGGTTCTTCAGCTGTCCCCATAGGAGAACCCTTTGAAGAACCCTTTATGGTTCCAGTTAGAACCCTTTTGGGTTCAATCTAGAACCCTTTCAAAAGATGGTTCTACATGGAACCAAAAAGGGTTCTCCTATGGGGACAGCCAAATGAAGAACCCTTTTGGAACCCTTTTTCTAAGAGTGCAGGGTTGGCAGGCACAATATCAGTGGCACGGCAATCTGAGGTATCATGGCAAGGAAACAAAACATGAAGTGGACTGCATTTCTTGGCTATAGTACACAATATTTTACATAGGACCATAAAGTTCAGTCTGCTTGCTGTTTTCTTTTTTGCCATGGAAAATCGGGTATTGTGGTATTGCGATATGAGTATCGTGACAACCCTAGTTGTGTTTATAAGAAATTGAGCTTCTGTGTTCGTGTGTGTATACAGCACATCTCTGTGAATCTGGAAGGAAGTATTTGTGTGTGTGAAGACCTGTTTGGCTGGCTGCTGTCAAAGATCCTCTTGAAGGCCTTCATGTGTTTGGGGAAGCTCTCTGCCAGGCTGTTGAAGGTGGGCAAAGCGCTGAGGCCCAGGATGTCCTGCCAGGCACGCTCAGACAGCCACCTCACTGCAGGGTTGGTCAGCTGCTGCTGGGGCATGCCCCCCGCCAGCAGGTACCGCCACTCAGACTGGCAGGGGGAACACAAACAGAGTATGAGCACAGATACACTGTAAACACAATAATACAGACCAAAAACTAAACACCACCAGTTCCTCCTACCATATCGATCTTGTTCTCATTCATCATGATGCGAGCGCACAGCAGGAAGGCGAACATGAGCTTGTGCTTCTCAAACAGAGAGCGGCACACGTTGCTGTACAGGCTGAAGGTGAAGAACTCATTGATGTTAATGATCCTCTGCTCCACCGTGTCTAGGAGGGACACACAGGGCCAACACAATGGGAAAAGGAGCAGTTTATTAAGAGTTTATTTAGGGGGTTGGATATATTCATGCTACCTTTGGTGCTTAACAATACATGCTATAGAAAAGTGTTTGGCCAAGATTTTGACATTGCTGTGATGTTAGTAGTTAAGCATTCAGTTGTGAAAGGGTTGTCCTAAAATGTGTACAAATACAGTATGTATGTCTACATTTATGTGGGTGTGTGAGTTCTCTTTACCTGCTCTCTCGGAGTTGGCAATGCCCGACATGAAGATGCCCAGGAACCACTCCAGGGAGTACTGGTACATGGGGTCCACGTTGGACAGGTCCGACACGCAGAAGAAGAGGATCTGAGTACGCACAGCCACGGGGACATACTCCAGACGAGTGGCATCAATGTCCCGCTCTGTCTCCTCGGCCACCTTCACTTTGGCCTGACAATAACATCAGCCTTTGTTATGGTCATAGTGCCACATCAACGACTCAACAGTCGATTGAACAGTAACAGTATGTTCTTCGCAAAGGGGCAGAGTTAAAAATACATTTGGAAATAACATGTAAAAGCCTATTTTTGGGAAATCCAAAGGGGTCAAGTTGAAGTGTGGTGGTCACACTGCTCCCCGTGTCTGACCTGGATCTCTCCGGCCTTCATCTTGGAGGCGCCCAGCACCCGTATGAGTTCCTCATCGTCCACAGGGTTTCCCTCAGAGGAGCTGAGGCGGAACAGGATCTGGTCTTCTATCTCCTTCAGCTCCTGCTTCATACGAGCGTTACTCACTATCAGCTGGTTCTTAGCCTCCTCCAGGTCAGGCCTCTCCTCAGCCACCACCCGGCCCAGCAGCTGGTCCTCCAGACCACTACACACAGACACAGACACAGACACAGACAGACAAACACACACACACACACACACACACACACAGGGTCAGAGTTCAACCGGCCAGGGATTAGGGGCCAGTGTCTAAGTGAAGGTGGGTGAGCACAGCACCTGGAGGACAGGGTGAAGTTGATGAGGGTGACCTTAGTGGAGATCTCAGGGGAGTAGTGTGGGTTAGGTAGCTTGGTGGTGATGTACATCTTGAAGTCATCGTGGTAGGGAATGACAGCGTCTCCCAGCTTCAGAACTGTGCTGCCCTGCTGCTTGTACGTCTGAGGGCGACAACAAGCAACAACTGCAATGAGTTGACTTTATTGTGTGTTGACTGAGTGTCTTATCTACGTGTTATGTGCTCTAGGTAAGGACCTGTCGCAGTAGGACGGGTTCTAGAGCAGGGTCTAGTTCCTCTCCGACATTCTCTAGTAAGCAAGGCTTCCCGAAGCGAATGGCATTTTCCAGACTACGCAGGAAGTCCCGGTCACTCAGCTTCATCACGTCCAATCCATTGTCACGCTCCTGAGAGGAAGAAGGAAGCAGGGTTCAACCATCATGTCTAACCAACAGCTGCTGCATATACAGTGGCTTGCGAAAGTATTCACCCCCATGGCATTTTTCCTATTTTGTTGCCTTACAACCTGGGGGTTTGTATCATTTGATTTACACAACATGCCTACCACTTTGAAGATGCAAAATATTTTTTATTGTGAAACAAACAAGAAATAAGACTTGAGCATGCATAACTATTCACCCCCCCAAAGTCAATACTTTGTAGAGCCACCTTTTGCAGCAATTACAGCTGCAAGTCTCTTGGGGTATGTCTCTATAAGCTTGGCACATCTAGCCACTGGGATTTTTGCCCATTCTTCAAGGCAAAACTGCTCCAGCTCCTTCAATATGAATGGGTTCCGTTGGTGTACAGCAATCTTTAAGTCATACCACAGATTCTCAATTGGATTGAGGTCTGGGCTTTGACTAGGCCATTCCAAGACATTTAAATGTTTCCCCTTAAACCACTCGAGTGTTGCTTTAGCAGTATGCTTAGGCTCTTTGTCCTGCTGCAAGGTGAACCATCGCCCCAGTCTCAAATCTCTGGAAGACTGAAACAGGTTTCCCTCAAGAATTTCCCTGTTTTTAGCGCCATCCATCATTCCTTCAATTCTGACCAGTTTCCCAGTCCCTGCCGATGAAAAACATCCCCACAGCATGATGCTGCCACCACCATGCTTCACTGTGGGGATGGTGTTCTCGGGGTGATGAGAGGTGTTGGGTTTGCGCCAGGTTTTCCTAGATGGCCAAAAAGCTCAATTTTAGTCTCATCTGACCAGAGTACCTTCTTCCATATGTTTGGAGAGTCTCCCACATGCCTTTTGGCTAACACCAAATGTGTTTGCTTATTTTTTTCTTTAAGCAATGGCTTTTTTCTGGCCACTCTTCCAGTAAAGCCCAGCTCTGTGGAGTGTACGGCTTAAAGTGGTCCTATGGACAGATACTTTGCAGTTCCTTCAGGGTTATCTTTGGTCTCTTTGTTGCCTCTCTGATTAATGCCCTCCTTGCCTGGTCCATGAGTTTTGGTGGGCGGCCCTCTTTTGGCAGTTTTGTTGTAGTGCCATATTCTTTCTATTTTTTAATAATGGATTTAATGGTACTCCGTGGGATGTTCAAAGTTTCTGATATTTTTTTATAACCCAACCCTGATCTGTACTTCTCCACAACCTTGTCCCTGACCTGTTTGGAGAGCTCCTTGGTCTTCATGGTGCCGCTTGCTTGGTGGTGCCCCTTGCTTAGTGGTGTTGCAGACTCTGGGGCCTTTCAGAACAGGTGTATATATACTGAGGTCATGTGACAGATCATGTGACACTTAGATTGCACACATGTGGACTTTATTTAACTAATTATGTGACTTCTGAAGGTAATTGGTTGCACCAGATCTTATTTAGGGGCTTCATAGCAAAGGGGGTGAATACATATGCACGCACCAGTTTTCTGTTATTTATCTTTTTAGAATTTTTTGAAACAAGTTATTATTTTCATTTCACTTTACCAATTTGGACTATTTTGTGTATGTCCATTACATGAAATCCAAATAAAAATCCATTTAAATTACAGGTTGTAATGCAACAAAATAGGAAAAACACCAAGGGGGATGAATACTTTGCAAGGAAATACATGACCATATCCCCCGTTAAATACAGGTGTCTCATTACATACAGATGCTGAAATAAAACAACCTTTACTTACACAATGCAAAGCAGGACATTTTGGTTCTCTCTATTTTCTAAAGACACTATCTAAAGAAAGGCCCAAAGGAAGGAAGGTCCAAAAAATTGTCAAAGACTCCAGTCACCCAAGTCATAGACTGTTCTCTCTGCAACCTCACGGCAAGCGGTACCGGAGCACTAAGTCTAGGTCCAAAAGTCTCCTTAACTGCTTCTACCCCCAAGCCATAAGACTGCTAAACAATTAATCAAATGGCCACCCAGACTATTTGCAATGACACCCCCCCCCTTTGATTTTACACTGCTGCTACTCGCTGTTTATTATCGATGCATAGTCACTTTACCCCTACCTACATGTACAAATTACCTCGACTAACCTGTACCCCAGCACATTGACTCGGTACCGGTACCCCTGTATTAGCCTCGTTATTGTTATTTTATTGTGTAATTTTTTTTTTTTTATGTTTACTTTAGTTTATTAAGTAAATATTTTCTTAACTCTATTTTCTTAAAACTGCATTGTTGGTTAAGGGCTTGTAAGTAAGCATTTCACGGTAAGGTCTACACCTGTTGTATTCAGCGCATGTGACAAATACAATTTGATTTAATTTGAAAGCTGTGTAGTAATGGTTGTGGGTCATGAGAGTAGTAGCTCTATGGCTCCCTCTGTGGACTATGGTTGGAATCAGACCAGTGCACAGGAATCACAAAAGATTCTCACCATGTTTTTGACCCACTTATTGGCCTGTCCCTGTGGGTCGATGAAAAGAGCCCAGCGCTGAGAGTATTGTGTGATCACACCATTTTCCACCGACAGGTTATCCTTAGGCAGCCCTGTGATCTATACACACACACACGCACACATACATACACACATGCAAGATGGGATATTGGGATTATTTTACATAGCTATATTATTTGATACCCCGGGTCAGTCTGATATAGGATATTATGTTGTATCTGTGCTGGTAGTGTTGTGAGGGGTTCTGACCTGCCAGGAGCGGATCTTGACCTTGTCCCCCAGAGTGCTGATGAGGTTGGCCTCCTCTGTGTGGGGCACCCCCTGCTCTTTAAAGCCACGCAGCCACTCATCTGCCATGGAAGCCCGGTACTCTCCCTGACAAGGTCATATACAGACAGCACACCCAATCAACACATTGGTCATCCACGGGGCCTATTCTCTCCACAAAATACCTAAAAGCACTACTTACTGTGACAAAACTCTGACTAATACCACAGCATAACACATACATGTAACAATAGCACAACAACAGAGCAGCACTCACAGTAAAGGGTCCCAGGTAGGCCACATATCCTGCTGCTAGCAGCACGTCTCCTGACACGTTATTAACCATGTACTCCAGGTGCTGCACGGTCTCCCTCCAACGCACCTTCTCATCCGCTAGCCCTCCAATCAGCTGGAGAGACACACACAACACTCATAACATCAGCACCCACAGACACAGTAGACAACATTGAGTTATGCCTGATGTAAATAAATAGAGCATTGCAGAAATGACATTGGAAGGAAAATAAAAAACTGTTGTGTAAAATGAAACTATACAGTGACAGTGTAACAGTCAACAGTAGGGTTACAAATGGGGGAATATTACCAGTAAATGCACATAATATTTTTATATTTTAGGTAATTTTAATAACAAGTAAAATATATAAAATAATAAAATAAGATGTTTTTAATATGGAAAATAGAATCACAAAGCTGTGAAACATTATCCTAAGTATAACCCATCAACTAATTGAATACCGTTGCTGTCAATTAAAGAGTGACTTCCCCTAAGATGCAACTTCTCGTTTTGAAAATGGCCTATGTGGCATCGATATGAGTCAGAAACATTTATTATAGTGTCAAAATGTACTGCAAAGTGTAAATAGGATAATTCTGGTCATAAAGTCAGTCTCGTCCAAAATGGAGATTAGCGAGATGATAGGAAAAAATGGTATGTCATGGAATGAAGGGTACCGTAACAGTATTCCGTGGGTTGGGTTTATTTTAATTATGCCCACATGCCCACAGCTGGCAGCACCCAAGTAATCATCAATTCGGAGTGCAGCTGCACCGACCCGATCATAATGGCCATGGTCAATTTGGTTTGACATTCGATATCCCTATGGGGCAAGCTATAGACCATTAGTAAATTACACAATGTACACAGGACAATATTTTTAAAGGTTAATAGCTCCAAATTTCAATGAATTAAAAACCCTAATCAACTATACATTTTAGAAATTCATATACACATTTTGAAAGCATTTAATGAGACACCTAAAAGATGTGCAACAGGAATATGTCACGGATACAGCCGAGGCTGCCCCTCCTCCTCGCTCGGGCAGGCTTCGGCGTTCGTCGTCACCGGAGTACTAGCTGCCACCGATCGATGTTTCTGTGTCTCACTAGTCCTGTCTTTATTATTCACACCTGTTACTCATTAGGCTTATTAGTTTCCCTATATTACCTCTGTTTTCCCTCCTGGGTGTGTGCGTGATTGTTCTTTGTTAAGTCGTATGTTGAGCTGTTTGTTTTTGCCCTTCCCTGCGTGGAGGGTTTGCTATGGTTTACTTTGAGTCTAGTAAAGCCATTCATCTATCAGTTCTGTGTCCTGCACCTGATTCCGTTTCCCCACTTCACCCAGACGCTGACAGAATCACGCACCCATGCTGCAGAGACAAGGTTCGGCTCTGGATCAAGTGATCAACACCATGGATCGATGGGAAAGAGTTGGGTTTTCTACACCTCCTCCTTCGCCGATTTCTCCTCCATCAAGACCCTCAAAACCTGGGTCCAGTGGTATTCGGCTCTCGCTCCCGAGGGAATATGATGGGACAGCTGCCGGGTGTAAGGGTTTCCTGCTCCAGTTGGAGCTTTACCTGGCCACCATCCACCCAGCTCCCTCGGGATACGAGAGCGTGTCCGCCCTCATCTCCTGTCTGTCGGGCAGAGCCCTGGAATGGGCCAACGCGGAGTGGGGTGGAATAGACGCTGAGTCCGTTTGTTATGAGGATTTTACCCGCCGTTTCCGGGCAGTATTCGATCATCCGCCTGAGGGGAGAGCGGCGGGGGAGCGTCTGTTTCACCTCAGCCAGGGAAGGAGGAGCGCACAGGAATACGCCCTGGATTTCAGGACACTGGCAGCCAGCGCGGGATGGAATGAGAGGGCCCTGATTGATCACTACCGATGCAGTCTACGGGAGGACGTTCGTCGGGAGCTGGCCTGCAGGGACACTAATCTTAACCTGGACCAGCTGGTAGATTTATCGATCCGGCTGGATAACCTGTTGGCTACCCGCGGACGTCCAGATTAGGGTCCATCCAGTCCATCCCCCAGCATGTCCGAGTCCACACTTATGGAGCTTGGAGGTGCTGATGCGGAGAGAACGGGCAAGGGGGTGGTCTCCTGCACCAACTGTGGTCGCAGAGGACACACTGCGGGCCGGTGCAGGAGAAGACCCTCATGGAATCGAGGCAGCAGGCAGGGTTCTGGGGGACCATCCCCGGTGAGCAGGCACCAAACTCACCCAGAGCTCCCTGTTGCTCACATGATGGTAAATGTTATTTTTCCTGAGTTTTCCCCACATTCCCAGCATAGGGCGCTCGTAGATTCCGGCGCAGCTGGGAATTTCATGGATAGACTGGTTGCGCATAGATTAGGGATTCCTATATTGCCTTTAGATGTGCCCTTCCCCATACGTGCCCTAGATAGTCGCCCGTTAGGGTCAGGTATGGTTAGGGAGGTCACAGTTCCACTCCGGATGGAGACACAGGGGGGTCATGAGGAGAGAATTAGTCTCTTCCTTATTGATACTCCTGCTTTTCCCGTGGTGCTGGGCCTTCCCTGGCTAGCCACCCATGACCCCAGTATTTCGTGGCAACAGAGGGCTCTGAAGGGATGGTCACCTCAGTGCTCGGGAAGGTGTGTAGGTGTTTCCGTAGGGGCAACCACGGTGGAGAGTCCAAACCATGTCTCCCCAATGCACATTCCCTCAGAATATGCCGATTTGGCTCTCGCCTTCTGTAAAAAGAAGGCGACTCAATTACCACCCCATCGACGAGGGGATTGTGCGATAGATCTCCGTGAGGGCGCTGCACTTCCAAGGAGTCACGTGTATCCTCTGTCACAGGAGGAGACGGTGGCTATGGAGACATATGTCACCGAATCTCTGGGACAGGGATACATTCGGCCCTCCACTTCCCCTGCCTCCTCGAGTTTCTTTTTTGTGAAGAAAAAGGATGTAGGTTTACGCCCGTGCATTGACTATCGAGGTCTAAATCAGATAACTGTAAAATACAGCTATCCTCTTCCTCTCATTGCTAGTATGACGGAGTCATTGCACGGGGCGCGCTTCTTCACAAAATTGGACCTCAGGAGCGCGTACAATCTGATCAGTATCCAGGAGGGGGACGAGTGGAAGACGGCATTTAGTACCACCTCTGGTCACTATGAGTACCTCGTCATGCCGTACGGGTTGATGAATGCTCCCTCAGTCTTTCAATCCTTTGTCGATGAGATTTTCAGGGACCTGCACGGACAGGGTGTAGTGGTGTATATAGATGATATTCGCATCTACTCCGCTACACGAGCCGAGCATGTGTCCCTGGTGCGCAAGGTGCTTGGTAGACTGTTGGAGCATGACCTGTACATTAAGGCTGAGAAATGTCTGTTCTTCAAACAGTCCGTCTCCTTCTTAGGATACCGCCTGTCAGAGTCAGGGGTCGAGATGGAGTGTGACCGCATTTCAGCCATGCGTAATTGGCTGACTCCTACCACGGTAAAGGAGGTGCAGCGATTTTTGGGTTTTTCCAACTACTACCGGAGATTTTTCCAGGGCTTTGGCTAGGTAGCAGCTCCCATAACCTCTTTACTAAAGGGCGGATCGGTGCGCCTGCAGTGGTCAGCTGAGGCGAACAGGGCTTTTGGTCAGCTGAAGGCGCTGTTCACCACGGCTCCCGTGCTGGCTCATCCGGATCCTTCCTTGCAATTCATAGTCGAGGTGGACGTGTCCGAGGCGGGGATAGGAGCTGCACTGTCTCAGCACTCGGGTACGCCTCCCAAACTCCGCCCCTGTGCTTTCTTCTCGAAGAAGCTCAGCCCGGCGGAGCAAAACTATGACGTGGGGGATCGGGAGCTGTTAGCTGTTGTGAAAGCTCTTAAGGTGTGGAGACATTGGCTTAAGGGGGCTAAACACCCTTTTCTCATTTCGACTGACCACCGCAATCTGGAGTACATACGGGCAGCGAGGAGACTGAATCCTCGTCAGGCAAGGTGGGCCATGTTTTTCACGCGTTTTGTGTTCACCCTATCATATAGACCAGGTTCCCAGAATGCTAAGGCAGACGCTCTGTCCCGGCTGTGTGACTCAGAGGATCGGACCAGGGAGACTACTCCCATACTTCCGGCTTCTTGTCTGGTGGCACCGGTGGTATGGGAGGTTGACGCGGACATCGAGCGGGCATTACACAGAGCCCACTCCCCCCCAGTGTCCAGTGGGTCATGCGTATGTTCCGTCCGAGGTTTGCAATCGTTTGATTTATTGGGCTCACACGTCACCCTCTTCTGGCCATCCTGGCATTGGTCGGACAGTGCGCTGTCTTAGTGGGAAGTCCTGGTGGCCTACCTTAGCTCAGGACGTGAGGGTTTATGTTTCTTCCTGTTCGGTGTGCGCCCAGTGCAAGGCACCTAGACACCTGCCCAGAGGTAAATTACAACCTCTCCCCGTTCCACAGCGGCCGTGGTCACACCTATCGGTGGACTTTGTTACGGATCTTCCTCCGTCACAGGGTAACACCACAATCCTGGTCGTTGTGGATCGGTTTTCTAAGTCCTGTCGTCTCATTCATTTGCCCGGTCTCCCTACTGCCCTACAGACCGCAGAGGCCCTGTTTACACACGTCTTCCGGCACTGCGGGGTGCCAGAAGATATAGTGTCTGATCGGGGTCCCCAGTTCACATCGAGGGTCTGGAAGGCATTTATGGACCATCTGGGGGTCTCGGTCAGCCTGACCTCAGGTTTTCACCCCGAGAGTAATGGGCAGGTGGAGAGAGTAAACCAGGATGTTGGTAGGTTTCTGATGTCGTATTGCCAGGACCGGCAGGGGGATTGGTCAGTTTACATCCCCTGGGCAGAGATGGCACAAAATTCCCTCCGCCACTCCTCCACTGACCTGTCTCCCTTTTAGTGTGTACTAGGTTACCAGCCAGTCCTGGCACCGTGGCATCAGAGCCAGATCGAGGCACCTGCGGTGGATGAATGGTTTCGCCGCTCGGAGGAAACATGGAACGCAGCTGGAGCCGCGCATCGGGGGGGGGGGGGGGGTACTGTCACGGATACAGCCGAGGCTGCCCCTCCATGTACGCCTGCAAAGGGCGATTAGGAGACAGAAGGCGAGTGCCGACCGCCACCGCAGTGAGGCTCCGGTTTATGCACCGGGGGACCGGGTCTGGCTCTCGACCCGAAACCTGCCCCTTCGCCTAACCTGCCGGAAGCTTGGTCGGTGGTTTGTGGGGCCCTTCAAAGTCCTGAGGAGGTTGAACGAGGTTTGTTATAGGTTACAGCTCCCCCCTGATTACCGTATTAACCCCTCATTCCATGTGTCTCTCCTCAGGCCGGTAGTAGCTGGTCCGCTCTAGGAGTCCGAGGTGCGGGAGGTTCCTCCGGCCCCATTGGACATTGAGGGGGCACCGGCGTACTCGGTCCGTTCCATCATGGATTCGAGGCGTCGGGTTGGAGGCCTGCAGTATCTCGTGGAGTGGGAGGGGTACGGTCCGGAGGAACGGAGCTGGGTTCCCAGGAGGGACATCCTCGATCCCTCCTTGTTAAGGGAGTTCCATCGTCGTCATCCAACTCCACGTCCTCATGGCCGTCCCCGAGGCCGGTGTCGACGCACGGCTGGAGCCGCGCATCGGGGGGGGGGGGGGGGGGGGGGGGGTACTGTCACGGATACAGCCGAGGCTGCCCCTCCTCTTCGCTCAGGCAGGCTTCGGTGTTCGTCGTCAACGGAGTACTAGCTGCCACCGATCGATGTTTCTGTCTCACTAGTCCTGTCTTTATTATTCACACCTGTTACTCATTAGGCTTATTAGTTTCCCTATATTACCTCTGTTTTCACTCCTGGGTGTGTGTGTGATTGTTCTTTGTTAAGTCATATGTTGAGCTGTTTGTTTTTGACCTTCCCTGCGTGGAGGGTTTGCTATGGTTTACTTTGAGTCTAGTAAAGCCATTCATCTATCAGTTCTGTGTCCTGCGCCTGATTCAGTTTCCCCACTTCACCCAGACGCTGACAGAATATATTGTCCCATTTACATTGTGTAATTTATTGACGGTTCCTAACTACAGTTGAAGTCGGAAGTTTACATACACCTTAGCCGAATACATTTAAACTCAGTTTTTCACAATTCCTGACATTTAATCCTAGTAAAAATTCCCTGTCTTAGGTCAGTTAGGATCACCACTTTATTTTAAAAATGTGAAATGTCAGAATAATAGTAGAGAGAATGATTTATTTCAGCTTTTATTTCTTTCATCACATTCCCAGTGGGTCAGAAGTTTACATACACTCAATTAGTATTTGGAAGCATTGCCTTTAAATTGTTTAACTTGGGTCAAACGTTTCGGGTAGCCTTCCACAAGCTTCCCACAATAAGTTGGGTGAATTTTGGCCCATTCCTCCTGACAGAGCTGGTGTAACTGAGTCAGGTTTGTAGGCCTCCTTGCTCGCACATGCTTTTTCAGTTCTGCCCACAAATGTTCTATAGGATTGAGGTCAGGGCTTTGAGATCGCCACTCCAATACCTTGACTTTGTTGTCCTTAAGCCATTTTGCCACAACTTTGGAAGTATGCTTGGGGTCATTGTCCATTTGGAAGACCCATTTGCGACCAAGCTTTAACTTCCTTACTGATGTCTTGAGATATATCCACATAATTTTCCTTCCTCATGATGCCATCTATTTTGTGAAGTGCACCAGTCCCTGCTGCAGCAAAGCACCCCCACAGCATGATGCTGCCACCCCCGTGCTTCACGGTTGGGATGGTGTTCTTCGGCTTGCAAGCATCCCTCTTTTTCCTCCAAACATAACGATGGTGGTTATGGCCAAACAGTTCTATTTTTGTTTCATCAGACCAGAGGACATTTCTCCAAAAAGTACAATCTTTGTCCCCATGTGCAGTTGCAAACCGTAGTCTGGCTTTTTTATGGCGGTTTTGGAGCAGTGGCTTCTTCCTTGCTGAGCGGCCTTTCAGGTTATGTCGATATAGGACTCGTTTTACTGTGGATATAGATACTTTTGTACCTGTTTCCTCCAGCATCTTCACAAGGTCCTTTGCTGTTGTTCTGGGATTGATTTGCACTTTTCGCAGTCAAAGCTATTCGCTGCTCTGGCACCCAAATGGTGGAACAAGCTCCCCCACGACGCCAGGACAGCGGAGTCACTGACCACCTTCCGGAGACACTTGAAACCCTACCTCTTTAAGGAATACCTGTAATAGTATAAAGTAATCCTTCTTCCCCCACCCCCCATTAAAATTAAAATAAATAAAATAAAAGGTGGTTGTCCCACTGGCTTTCATAAGTTGAATGCACCAATTTGTAAGTCGCTCTGGATAAGAGCGTCTGCTAAATGATGTAAATGTAAATGTAAGTACGTTCATCTCTAGGAGACAGAACGCGTCTCCTTCCTGAGCAGTATGACGGCTGCGTGGTCCCATGGTGTTTATACTTGCATACTATTGTTTGTACAGATGAACGTGGTACCTTCAGGCGTTTGGAAATTGCTCCCAAGGATGAACCAGACTTGTGGAGGTCTACAATTTATTTTCTGAGGTCTTGGCTGATTTATTTTTGTTTTTCCCATGATGTCAAGCAAAGAGGCACTGAGTTTATATATATCCACAGGTACACCTCCAATTGACTCAAATGATGTCAATTAGCCTATCAGAAGCTTCTAAAGCCATGACATCATTTTCTGGAATTTTCCAAGCTCTTTAAAGGCACAGTCAACTTAGTGTATGTAAACTTCTGACCCACTGGAATTGTGATACAGTGAATTATAAGTGAAATAATCTGTCTGTAAACAATTGTTAATTACTTGTGTCATGCACGAAGTTGATGTCCTAACCGACTTGCCAAAACTATAGTTTGTTAACAAGAAATCTGTGGAGTGGTTGAAAAACAAGTTTTAATGACTCCAACCTAAGTGTATGTAAACTTCCGACTTCAACTGTATCCCCAGAGATAGGCTATCCAAAGTCAAACCAACTTTGCCACAGTCGCACACCAGCTGGGTGAAGCTAATTCCCACCCGCTAACACACACAAGAGACACCCACATCAAACCACACCTCGAAACCAACTCACGTTTGAATTCAGTCATGGCCGCTAGCATTTCTTAATAAACCAAACGAGGCCAAATCAGGAAGTGGAGTCGCCCTTTAAGTATGTCAACATATCTCTGCTGTAAATGTTTCGGGGCCAGTTGTGAAATAAGTCAATAGTTGGAAGAGTTGCAGAATTCATTGCAATTACATTAGAAGTCTTTAGATGTTTTTTCATTAATTAGGCTATTTTGCAGTGCTTTGAGCCGGAACAGGATCCGTCACCTCTCCGTTTTGGACTGTTTCTTTCCGTAACCTATATGCCAGGATCCGGTACTTCTCGAGGCATGAAAAATAATTTTCACTGTTTGAAATGTAAAGATTCAAATAAAAGTGATCAGAGTTCATTTGAGTTGCTTCCTCTAATTCTGCTGCCCGCAAAAAAAAAAGTACATGTGAAAATGTAGTATTTTTAGCCCACGTCTGATATTCTAGAATTGATTATGGTTGGGCCGGCCCAGGTTTATGGTTTGCGCAACATTGTAACCTAGAGACCAACGCGTGGCCGTTGCTGTGGTGAGAGAGAAGTGTGCCTGTATCCCTTACAGAACTAGAATGAGATACACCCATAATACACTTTCTATGATCTCTCTCCCTCTCTCTGCTCTGATAGAGCGAGATAGGCTTTTGGCACTAGCACATCGGCCAGTGAGCTGTGCATCATTGAGTGAGTCAGTGAAAGTGGAACGTTTTTTAGGACTATATGGGCGGCAGGTAGCTTAGTGGTTAAGAGCGTTGTGCCAGTAACCGAAAGGTCGCTGGTTCTAATCCCCGAGCCCACTAGGTGAAAAATCTGTCGATGTGCCCTTGAGCAAGGCACTTAACCCTAATTGCTCCTGTAAGTCGCTCTGGATAAGAGCGTCTGCTAAATGACCAATTATTATTATTATTACTATAATTTCCTCATATTGTACAATATGTGTCTCCACACACCTAGGCCTAGGCTATTCATGGATTCAAGACATGGTCGTTTTCAATCGATCTCATATTCTCAGTTTGTCAGTGTTAAAGGAGTCTGTCATTTCGATCATTTTTGCAGTATTAAAAAATATTCTGCAGCCATATAAATTGGCATAGAATTGCATGCTATGCGTTTACACCGGGCACATTTTTTCCAGAACCTAGGCTACAAAACCTTTTTCCCATGTGTGCAACCTCTGAAAGTGCCTCTGCCTACTATACGCCACTACACAAATGCGATGATATGCATGCAATGTTTTATTCTAAAGGTGATTTTTTTTCATGCGTTCTGGTACCTCAGAGCTCCTCAGGTCACTCTCCTCTCGCGCTCATTTTTGTTCCGGCACCTCCCAATTTACAAATTAAGTCCTGCTACTTTCTCCTGAACCATATGGTCTATCTACCAGAAAATCATGGACAACATGGACACAGATATAAATAAATAAAAAATATATTTTTAATATATTACTCAAGTTGAAATTACCAAAATTTCAAACCAGGTGCAGGATTATCAAAATTACCAGTTAATTACCCAGATAAATAAAAATATCTGGTAATTTTGGTAAATTTTGGTAAAAATCCAAGTCAACAGTGTTTGGTCTGGCCTCTATTTCCTTTTAGATTTGTCCTGCACCTGCCAAGTCAGTGCAAATATGTGTGTTGCTATCAGTGAACTTTGTCTCCCTCTCTCTCTCTGACCTTGTCTGCGCGGACCAAGCGGTTCTCACACAGCTGGCACTTGTTGTCCAGCTCGTCCCTCTTGGCCAGACAGTCGTGGTACTTTGCCTGCAGCGTGGTGATGCCCTCCTCCACCTGTGCCAGCTTCTCATTGGCATCGTCCAGGATGAGCTGGGTCACAGCCAGGTCCTCCTGGGCCTCCTGCAGAGCTTTCTGCACACACACACACACACACACACACACACACACACACACACACAGAGACACACAGGAATGAAAGATACACATATCAACACTCACATAAATTCATTTACAGATGCAATAGTCTTGTTGTACAAGAGAGGGCAGCATTTAAAGCAAATAAATTCATACCCTTTTAGGCTCCACACCCTTGGCCACAAAGTGGTACACGTGCATGGCTCGCACCCATTGGCAGATGGAGGTGCAGGCCTTGGACACCTTGGCAATGTTGGCTGGCTGGAACTCTTCGTTATCAATGTAGGGTTGTACTAATTTGATCACGGAGTCTGGGATATTTTCCTACAGAGGAGATCAGTGCCAAAATGATTCCTGTCAAAAAGCTCTCTTTAAACTGAAAGAAAGTGAAAAGCTATCACACAAAATACTAACAAACAGCCTAACATCCAAAACATCCTGTACAAATGTTTGGGATAACGTGTCCTCAGGACACTGACATACTTTGTCAAATTTGAAGAGGCCCTCTAGGAACTTTCCGGGGTCCTGCAGCAGGCCCTTGCCAGGCTCCCAGTAGTCGTCCACCTTGGTGCCCGGCTTCTCTCCAGCCACCTTCTTAGGCTTGATGGACCTCATGATGCACACAGCCTCTATCACCAGCTTCACCCCATGGGGCGGGCGCTGCATGGCCCTCACCTAGAGAAACCGAGCCCCAGTCACACCATTACATAGAGTACAACAACCCTCATACAGTACTGAGCAATCTGGGAAAAACTACAAGCCAAAAGTACAAGTACAACCATCACTGGGCAAAATAATGTCACCTCAACAACGTCGTTCTTGTTGAGTGACTTGAGGCTGGTGAGGGCGGCGTCTAGAGCTGGCAGCGCTTCATCCAGGTCTTTCTGGGCGTCTTCAGCGATGGCCCCGGCCACACACGCTTTCTGTGAGGCTTTGGCTTCCTCTGCCTGCACCGCCGTACGGGTCTCCTCTGCTACCACGGTGTCTACCTGTCAACACACACACACACATACACACACACACTTAGAGATCAACGTACATAATTCATGTGCTATATAAAGAATACAGCATACGCAGGCGTTTGAAGAGCCTGATGAGGTTTCCTGGTCTAAGTTACCTTGATCTTCTCCATGGTGATCACTGTGTCCTTGGCAGCTTCCTCCAGCAGAGGCCTCATCATCTCCAGCTCCTCCTGCATCTTACTCACATCCTCTGCAGTCCTCAATAGCTACAGACACACACACACACACAAACACACACAGATACAGTCAAATCACACGGTTAATCGCAGTCCCGTATGAACACAGACACACATTTAAAGCAACACACAAAATAGATTTGAAGCAAAAGATGCAGAATAGAAGAAATACAAAAACATTGTAGCATTGAGGGTTCCTCCTCTCACCTTGTCCAGGCCAGTCTTCATGCGCTGCCGGGCACTGTGTAGCTCCTGTTTCTTGCGGCCGATGAGAGCGGAGAAGATTGCGAGCAGCTCCAGATAGCTCTTGGGCGTGACATAGTTGTATCTGGACAGCTCAGCCAGGTACTGCGCACATTTCCTGGCTACCATCTGGTGGATCTCCACACACATCATAATCTAGATAGGCACACAACGGTGGTGAGGGGAGGCTGGCAGGAGACAAGAACACAAACACAAACACAAACACTCTCTCTGCTTCTCCTCACCAGGCCTTTCATTGCGGTGGGGCTGGCCTCCAGCTCTGGCAGCTCGTAGAGGAAGGAGGCAGCCACAGACTGGAGGGCCTCCTCTGGCCAGGCACTGAACCAGTCTATAGTGCAGCAGGTCACCAGAGATGGGAACTGTCTGAGCCGTGCACGGAACACCTCCCCTATAGGACTAGACATGGGGAGAGGAGGAAAAGAGGCAAGGAGGAGGGGCGCGGTGAGGAAGGGAGAGGTGGAGAGAAGATAGGTGAGGAAGGGAGAGGTGGAGAGAAGATAGGTAAGGAACGGAGAGGTGGAGAGAAGATAGGTGAGGAACGGAGAGGTGGAGAGAAGATAGGTTAGGAAGGGAGAGGTGGAGAGGTGGAGAGAAGATAGGTGAGGAACGGAGAGGTGGAGAGAAGATAGGTGAGGAACGGAGAGGTGGAGAGAAGATAGGTGAGGAACGGAGAGGTGGAGAGAAGATAGGTGAGGAAGGGAGAGGTGGAGAGGTGGAGAGAAGATAGGTGAGGAATGGAGAGGTGGAGAGAAGATAGGTGAGGAACGGAGAGGTGGAGAGAAGATAGGTGAGGAACGGAGAGGTGGAGAGAAGATAGGTGAGGAAGGGAGAGGTGGAGAGGTGGAGAGAAGATAGGTGAGGAACGGAGAGGTGGAGAGAAGATAGGTGAGGAACGGAGAGGTGGAGAGGTGGAGAGAAGATAGGTGAGGAACGGAGAGGTGGAGAGAAGATAGGTAAGGAACGGAGAGAAGACAGGTGAGGAACGGAGAGGTGGAGAGAAGATAGGTTAGGAACGGAGAGGTGGAGAGAAGATAGGGGAGGAACGGAGAGGTGGAGAGAAGATGTGTGAGGGAAGAGATGGAAGTGAGGTAAAAAAAACAAAAAGGGGGTGGAGAGATGTAAAGAGAACTGAGTAGAGGTTCAAGTTATCTAATGTACCCTTCAGATGCTGTGAGTGAGCAGTTCAGTTCAAGTTCAAGTTTTATTGTCACATGCACAAGAACAGTGAAATGCTTCACTTGCAAGCTCTACCCAACAGTGCAGTAATAAATATCAAAACAATATAACTAATACAAATACAACTATATACAGTTGAAGTCGGAAGTTTGCATACACTTAGGTTGGAGTCATTAAAACTTGTTTTTCAACCACTCCACAAATGTCTTGTTAACAAACTATACTTTTGGCAAGTCGGTTAGGACATCTACTTCGTGCATGACACAAGTAATTTTTACAACAATTGTTTACAGACAGATTATTTCACCAGTGGGTCAGAAGTTTACATACACTAAGTTGACTGTGCCTTTAAAGAGCTTGGAAAATTCCAGAAAATGATGTCATGGCTTTAGAAGCTTCTGATAGGCTAATTGACATCATTTGAGTCAATTGGAGGTGTACCTGTGGATGTATTTCAAGGCCTACCTTCAAACTCAGTGCCTCTTTGCTTGACATCATGGGAAATCTAAAGAAATCAGCTAAGACCTCAGAAAATAAATTGCAGACCTCCACAAGTCTGGTTCATCCTTTGGAGCAATTTCCAAACGCCTGAAGGTACCACGTTCATCTGTACAAACAATAGTACGCAACTATAAACTCCATGGGACCACGTAGCTGTCATACTGCTCAGGAAGGAGACACGTTCTGTCTCCTAGAGATGAACGTACTTTGGTGCGAAAAGTGCAAATCAATCCCAGAACAACAGCAAAGGACCTTGTGAAGATGCTGGAGGAAACAGGTACAAAAGTATCTATATCCACAGTAAAACAAGTCCTATATCAACATAACCTGAAAGGCCGCTCAGCAAGGAAGAAGCCACTGCTCCAAAACCGCCATAAAAAGGCCAGACTACAGTTTGCAACTGCACATGGGGACAAAGATCGTACTTTTTGGAGAAATGTCCTCTGGTCTGATGAAACAAAAATAGAACTGTTTGGCCATAATGACCATCGTTATGTTTGGAGGAAAAAGGGGGACGCTTGCAAGCCAAAGAACACCATCCCAACCGTGAAGCACGGGGGTGGCAGCATCATGCTGTGGGGGTGCTTTGCTGAAGGAGGGACTGGTGCACTTCACAAAATAGATGGCATCATGAGGAAGGAGAATTGTGTGGATATATTGAAGCAACATCTCAAGACATCAGTCAGGAAGTTAAAGCTTGGTTGCAAATGGGTCTTCCAAATGGACAATGACCCCAAGCATACTTCCAAAGTTGTGGCAAAATGGCTTAAGGACAACAAAGTCAAGGTATTGGAGTGGCCATCACAAAGCCTTGACCTCAATCCTCTAGAAAATGTGTGGGCAGAAATGAAAAAGCGTGTGCGAACAAGGAGGCCTACAAACCTGACTCAGTTACACCAGCTCTGTCAGGAGGAATGGGCCAAAATTCATCCAACTTATTGTGGGAAGCATGTGGAAGGCTACCTGAAACGTTTGACCCAAGTTAAACAATTTAAAGGCAATGCTTCCAAATACTAATTGAGTGTATGTAAACTTCTGACCCACTGGGAATGTGATGAAAGAAATAAAAGCTGAAATAAATAATTCTCTACTATTATTCTGACATTTCACATTTTTAAAATAAAGTGGTGATCCTAACTGACCTAAATCAGGGAATTTTTACTAGGATTAAATGTCAGGAATTGGGGAAAAAATGAGGTAAAATGTATTTGACTAAGGTGTATGTAAACTTTCGACTTCAACTGTATAATAAAGAAATAAGAAATAAGAGAGGAAGCTATATACAGGGTCAGTGCCAGTACCAAAATGTACAATGTGCAGGGATACTGGAGTATTTGAAGTAGATATGTACATGTAGGCGGGGATTAGGAGAAAGTGCCTGGTAGCAGGAGAAATAATAATAATAGTCAACAGTATGGCAGCAGCATAAGTGGTGGGTGGGTGTGTGTGTGGTGGTGAGTGTGTGTATGTAAGTGTTAGTGCGAGTGTGTGCGCTAGAGTGACAGTGTAGGCATGCTAGGCAGATATACATGTAAGGGTACGGTGACATGAGACTGACCTCATGCAGAGCACGGTGTGGATGTTACTGCGGACTCTTTTTATGTAGGCAGCCATGAGGTTGGCTTTGGTGGGCTGCTGTCCTAGGTCCTGCACCACAGGCTTCATGGCGTTCAGGATGCGCTCCTGCTCGTCCACCGTATACAGGTTGGGCACGTCACCAGAGTTCAGGATGTTATTCACATCCTCCAAGAACGACTCGCTCTTGATCTGAGGTCAAACACACAGGGTTAGAGGACATGTTGATAAGTGGGTATGTGTAAGTGCTGACACTGTGAAAAATTCCTCACCTGTGTGTCTACAAACAGAAAGGTGATCTGTACATTCTGCAGGCCAGCCTTCAGCATGATGCTCTTGAGGTCTTCCCTCCACTCTGTGTAGCCGTAGTTCTTAGCGAGCTCAATCTGGAAACACTCATAGTCTGACCTGAGGTGTAAAACTACATATTAACACCCTATTATCACAGTAGCATACTTTCAGATGTCTGATAAAATAGAAGGTATGAGCCTCACATGTGGGTGGCCAGCTTGGTGAGTGACTGGCGCCCGCTGCCCCCGACCCCTAGGAGCAGGACATTTCCCAGGGGCTGGCGCAGGATGCGGCTGATGCGGCACACATGCTGGATGGCGTCCATGAAGAGCACCAGCTTCATCTTGGTGGTGCTGATCTGGTTGTAGTCGTCCATGTACTCCTCCATGACTCTGGCCAGCTGTGGGAGTCACAACACAGTAATGGGATGAAAAACACCCATAAATCTCACTACTATCCTAGGGCAATTCCGCCACTTTTCAACCTCATATTCATCATCTCCAATACCAAACCAGTGTCTACACATGTGAAAACAGCGTGTTTCTATGATATGTGGTTAAAAAGATAAGAAGAAAGGTCCTGAAAAAATAGTGATTTTCAAAACCTGCAACGAGTTTCAAGCCCAAGGGAGGGTATTTTCTTGCTCCCCACGTCACCACAAATCTCATAGTGTTTGAAAATGCTTTAACTTTTGATGATGTCATCGGGTAGAACTTGTAGAAATGCGCTGTTTTCACATACTGTATGTTGACACTGGAATTGTGCTGAAGATAATGAAAATGAGGTTGAAAAGTGGTGGAGTTGCCCTTTAAGTTTAGCAGTGAAGTCTCACCTTCTCCCTGTCCTCAATGAGCTGGTAGACTTTGTTGTCAGCTCCGGGGATCATGAAGTCTCCAAACAAGACCGGCTGGCAGGGCACAGCATCCTCAAAGCTGCAGCCAAACTCCTCAATGCGGGCCTGTAGGAGCTTATCAAACCAGTCCCGGTCCTCAGTACTCACCAGCCGGTCCTGGAACACCCGGCAGCTTTCATGGTACCACAACTGCAGCAAGTGCATCTTGTCCTGAGAATTAAAACAAGCAGCACATCATCAGTTTGAAGAGCCTTTCAGGGTTTCTTTACTGTATGATCTTCTGTTTGAACCCACAGTCATTTACCTCTATCTTGGCAGCCTCAGCCATCAGGATGCCCTGGAAGACCTTGGAAAGGTCCCTAAGGTTGAATGTGTAGTGGGATTTGGCTGGTGTGGGAAGGAGCTGGGAGGTGATGGTGGTGTAGACACGGATAGTGGCGTCCACCAGAGGCCCATTCAGAGGCTGGATCTCTGGAACAGGTCCTGAGGGAGGAGAGGGGGATGGGAGAGGGGTTGGATATAAAATTAGCAGAGACATCTGGAGACCCAACTTTCCTTTTTATGTGTGTAAAAGACCAGTAGCAATTTAATACTTTAGAATTTCTGTCAAGAATTTCATCAACATCCTTAATGCAATTCACCTACTCTTATTAATAATCTACATAAATTACTAAAATAATTATGCATAGGTAACACATTTCTAGAGCGTCAGTCTTCTCTTTCTCTGTCCTTCTTCTGTCTCTCTCTCCCTCTCTGACTTACTCCCTGGTTCCTTTTTACTTATATTTCCATTTGTAAGAAAGCAAAAAATCTATTAGAAAGGATTGCAGCAATTTAACAAACTGCCTCCTCAATGTGACTAGTGCCTCAACCATACCTAGCCTCCCTCAACCCTTCACCAAAATGAACATCAGTTGGATTAATTTTCGGCAGTCAGGCCGTCTCACCCATCCAGTTGCCCAGGATAGTAGAGAAGATCTTCTTCTTGCTGGCGTCCTCCATCTCAGTGAAGGAGAGGAAGTTGAAGTGGCGTGTGAAACGCTGGGTGATGGGGTTCCTGCCCCCTCCTGGAGGTCCCATAGCGCACGCAAAGTTGATGTCCACCAGGTGTTTAAAAGTGCCTGCAGGACAGATCAGAGTTCAATGTGGTGGCCTTCACAGAGCCATGGGAGCTGGATGTGCAGACTCAGCTTTGGAGGTAGGGTCCTCACCTATCTGCTTCCTGTCATACCAGCCTCCATGGTCCAGCCACTGGCGGAGAAGCTCGATGGGGGGCTGGGCCCCGTAGGTCTCCAGAATGGGCATGTTCAGGTCATCAATGAAGAAGATAAAATACTTCCCCAGGGGAGGCCCAAACACACCCTTACGCCTGATAAATACATGCTTTTGTTAGAGAGGTCAGTTTATAAAGGAATGAGACTGCCTTTAGACATTACAGCACAGATCATACAGTACAAAGAGAGATGTTGCTAAAAGGCTTACCTCTTGTCCAGTTTGCTATCGATGTAATCCTGTGTCTGGTTGGCTGAGGTACGAGCAGAGAACATAAGGAAGTGTGTGATGTACTCAGCAGGCATGTTCTTCAGCAGCTTGTCAGACATGGTCAGGGTCTTTCCTGTGCCAGTCGGTCCAATGCACAGCACCTGGTCAACACATAGCCTCTGACTAAGAACAACTCTACTCACAGAAAGACTCCTCCATTCCACTGACAAAAGCTTTCACCAGGAATGATTTATTAGTGCATTATTGGGGGGCACTTACAGGCTTCTTGTTAGACAGCAGCATATCCATCAGGAAGGAAATGCGGACTGTGTCTGGTGTGGGTATGATGATGTCAGAGTAGCTGGTCTCTGGCGTGATGACCACGTTCTGGGCAGATTTCATCCAACTGACCCAGTGCACCTACACAACAGGATGTATGTCACTTGCATGGTCCTTTATGTCTCTAAAGGTATTTCTAGAATGTTTGTTTTTGAAATGCTCACCTTCCTCCCTCTGTCCTCCTCCTCTTCGTCTCCCATGTTGCTGATTCCTGCATCATCAAGCTGGTAGTCATACACCAGGCCTTCCTCTGGAAAACACAACTCAACCTTCTCCTCTGTCATCTTGCCCCTGAGCCAAGCACTGAAGCACTGGCAGCTGGGGACGTCCCCTGTGGCTCCCACACTCCACACCAGAGAGAAGATGAACCAGGGCTCAATCAGCTCCTTCAACCGGTCCAGCTTCTCCTGCAGAAGAGGCCTCTCCCCCTGGCCAAACACACAGTACAAACACACAGACTAGTCATCAAGAGATGAACATCTCCTTCACCTCAGCTGATCACTCATCTCTTCTGTCTCCTGATGGTGGGTAGATTGTGTGGGTGTTTGTGGCATGGACCGGTGTTCACTGACCTCTCGATGGATGAAGGGTTGGAAGAAACAGTCCAGCAGTTTGAGCAGACTGCATGTGAGGTTGCTGTCCATGGAGGAGATGACCTCTTTCACAGACTTCCTTACAAATGTGATGGAATTCTAGAGACACACATACTCAATTTCCCCTGAGGCCCTACAGAACAAGGCCTGACACAGCCAGACACTCACATGTCACTTATGATACAGTTGTAAAGTGGAATAAACATTGGTAAAATGCCTGTTGAGCGGCCCTCTGTGTTACCTGGAGGAACCTGGTGAAAAGGGAATTGAGCTGGTCTGTGTAGGGCCTCAGGGTCTTGGGGACCGTCCTCAGCCAGCACTCAGTGAAGGGCGTGAGGCCCAGGATGCTGGGTTCCAGGTACACCATACCACAACGAGACACTGTGGCCGGGGACGCCACAGCCAGGTCCTGCACCTCAAACATCATTGTCTGCACCTGGAGGAGGATACACACATGTATTCTGAATGTGCATAACTGGTATCAGGTGTGGAACAAAATGAGAGAGGGAAAGCTGAGAGAAGAGATGTAAAGGTTTCTCACGTCTGTGAGTTTGATGATCTCTCCAGAGCTCAGGCAGAGTTTTTTGTTGTCATCCAGCACAGTGTTCATGTTCTCGATCCACACAGCGTCCACTGGCCCGTCAAACATGTACCACTTCTTCTCCTCGTCCATGGAGGACGATCCCCCACGGATCAGAGAGGACAGGATGCCATCCGACCTGAAGGGAGACACAGAGGGAGAAGAGGCATGAGTGTGTGTGCATGGACGTGTGAGAGTGTTCAGGATATTCAATATGCTATCTACTGTATGTGTGTTTGCAATGTACCAGGTGTATGAGTGTTTATGGACTGTAAGTGCACAAATCTACAGATGGTATGCGATGCTCTGTTATGTGCAGATGGAGCAATTACTCACCATTCATGTGTCAACAGGTCAAACTCCCCGTAGAGCTGTCCCATGGTGATGGACTTGGGGTTGAGGACATAGGTCTGTACAGCCTCGTAAACACCACCACTCACAGAGACCTGGCCCTGCAGAGCCGTCATCGCTGTCCCTAGGATCTCATAACACTGACACACAAACCAAGCCAATGGCAATCCTTTACATTCATTTGTCATACCAGAATCATTTTCAAATACAGCCTCCGCATACACAGACATATACTGTATATCATGTGCTGCTGGTAAGGATTTTTTTTATGCAGACCTTGGTTTTTCCGGAGCCGGACGGTCCCACCAACATCAGTCCATGCCTCACAACAGTGGTCTCATACAGCTGAATACACTTGGTGATGTATCCTACATTTACACATGGGAAACTACAATATCATAAACCATGTTAAAACATTTTTCTTCTTTCCCTCCTAACTTATACCTATATTCTCATATCAATAGCACAGTATCACTCATAAGCAGATAAAATGTAGGTTAGACAGTACAAAAACAAGCTATCTGTGTCCCCATAGAGTACGAACCATCCACATCCTTGAGGTTCTTCTTGGCACAGACGTTGCGGATTGACTTCTCCAGGGTGCCGTAGTCGATGGGCTCCTCCCGTATATTGGGGAAGAGATCGGACACAATGCCATTGAAGAGCTTGAGGTCATCTTGGAGGAACTTGGGGATGTTGACGTCTCGTATGGCCCGTAGACAGATTAGTTCCTGGAAGTTAGACGTGGGAGACGGGGCCGATTACATCAGGTTATTGATAGCCTGGTCAGTGTATTTAGGCATATAAAGTGCTGTTCTAACCTCATTCATATCTTGATTCTCCCTCTTCAAGTTTCCAGCAGCAGAGATCACGGTCTTCACAGCTCTCATACCAAAGTCATAGTGATCCTGCACACATATACATCAGCAAGATGTCAAACTTCCACACAGAAATAGAGCACTGTATATGGAGTTTGACCCTCATTAAGGCATGCTGTGGGTATGGGGACCGGGGCAAAGATTCTAAGTAGACTAGGGCCCCACCTGGGAGCTGAGCTGCTCGGAGGACAGTTTGAAGGTGGTGGTGATCTTCTTGGAAAGGACTTTAGCGTCGCTGAAGCCAAAGGAGTAGAGAGAGATCTCAGCGATCATAGCATAATCAGGGACCATCATAGCAACAGGACGGAACAGTGCCTTAAGACAAACAGATAGAAATGTAATGTGTTACAGTCACACCTCAGTGCTTTGTTTTACGATACCCGCCAGGGATGTGAACTGTTAAATGTTTTTGGGCAATTGTATGTAGCTACCTTAAGGTTGTCTGGTAGTTCAGTGCGGCCGGCGTAACCAGGGTTCATGGTGATGAAAACAGCACAAGACGCAACAAGTGGGATCTCTTGCCCCTCAAACACAAATCGCTCCGCCTGAGACACACAAACACACAAACGAATGCACGCACAAACATACAAAACTGTAATATTTTCATGTGTGTATGTACTTTTGACTGAGTATATGTTGTCTATGACTGTGTTTGTGTATGTTTTGTTCACCCTCTGATGCTGGGCCTTATTGATGGTGGCGATCTGTTGGGCCACCACTGACAGCACCTCCACATCAATGCGGTTAAACTCGTCAAAACATGCCCAGGCTCCAGAACTACAGGAGATACAGTAGATCACAGTCAGCATAGCCCCACAAAACACTTTAAATACATTCAACAGGATTTAGCTCAATGAGTAGATGAAAGCATGTGTTGTGCTCTTTTGTAGCACATTCCATTTATATTTTTACTGGTTTGATGTTTTATATAAGGACTAACCTGGCTAGTCCCTTGAGGAACTTGCCCATGGCGATGAAGTCCAGCTGATCAGAGCAGTTGAAGACTACAGTCTGGATAGCCAGGGCTTTCCCCAAGTCTTTAGTGGTCTCTGTCTTCCCTGTCCCTGCTGGACCCGCAGGGGCCCCTCCGAACTTCAGGTGCAGTGCCCCTGTCAGGGTCAGGTAGCACCTGAGAGGGGGAGGGAGAGAGGGGTGAGACCACAGACTTAAGCTGAATCTCAAACCGAACACTTGGCCCCTAAGCCCTTTATCAAATGGCATGTATATCAGTTCGCCAGTGATTTCATCAGCTGTTGTAGCCTGCCTGCTGCTAGCTTCACTGACAAACACTGGGATGGAATTTTATCTACCGCTAGCTATGAATGTTGGGCACTGCACTTATAAACAGCGTGGAGCTTGTCACATATTTATGATAGTTTGACAGCTTGCTGATGAAGTTGTAGACATGTTCCCAGCAGGGGGTCTGTATTTCAGCATGTTTCCAAAGCACCAATTGCTATGTTGTAACGTTGGGTCAGCTAAATGCACAGCGCAGCAGCAGACTAGATATTGTACCGACTCGGGGCAGAGCAGGTTGTACACTGCTTCATTAAAACTTGTTCATTGTGATAAAATAATGTTACTACTGCTAATAGAAGGAACAGTGCATTTTACAGTAGCTAGCTAACTAGCTAGCTTGCTTATAGAAGGAGCATTGCATTTAGTGTTGCACTAGCTGGTTGGTTAGCTTCACTTTCGTATATATATATAAGTCAGTGACTGGCTCAGGCTCAGCTAGCAAGATAATATTGGACAAGTTTTCATGTACATGATCAAACTTCGGAAATAACCTCCTTAGCTAGATCACTTGACTAAGACATCCTCAAAATTAAACTTGAAAATTAATTAATTACAGATTTCTTGATTTATCTTGATTTAATCTATTTTTGAGGGTGATGTAGTAGTGACTGTTGTTGCTAGGTACCATGCTAAGATTCATGGGAAGAAGTAGCTACCAAGGACACAGTCGGCATAGGATACCCACTTGATAAAGAGGCTTCCGAAAGGCGCCGTGGAGCCCTTGATGACTCGAAAGCTAGCGTTTGAGATTGACTCGATTGACATACCGAGTGCTCAAAGTGGTTGGTTTGAGTGACATTCAGCCTTAGATAGACATCACATCATTGTATCTGTCCCATTATGGCATCTGTGAGAGAATGGGCAACGCCATTGAGGCCATCTCCATTTTCTACTTCTACTACTTCTATGAGTTGGCAAACAAACTGAAAGGGTGCACACTGCCATCTAGTGTCTGTTGTTTGAACAGGTTTAAAACCAAGGTTGGCGATTTACTGCCAACTGCAGTTATGGAATGTTTTCTCACAAGTATAATTAATTGGCTGATCCCACCTGGTCACCTGGATGGAATTATGGGATCCTTCCTTAATACATAGGAAGTCCCACCCAGTTGACTACTTCAAAATGGTGAAAGTCCCCAATGGCGCTGCCCATGCTAAAACAGGCTTTTGTCCTCTATCTAGCTCTATGGGTGAGACATGCTTTCATAACAAGGGCGAGTGTCATTGAGACCCATGGCGGGTAGCTAAAGCTTACCTGTCTGTGAGTGGGGTGATGACCAGGCGTCCTGAGTTGCCCAGGTACTCATATCCATAGAGGAACTCTGCATTCACTGCCCGGATATACAGGTCATTTCGAGCCCAGTAATACCTAGCAACAAATACTCATTAAGGGGAATCTAGAATGTTCACAGATTTTTGCATGTCATCTTGACACAAAGGTTCAACCCAACTCTTTAGCTCTCTTAGGCAAAAGTCCATCATATGAGCAGCAGGTATGTTTTGTTGGGCAGGTCAAACCTGAGCTGGCTGATCCACTCAAAGTCATTGATGTTGGAGACACCCTCCTCTACCAGCTTGGCAGCCACGTCCTTGGCATGGACCTCTATGACGATGAGGGCAGACAGAACGGCTCTCTGCATTTTAGACAGGCGGCCCCTCACCAGCTGCACCAGGTCTCCCAGCTACACCATAACCAAGGGGAGGACACTGTCAGTCACATATGCTCTTTCACACTCTTCACAATGATATCACAGCCCATTGAAGCCATACTGACAGTCCCAGATGGCTCAGTAGGTAGAGCATGGTGCTTGCAACACTAGGGTTGTGGGTTCGATTCCCACAGGGAAAAAAGTATGAAAATGTATGCACTCACTACTGTAAGTCACTCTGGATAAGAGCATTACTAAAATGCCAAATGTTTTCCTTGCACATCTGAACTTCAGCTACAATATAGACGGGTTGGTTGTTTAGCAACAAAACAGATGAGGTTTGCTTAGATTGTTGACAACATGTAAGCTATATTTCGCCTCCAATGTTTATTGAAAACATAAATACATTTGCACAATGAGCACTTGTTGTCTCTCAAATACATCGTTACAATTGTTGGTTAGCTAGCTAGCGAATGTTTGCCATAGCATTGACATGAAATAAGTCAAAACACCTCAAAACAAGACATGGTATCAAGAACAAGATGAAACGAGCTGAAACAAGCCACTTACGATTCCCCACATGGCAGTTTCTTGTCATTCTTTCTAGCAATCTGGCCATCCAGAATCACAACAACATGCTGACTTCTTCCCCATGGAAGCGTGCACATCGTTTTAGTGACGTTGTCAACTAACCCATTTATAGCCAGGGTCTAGCCAAGCTTTGTGCAAACTTAGGATACACACCTGTGTCTGTAGCTGGGGATAGAGTCGGTCAGTCAGGTCTCCCTGCTCCAGTGCATTTGACACCTCAGTGGTCCAGAAAGTCTGGCAGCCAGCGATCACCACCTGCCCAGGCCACGATAACACCCACTCTGTACGCGGTTGCTAAGGGGAAGGGACAGGAGGACACACACACAGCACAGTTGTCAGTGGGTTTCACAAAGCTTGGGCACTATTTGGAAAATCAGAAAACCCAGTGTAACAGATGACTATACAGTAAGACAAAATCATGTTTGAACTGTGTAGTTTTCTGACAACTGGTTGATAGATTGGCAATGGCATGTATTCATGGATGCCAAGGGAAGTCAGGCTTCCCAAAAAAATTGACCAAGAAAAAAACATAAAATAATTCATCTTTCGTCTCTCTGTGTTTCATAATTGTCCTTCAATTTGCAAGAGGCTGAATGTATCTCACTGGAGAAAGCATCCGAGCAGCCAAGCAAGTGAAACAGCGCCCCTCTGTCTCAGTATGTATAGCCCATGTATCTGTTGCTGTCTGGCCTAAAATAATATGACATTGTTGCCGCCCATAGCATTGAATTCAATAGCAAGGGAAGCAAAAAAGCATTTGGCATCCCTTGATAAAAACATTCTAAAATAATAGCCAAACAGCGTTGAGCTAAACTGAGTGAGCTCAACTGTGGTTGGTCCTGGCACACCAAAAAAAGTGTCAAGGGAAACCAGTTTGGAATTGGCTTCACACCAATCACATCACATCAAAAGCAAAACGTAATTGACAGAAAAAACTTGAATTGTTGCATCTCGTTGTGTCGTTGTCTTCTGATGGCTAGCTAGCTAGTTAAAATCGTCCCTTTCCTAAATTAGCCATGGATGGAGATAAAGATTTGGACTTCTGGTTTTACTTCATTCTCCGTACTGGCCAATGACTACACCGGCGATTCTGATCCAACCATAAATTCATACATTTTATACATCATGCATTATGCACACTCACACTCACACTCACACGCACACTCACATGCACACTCACATGCACAGAAATCAGTCCCATGGACAGCCACACATATTTAGCTTACATTGATTGGTCTAAATTGTTTTTGGTATCTTTAAGTTGTCACTGTATTAGACCAAGCATAAGTGATTTGATGATGTTGAAGTTTAAATGGTGCTGGAATAGTGGAGGCAGCTCCTGTTTTCTTTGTGACTTGCGGTAACTCTTCATGGTTCTAAATCAGTAGTTGTTTACTAGTTCGAAAATGTCTGAAAAATTAACTTGATTGCCCATGCTGTAGGTTATGTAACTGTTACATTCAATATGCTTTGTGGACATCACTAGACAGATGTTGACCTCCGGTTTTGTGATGAAACAATGGTGTGGTTGAATTTATTCTGCCACTGTGTGACTGTTGTCTTCTTATTGTCTCGGCCTTAGGCCTATATATCACGGTGGCATATGAACTAACAGGTCATAGAGCAAACAACGCAATTATCACAACACATAGGTTATAATATGGCTTTTTTGTCCTGGCTTGGCTTCCCCAGTGATTTTACCCACGCACTGCTACTGTAGATCGGGTAGGGGGCTGACCTGTGGGTAGACCTTCAGCGAGCGTTCGATGTTGTCCCTCAGACAGGCCTTCATAGACTTCTCCACCTCCCTCAGCCAGTCCTCCACATTCCCAGAGGGCCACACTGGCAGGCAGAGCTTGACCTCCTCCCCCTCCCCAGAGTACATATGAGTGATCTGCAGGTCCGACTGGAACTTAAGCTGTGGGACACAGAGAAGGAGAGGGGATAGAAAGAGATAAAACTCTAGAAAATGAATAATTGAAAAGGGGCGCAGGGAGAAAGAGAGAGGGAGAGACTAACCCGTGCAATGTTCTCGAAGCATTTGCGCAGATGAGGCTGTACTGCTGTGGGATCCTTGGTCTGGGAGAGAATCTCCAGGAGCTCGTCGTCAGACAAGAAATAGAACCTACAAAGGCAAAACAAAGACCCATAGAGTTCTCTATGTTGCCATTTCTGAGAAATATCAATTCAAAGCTGTTTCTAATGGTATTAATCAACAACTATCAAATACATCTGTAATACTGAATCTAAATAAACAGTCACATAGGTTAGAGCTGAAACACTGTCAATAGTGACAGCACACCTGGGGAAGGAGCCACGCTTGGTCTCTAGGTAGTCGCTCAGACCCTTCTGTACCAGCTCCAACAGCTTATTACAGTCCCTCAGACTGTCCAACAGACGGGGGTCCGGGCACAGATCAATCACCTAGACACACACATGCAGGCACGCACACACACAACACACATTTAGTTTACACTCAGTATCAACACTAAACCCTATTGAAGTCAATCTAAGCATGATGTGGGTTGTCGTTGTATTGTGTTGTGATTACAGTATCTCACCTGTTTGTTGTCGTAGGCGCTTTTCATCACCTTTCTCCAGGTGCGTTCCATGGTCTGGTACCTCTTGCCCTCTACAGGCAGCTGGCGGTTGATGTCGTCAGAGCTGAAGATTGGCTCCAGGTAAAGCCAGGAGCGCTGGCAGGTCAGCCACTCTTCCAGCACATCCTGCAAGCCCCAGCAGAGGGCAGTCACACAACATTAATGAGGATTTGAAACATCTCATGAAGAATGTGTGAAGAATGAACAACATCTACTACAGGGATTTTAAATGGTGAGAATGGGCCAATCAGCCTATTAAGGCTCGCCATTCACCTGGTAGGAAACTTTCAATGGTACTTTAGCCTCCTTCTCCTTCCAATGACACCCAGTCAGACTTCTGTATCTTTCTGCTGTACCTGAGTCATCCTGAGCTTGCTCTCCCAGGTACTGATGCGTTCCTCAAAGGGTTTCTTGTAGGGGGAGAAAGACATGCTCTGGGTCATGACGATGTGGTCATCCAGCAGCTGTGACGCCTCGTCTGGGCTCTTCAGGATGTAAGTGCCCGTCTCCTTATAGGGCAGCACCTCGAAGGCCACCGTCGACCACTCATGCTCCATCTTATCCAGAGCCTGAATGGGGAGAGGGAGGACAGGGACACATTCAGTTCAGTCCAAAATTAGGATATTAGATAACTGTGTCCCTTAGCGCTATTGGCTGTAACAGATATTAGTTACTTTATTACTGCCTGCAGTTATCCAGTACCTGTTCGATGGCGTACTCCTTCCCTGCCACCTCGGCCACCCGTGCTATCTCATCCACGTGGTCCTGCAGGCCTAGCTCCAGGCAGCGGGAGAAAGTGAGGTTGGCTTTGGGCTTGACGTTCATGTGGATGCGGTCTGACAGCAGCTCCCAGTGTCTGCTCCTCATCCCAGGGTTCCTCAGGCCCTGGATGAGAGGAATGTAGGGACGGAAGTCCTCTATCTTCCCCCGGATGTCAGACGCCACCTCCTGACACGCTGGTGTAGGTAGGTAGGTAGGTAGGAAGGTAGGTAGAGAGAGCGAGAGAGAAAGATATTTTTCCTTGCCACTCTTTGATTCTTGCTTTTGGGAGGTTTAGGCCAGGGTTATGTTAAGCACTTTGTATACAAATCAGATTTGATTACTTGATAAAGCGTCACTCACCGGGGATGTCCTTGAACATTTTGACACACTTGTGCATGGTCTTAAAGGCGTCTGTGACATTGCGCTCCAGCTGCTCGGGGTCGATGATGGAAAGGGGGTCGTTGTGCCAGCTCTCGTGCCAGCGCAGCCAGTCTGACGTGGTGGTCCACAGGTCTCTGAACGGCTGGAAGTCCCTGATCAGCTTCTGCAGACGGTCGTACTGCAACACACAGACACAACAGCAGCCAGTCAGTACAAGTCAGTCTTTGTTTTTACATGTTGGTTGATTGCTCAACAACAACATAGTCTACATCAACTCAAGTAGAAGCCATTGGGGAGGCAGATTGAGTCAATAACGCCACACTCACGTTGGTGACAGGGATGCCAAACAGACGGTCCCGGTTGTTGTATGTCTGGGCCATGGTCTGGGACTCCTTCAGCTGCTTGCCCACACGTCGTACCTCGTTGGCCACCTCGTGGGCTCGGCTGATGTCAGTGTACCCAGCAAAGCCAGCCACCACCATCTGCAACAACATATGCAGAGAGGCAGGCAACATAAAATGGTAATTTTTTCAAAGGCTGGGGATTTAGGAGCATGACTCACCTGTAGAGAGTCCAGGCGCTCCTGGAAGTTGTTCTGGTCAGCCTGCTGGATCTTATTGAAGCGTTCTTCATCCTCCACATGCTGGGCCGACACCGTCTCCATCTGGGTCACAATCTTATGTGGCCACCCAATGGCTGTCCACCTGCACAGCAAAAGGGACAGACACTTTCAGCATTCACTCAAACCTATTATTTACTTCCTACACTCCTAGTTTGACCTCTCGTTCTCACTCCCATATAAAACCATTATCTCAATCTTTTAACGTGTGTTGTAACGGCCAGCCGTACTTTCCACTGAAGTCCTCATTTGACAGGCTGTAGAAGAACTCATCAATCAACTCGTAGTCTGACATGGCTTTGGATAGGAGATCCTGAAGAAAGTGACACACAAAATGAGAACTCTCTACTCAAGAGAATGATCTTTACAGTACCAAAAATGATTATCTATTCTATTCTATTCTATTCTGTATCATTTGGTCTCTGTACCTCATGGGCCTTGAGCTGATCTGGAATCTGCTTTATCCATTCACGTTGGTCGGTCAGCTCCTCAATGCTGTTCGGCTTCTCATGCAGCTTCCTGCTGACGGCCTTACACTCTTCACATGCCTGGAAACAAACAAACACACAGTACAGACTGGTATGAGCCAAATACTAACAAACTGAACATCACCTGCAATGCCTTCTAAACAACATTGACCATTGTACATCCTCAAGTAGATATTTCTGTACTTCTCTACACCAATCTCTTGAAAAGTCTTGAGACTTACGTCCTCCACTTGCTTGCGGAGCTTGAGGGCAAGCCGATCAAGCACGGCATTAGCCAGGGCTCTGCGTTTCTTGGACAGGCTCTGGCGGACACTCTCCACGCTGACGGTGAAGGGGCCGATGACGATGGAGGATGGGAAGGAGTGGTCTAGACGCTCCTTCTCCTTTAGGTGCTGCACCACCTCCCTTTTCACCTCCTGGGGAGTCTGCTCCTCCTGGCTGTGGGCCCTGGGACACATACACACAGACAATGACTTAGTTACAGACATAGTCACAGACACAAGTGGTACAACTACAACTTCTGCTGAGACAGGTCTTACTTGAGGAAGGTCTCTATGTCTGAGTTGTGCAGCTCTAGGTGTCTCTCATACTCGCGGGCGTAGGCCCGGAGTGGGATGGCAGCCTGACGCAGGGCGGCACGGACCCTCTCCCTCAGCTCTGCCACCGCAGGCTCCCACAGATCCACTGACTCCAACAGAGGAGTGCCACTGATGAACATCTTCTGCATCACAAACTGAGAGACACAGAAAGCCATCATCATCATATACCACAGAAGTGTGACACAAATCAATACTAACTTCATTACTGTAATTGATTATGGGATGCATGGTGTCTTGTCTTGCCTTATCCAGTTGAGGCACATTGTGGGTGGAAAGGATCCCCTTATCAAACAGGGTAATGATGGAGGTCTCAAAGTTCTCCAGAGGAGTGCTGTAGTGGACCCCAGTCACATCCAGAACCAGATCTACTAAGAACAGCGTGTTCTTCTTCGGCCTGTGGAGATACATAGGAATGCATAACTAAAATGCTGACCACACTGCTCGCGTTGCAAAATAAATGTACACATACATTTACATGTTATTCAATCATTTCATCTAAACTGCTTGCGAGCGTCTGCGTAGCCAGGCGCTAAAATAGAACTTGGTTCTATTTTTGACGCGTGACGTGCTGCAAGTCCCGCCTCTCCCATCTCCTGATTGGTTTTTAGGAGCATATACCCACGTGGGTGATTGAAAGATGAACTGAGGTCCACACTCCAGTCCAGTTGGTGGTGGTAATGCACCTTAAAGTTGGTTGCCAACAGACATATCAAGTCCACAGAAGAAGAAGAACACTACTACTACTACTACTACTACTACTACTACTACTACTACTACTACTACTACTACTACTACTACTACTACTACTACTACTACTACTACTACTACTACTACTACTACTACTACTACTACTACTACTACTACTACTACTAAATCAAATCAAATTGTATTTGTCACATACACGTGTTTAGCAGATGTTATTGCGGGTGTAGCGAAATGCTTGTGCTTCTAGCTCCGACAGTGCAGTAATATCTAACAAGTAATATCTAACAATTTCACAACATATACCCAATACACACAAATCTAGTAAGGAATGGAATTTAAGAATATATACATATATGGCCAAGCAATAACAGAGCGGCATGGACTAAGATACAGTAGAATATTATAGAATATAATACAGTATATACATATGAGATGAGTAGTGCAAGATATGTAAACATTATTAAAGTGACTAGTGTTCTATTTCTTAAAGTGGCCAGTGATTTCAACAGGCAGCAGCAGCCTCTAATGTGCTAGTGATGGCTATTTAACAGTCTGATGGCCTTGAGATTGAAGCTGTTTTTCATTATCTCGGTCCCAGCTTTGATGCACCTGTACTGACCTCGCCTTCTGGATGATAGCGGGGTGAACAGGCAGTGGCTCGGGTGGTTGATGTCCTTGATGATCTTTTTGACCTTCCTGTGACATCGGGTGCTGTAGGTGTCTTGGAGGGCGGGTAGTTTGCCCCCGGTAATGCGTTCGGCAGACCGCACCACCCTCTGGAGAGCCCTGCGGTTGCGGGCGGTGCAGTTGCCGTACCAGGCAGTGATACAGCACGACAGGATGCTCTCAATTGTGCATCTGTAAAAATGTGTGAGGGTTGTAGGTGCCAAGCCACATTTCTTCAGCCTCCTGAGGTTGAAGAGGCTCTGTTGCGCCTTCTTCACCACACTGTCTGCGTGGGTGGACCATTTCAGTTTGTCAGTGATGTGTATGCCAAGGAACTTGAAGCTTTCCACCTTCTCCACTGTGGTCCCGTCGATGTGGATAGGGGGGTGCACCCTCTGCTGTTTCCTGAAGTCCACGATCATCTCCTTTGTTTTGTTGACATTGAGTGAGAGGTTATTTTCCTGGCACCACACTCCCAGAGCCCTCACCTCCTCCCTGTAGGCGGTCTCGTCATTGTTGGTAATCAAGTCTACTACTGTTGTGTCGCCTGCAAACTTGATGATTGAGTTGGAGGCGTGCTTGGCCACGCAGTCATGGGTGAACAGGGAGTACAGGAGGGGGCTGAGCACGCACCCTTGTGGGGCCCCAGTGTTGAGGATCAGCGAAGTGGAGATGTTGTTTCCTACCTTCACCACCTGGGGGCGGCCCGTCAAGAAGTCCAGGACCCAGTTGCACCTAAGAGCTAGTCGCGAGGCCGCCATCCTCGTCGGCGCCAGGTGCTACTACTACTACTACTACTACTACTACTACTACTACTACTACTACTACTACTACTACTACTACTACTACTACTACTACTACTACTACTACCACTACTACTGAAGGAGGAGAGATTACTATAAACTAACTAGGTTTCCCCTTTTATCTGTCGATTAAATGTCGGAGTAGAGACAAAATGTTTGTACAAATTCTACAAAGATCCAGAAAAAAAGGACCTTGTGCATTTCAGGTAAAATAACAACCCAATGTTTATATGCCAGGACAAATTAGCTAGCAACAGCAAGCTAGCTAGCTAAATGTCCATGAATATTTCATGTGTTTCGACCTGTCCCCAAATTAATATATTTGGTTCAGAGTTAATTTTGATATTTCAACCTGCGCGTCTGGTGTAGATGTACAAAATCAACTTGCGCACGCGGACGCACACGCCCGGTCTAGACAGCATGTTAGGCAGCTGATAAGGGAGTAGGGTTGCAAAGTTACCGGTAATTTATAAAAGTTGCTGGAATTTTCTGAACCATTGGTAATTAACAGGGAATTTAGGGCAATCTATGGTAACTTTGGTAATTTATACTTGAATAACTTTTTAAACAATTATTCATTGATAGTATTCATTTTTCATGTCTGTGTTCATATTGTCTATGAGTTTCTAGTGGATAGACCATAATGGTTCAATAGAAAATACCCTAATTAATGAAAACAGCATCTAATCAACAATGTCATTATTTTCAATTAACTCTGCAACTCTTCCAACTATTGACTTTTTTCACAACTGCCACCAGTTTGAGGCCAAAACATTTACAACAAAGACATATTGACATAGTAAAACAAATAATAGTGTGTCAAAAAATATAAAGGATATTTCATGCTGAAAACCTCATATTAAACACCAATGGTTTTCACTAAGTTGATGGTTTATATTTAGGATAATGTTTTACAGCTTTTTCATTGTATTTTTAATCCAATGGATAATCAACGAGGGGCTATGCGTTCTATGGAAAATAATGAATGACGTGGAAGGTGTGTTCCGAATGTCCATCCACGGAGTTGCATTATTTTCCAGAGAACGCACAGAGCTGAGTTGATTATCCATTTTATACCATGGCTATAATTTAACACATTTGCCACAATAAATGTGTTCATTTGCTGGTAGAAATGTGTTCAACATCCACTGAAGTAACTAGCAGGTTTACTAGATAGCCACAGTAGTTGCCATGGGAACCAAACAAACAGACTTGCTAGTTTAGCTAACCAAACCATCAGTCCTAGCTTGCTATTATGAAAATCGAATTCAACAATGCCAATAATGTTTTCAATTCGACTTTTGGTTTCAAAAGCAGCTCAAACAAAACACGTAAGAATGAACTATAGCCATTGAATTCTACCGTACTAATATAACGTGCGATATAGGGAAATAATGCACGCTCTGGAATGCCCTTCAAGCCAATCAGAAACAAGTATTCAACAATCTTATTTTATATATTGTACATGTGATAAGGCCACACAGAGGGCCAGAGATAATTACAGACACCTGTGATAATCTGAAGTCCCCAAAAAGGCCACTAGATGTCACGTGATAAAAAAACATTTAAAAACTCGCAAGTTACCTGAATCTGGTAGTTTACTTGTAAACTTCTAAAGATACCACTAATATAACCTCCCTTTGCAACCCTATGAGGGAGACAAAGAAAGAGAAGAGAGAGTAGTTAGAAGGAAAGAGAGCAATAAGAGACAGAGGGGATGTGATCTCACTTGTAGGGGCTGTTGATGAGGTCGGAGCCCCAGGTCAGGTCCTGTGGGCAGGGGAGAACACTGTGGCAGGCATCCAGCAGCAGCTGAGCCAGGCTGACCAGGGAGTCCTGCACAAGGAAGCGCAGAGAGTCCTGCAGGCTGTAGCGCACCAAGGCCATGAGGCTGCACAGCTTGGACATCCTGTACACCTCCCAGCGGGACTCCGTCAGACTAAACCAGCCAGGGCCCACGTCTCTCAGGCTGGTGTGGATGCCCTTACACAGGGTGGTCACCCATGAGTCCCGCAGGAACAGCTGCACCTGAGGGGCCACGAGACCCCAAGGATGGGTTAGCTTTTGATGTGTATGGCTTTCAATGTATGGTGGTGTATGGCTGCTGTTGTAAGTAACTGTCTTGAATTTCCCAACAATTAGAATTCTTCAAAGACATTCTTCAGAGAGCAGGACTGGTGCCAGCAGAATATCTGAATATGTCTAGGGCTGTGTGTTACAATACCTGTGCATGTGTCTGAGACTGGGTGAGCTCAAACTCCTCTAGACGCAACGACTTGGTGAAGGTGACATGGAACAGACTCATAGCAGCCACCCTGTTGCACTCGCCCCGCACTTTGGACAAGGCAGAGATCACCTCCGGCTTGGTGAGCAGGGAGTTGAAGGCAAACGCAGCCCGGTTCTTCTCAAAGGGGTATGTAGGGACAGACACAAAGCCTGTGGACATGTCAGGTATACAATGTTTAAGAGGTGTCATTACAGGTGTCATCGACTGCTCATCTCGTAAGCCCATTTCTTTCAGGGTTCACGAAGAGACCCTGGCCCCCTGAACCCAATCTTAGGTCTTACTAGTAGAGGGATGGGCATTTTAAATGTTTCACTATTCCAATAATATTATTTTTAAAAATCAGATATCCCCCCCCCCACAGTTCTCCGGTAGTTATTGGAAACAGTGGGTTGAGCCAGTGGGTTGAGCCACCCAAAAGGTACCGATTGGATGGCTCCATCCGCGACATTTCAAGCTAGCTGCGGTGTGAGCTTACAGAACGTTCTTAACTCTGTTATATCAGGGCTGCAGGTAGCCTAGCAGTTAAGAGCATTAGGCCAGTAACCCTCTGGTTCGAATCAGCGAGCCGACTAGGTGAAAAATCTGCCGGTGTGCCCTTGAGCAAGGCACTTAACCCTAATTGCTCTGGATAAGAGTGTCTGCTAAATGACTAAAATGTTAAAAGTACATCAGGTCTTGTGGAACCTCCCTTATGTGTGTGCCTGTAATTGCTATTTGAAGAGGAGAAAATAGCATACCGTTGTCAGGGCTGACTGGAGGGCTAAATGCACTAGCTCATTGCACTGTCATAAAAACTAAATTCAAAAGTTTGTTGTTTTATTAAATAAAGGAATTTCAAATGTCATGGTATATCCATGTATGTATCAATGTCACAATGATAATATCATTTAATTTAGACAAAGCTTTTTCATTGTTATAATCCCACATGTAAAAATACTATAGTATTCTCTGTAATGTTTTTGCGGACTTTACTGTAGTATTCACTGTAGTATTTACTGTAGTATTGCGGATATGACTTTAGTATACTGTAGTATTTACTGTTTACTATCGTATAAATACTATAAAAAACTGTAGTATTTACTATTGTAATTACTGTTGTGTTTTTGCGGACTGTATTAACTGTAGTATTTACTGTAGTGTTTTTGCGGACTGTAGTATACTGTAGTATTTACTGTAGTAATTTTGCGGACATTATTGTAGTATTTACTATAGTGTTTTTGTTTTATCTTTGACATAGCAGTGGGGGCTTCCTTGAGGAAACCTACTGGACAAAATACTCGAAGAGAACATTTTCCATAACCTATACTGGACTGAGGTCTGAATGGATAGTTCAGAGCTTCTGCTCTTTTCTATAACCTGTAGGGAACACAATATATGGTCTATACTTGTCATGTAGGTTTCTCACTTATGGGTGGCACAAATTGGGATATGGGAGAGGAGAATGGGAATGGGCAGGGTATATACAAATTAAATACTGTAGTATATGCTATGGTAATTACTGTAGTGTTTTTGCGGACTGTAGTTTTTTTGCGGTCATTTCTGTAGTGTTTTTGCAGTCTGTAGTATACTATACTATTTATTATAGTATTCTAGTATATTACAACATTATATATAGTAAATACTACACGATCGAGGGATACTACAGTGTGTAGTATAGTATTCTACGGTATACTACAGTTTACTACATAATTCTATAGTAAGTACTGTAGTATTCTATAGTAAACAAAAAATGTATGCACGCATGACTGTAAGTTGCTTTGGATAAAAGCGTCTGCTAAATGGCATATTATTATTTATTATTATTATTAAACTGTAGTATAACACTCACACAAGTAATCGAATACTAACGTCCGTTCGGATATTCAAATAACCGTGCCCATCCTTAGGTCTTACATCTTCAAAAAAAACTCCAGTGAACTCACCATTCTGGGGCACACGTTCTGGCTCTCTCTGGGGAAGGGTGATGTGGGAGAAATCCTCAGGGTTTGTGAGCACCACCCTATCAAAGCTGATCTGGTTCATGCAGCGGTCATACTCCAGATTGATCTCCTTCTCCAGACGTACAATACACTCCTGCAGCCTGCCATCACAACACAACATTATACTGAAATGCATCCTAAAGGTAATGACAGTCTCCTAACATTCATATCCTGCTCTTATTCAATAAACACAGCCTGATGGTCAGTCTGCTTTAGAAAAAAGATAGCTAAACAGTCTCTACCATGAATGAAAGGCGAACTGTAAAATATGAGTATATGATTAGAAAACTAGGGATGTCTCTCACAGTTTGAGTCGGAGGCCAGGTGTAGAGAGGGCATGCTCTTTGACACGGGCAAGGCTTTGTGCATTGAGAGACGAGGTGCCACTCCACACTGGCATACAGTCTACAGACAGGTGGTAGAGCAGCAGGGCCTCTGTGTTCTCTCTGCAGCGCTGGGCAAACTGCACCCGCTGGGAAAACAGTCGAGGGTCCTCTGCACTGAACAGCAGCCTGATCCTGGGGATCCAGTACTGAGTGGCTAACTGCAGAAACACACTTACTAAAAGCAAGGAGATGGGACAGAGAGTGAGACTTTGTGTATGTTGTATACTGGTCAAGAACATACTGCATTGATACACTAGAAGTGGTAATAAACTATTACTTGTTCTCCGTCCTTCATTTAGGACTGGTTTTCCATTGGCATCCCTCACTCTGCCATTCCTGTCGGCCTTCTGGACCAGATAAAGCCCTTTCTCCTGGTTGTAGTCAAGAACCCCAACAAACTGCCAACTGTACTCCAGGGTGGGGCTTTTTGGGTCCTCTACAGAACCAGAGAAGACAAGAGAGAGGAAACTGTCTAACTATTTTCTGTTCTCATGATGAAGAATGATATAATATAATAATAATAGTATGCCATTTAGCAGACGCTTTTATCCAAAGCGACTTACAGTCATGTGTGCATAAATTTTTACGTATGGGTGGTCCCGGGGATATGATACACTATTCACTACAACAGACAACTTGTAGGTTACCATCATTTCTATTTGGGACATCCCTCTGTAAACAGCTGTTTCAAATTAAGAGCTATTCTCGAAGAACCGACCTGGTGGTATCTTGTCAGTGGTGGGCAGCAGAGCTTTGGCAGGTATGGGTTTGTGATCAGTTGATCCATTTTCATAGCCCAGGGCAAGCCAGTCTTGAGGAGTGCGACAGTCAAACTCCTCATTGTCAAACACCTAGGGGAGAAAACCAAGAAAGACGAGTGAGTCAATCAAGGACCACATTGTGATAGTGTTTTATTAACGGAAAATGTACGTTTTAACCATGAAGATGTTTGAGGAGCTCACCTCCAGAGGCAGGTAGTTTGAGACAGGTGGGAGTGGATTCTCTGGTGTGGTCACATGTTCTTCACTGCTCTGGTGTCGAGGCATCAGGAGGTTGGAGTCCATGCCTTGCTCTATCAGGAGCTGGGCAATATCCAGCTTCAGGTACTCCCGTCTGCGCCTGAGAAGAAAAACAACACATTAGAGCATTCACTTCCCCATACTGTGTGCGTGTGCGTGCGTGTGTGTATTTAGCTGTGACCCTCACAGATGCACACACCTCTCTATCTCTATCTTGCGGGGATGCTGTCCAGGCAGGCTGTGGTAGGGCAGCTGGACCTTGGCTGTGTAACCTCCAGTGGAGAAGTCAGTGTGCTGCTGGTGCTGGGTGGTGGGACCATGCATGTCCCTCTCAACCAGGCTGTGCAGGTCAGACGGAGTCCGGAAGGTGGTTACTGAAGAACAGAATACATATTGGCCAAAATAAATAAATTGTTATTAACAGAATATACCAATACATATTTACACATACACAAATGTAAAGTAGCTGATGTATTTCAGTGTGATGTTTATCATCCAACAGGCCCTGGGTAAAAGCCTCACCTTTAGGAGTGTTGGACTCATAGCCCGCTTGGCACAGTAAGCTCTGTTGGGTTTCTGGCCCCTCTGTACAAGACTGATACATGAATAGGCAGTTAGTTTATGCTCATAACTGAATAAAATATTTCTTAGAGCAAACATATCACAGGGTAGTGTTTTTAGCTGTCCTCTGACTACAGTTGAATGTGTGGGCTTATTATTACCTGTAGACAGGGTTTTGCTGCTGTAGTGATGAGCTCGGAGTAGTACCCTTTCTGCTCAATCACAGGGTACTTTCTGACAGTGGGGAGTTTGCTCCTGTGACTTTGCAGTGGGGGTAACTTCTGGTCTGAAAGTTTGCTAGGGGGGTGTGGCACAAATACACCAACCCCATGGGGATGGTTTTGGGGGACCTGCTTTGCGTCCATCTTCAGACACACATCTGTAGACGTCTGCCTCACAAAATAAGCGTTAGTAAGCATTCCAGCAGGCGCTTCTTTGTAGCTACCGGTATGTATTATTTTCAATGAGCAACCCATTATTTTATCATGACAGATAGGCCTGGACTATTGCAAATGCCCAACTGGCTTTTACATAACCAGCTAGAGAACGTATACATTATGCTAATTTAGGACAAAAGCACTTTAAATGAATGCATGTCATGGACAAGCAACTAAATTGACGGTGGCTGATAACGTTGCTGGCTGGCCAGCTAGCTAACGTTAGCTAGAAAACACAGAATGTAGGCTACATGATGGAGTAAATAATATAGTTTGAAACTTTCTAACAGGCTGTATATATTCAAGAACATTAAACCTTAAATAGCCTTCGGAGATGTTATGCGTTTTAATAGATAAAACTTGCCACTTGTTGTTAACTTCAAATTTACCTTCAACTTCCTTCACTCTGTGCTGAAATCTCGGTTTCCAAGTGCCCTAGTTGAGGACGCGGCAACGGTTGTCAGGGAGGTCTATCAAACAGCTGGGGCGGTCCTTTGTCTTCTTCTAACTTCTCTTAAAGGGAAAGTAATCCAAAAGTAACTGAAAGTAATCAGTAGGCCTACTACAGTGCTCTAGACAGACCATTTTATGTCAGGCTTTGCTGTTTAGGGCTACTAAATCTATGTCTATATAAAGTTTAGCAAATTAAGTTGAAAAGGCAAATTAAAGGGACCATCATTATATTATAAGATTTGGTGGGCAATGCTTTCTGTTCTGTAGCACATCAATGTCAATATCTTCTACATTTTTTCAAAACTGCCATAGTTGTAGAAAATACATTCCAATCTGGGTTTAGGGCTACTAAAACTTTTAATTTGAAGGTAGGTCTCTCTTCCTAACGGGTTAACTCCTAAAAGCCGAAATCAATGATGCTGCTGATAATGACAGTAATGAAAATGATGGTAATGATAATTATGGTAATGATAATGATGGTAATGATAATGATGATTAGCTAGAACATTGGAATGGACATGTTTATTAACTCAAATGAGCAATTCCTTCCTGTCCCACCCTGAATGTGTCTGGTAGTGGAGAAACCCCACTGACCCGTACGATCCCCACACCACCGGGTCACAAGAGCTCCATATCCCGCTCTGTTTCCTATGGCAGATGACAGACACCACACACCTTGGTCTAAACCCACCACAGCAGCCTGGGATTGTGTAAAATTACTTGTTTCACGTGTCTGAACTTTCACGTGTCACTTATAGACAACACTGCAGACTAGGACAAAGTCAGGATGAAATGGGGTAGAGGGAGGAGGTGTAGGAGGGTAGAGGTGTGTGGGGGGGGTTGTGTTCAAAAGTGAGGCCATCTGAGGGTCTCTGACTTGCCGTGACCATAGGGATCCACATCACCTCTAATGAACTGGACAGGACAGGGAGCAATGAGATGATTAGGAGCCTTTTTCCAAGAAAGCCAATTGTGTGTATGGAGGGAACATAGGGCTAGGGGGGGCTGGTTATATCATCCTCTTGCTTAAATTTTCTGATAACATAGGCTCAAACATTATCACTGTCATTGAACTTAAGGACCCTATTCCTATGTTTCTGCCCTTTCTCTTCCACCCATCTTCCCTCTCTACATCACCTGGATTCACCCCAGTTACAGTGATGATCATCATACTTTAACTTCTGACTGCACAGACCCTTCTACAACGTGTCTGTGTCTCCAAATGATGACCTCACCCTTTGGGGGAACCCAGTCCCTTTGATGATGTCAATGAGGGAATAACCCACATCTGATGACATTATCAGAGCCCTCAGCTGTTTGATGCTGACAACCTTTCCTGGCCTGGGTGGCTCATGAATCATTAGCTAGTGTCTGATCATGTTGAGGAGATCAGTGAGAAGAATTACCCAGAGGGATCCAAAGAAAACCATATTAGCCCCAGAGTCTCTGATGGGGTGGTGGTCATCAAACGTGGCTGCCTGCCATGGTTGGCGGGTGGCTCCGTGGTCAAAGCTGCAGCTAGAATCCACCACTGTGCTGAGCTTTGTCGGACAGATGTGTGGTTAGCAGCACTCGGTGTGTAGAGCTGATTAAAATCGAACAAGCTTGTCATAGCTTTGATCTACCCAGCGGCCCCTCTCCCAGTCCCTCTCCTCTCTCGCTCCAGTCCAGCGCCACGGCAGCCATCCTCATACTAATCAGCTGGCATACCATCAACCACGAAACAACCGTATTAACCCCTACACGCCCACCCACTTCTCTTATCCCTTTCTCTTGCCTCTCTCGCCCAGGATCTTGTCTTGGCTTCCACCCACCCTGCTTTATTCCCCCTCTCTTTTCCTCCCTGTCTCCTGCTTTTACAGCGTTGGGCTGTAGTGGGGGTCATGCCTGCATGTGACTCCCATTTTACAGTAATGAGAGCAGCATGTGCTGCTGCTAACTTTAGCTCCTCATGATGACCAGATGTTGGCTGGTGTGATCAAACACTGCCAACTCCCCCCTCAGCAGTGTCACATTGTTGGGGGAACCATAAGAACTAAGTGGCCACAGTCACACACATACCCACACCTTATTTTCCTTATAAAACCTACATGCCAACTACAACTGTGGACGCACCCTTGTGTGCGTAGATGCAAATTATTCTAGCATGCATCTGTGTTTAGCAGAACATAAACAAATTGAGGCATAGCTTAGCGCAGTATCATGGAGCCCCCCCGCAAGGTCTGAGTTAGACCCGCCCCCCCAAAAGAAACATTTGCCGTTTTATTGCTAATCTCATGCTATTCTACACTATTTGCCATTTTGCCATGGCACCATGTGGTCGCCTAGGCAGAGAACTCCTGTACAATACATTTTGTAAATATTTATTTTTATTATAATTTTTTGGGGGAATAGCTAAGTGAGCATAGACGAAGTCTGGGTTACATCTATTTGTTTCCTGCCCGTGAATCTGATGGCAAATCAGAAAACAAGATGGTGCCGACAGACACGGTCACCCTGTTTCTAGCTCCTAGACAACTTTGCCATATTTGTTGTTGTGGTAATTTCTTACATTATTTGCTCAGAACATTTCTTGTATTATTACCTTCAGCCAGAAATAACTTTCGGATATTAGATCGGCGGTCACTCACCAGAATTTCGAGCAGAAATTTGATTTCTCTGACCTGAACCCTTTGTTTGAACTTCCGGAGGCAGCTGCACCAAAACGCTGATGCCGGAGAAGAGGTAGAAGGAGTGGGGCCCTAGTCAGACTCAGGCGGCATGCATACCGTCCACCGCTTCCTAGTATATTACACGCTAATGTTCAGTCCCTGGACAATAAAGTAGACAAGCTCAGGGCGAGGATCTCCTTCCAGAGAGACATCAGGGGCTGTAACATACTCTGTTTTTTGGAATCATGGCTCTCTCCAGATATATTGTCCCCATGCATTCAGCCAGCGGGGGTTCACCTTCCATCATGCAGACAGGAAGAAAGCTCTCTGGGAAAAAGAAAGGTGGATGGGTTTGTTTCATAATGAACAACTCATGGTGTGATTGTAGTAACGTACAGGAACTCAAGTCCTTTTGTTCTCCCAATCTGGAATACCTCACCATCAAATGCCGACCGCATTACTTCCTGAGATAATTTTCTTCGGTCATCGTCACTGCCGTGTATATTCTCCCACCCAAGCCGACACTGCGACAGAAAGAACAAAGAACTACACTGGACTATGTGCAAACTGGAAACCGCATATCCTGAGGCCACATTTATCGTAGCTGAGGATTTAAATAAAGGAAATCGGAGGAAAAAGCTAACGAAATTCTATCAACACATCTCCTGTGCTACACGTGCAAAATGGACCCTGGATCATTGCTACTCTCCCTTCCGGGACGGCTACAAGGCCCTACCCCGCCCTCCCTTCGGCAAATCAGATCACGCCTCCTTTCTGCTCCTTCCCACTTATAGGTAGGAACTTAAACAGGAAGCTCCCGTGGTAAAGACTTTTCAACATTGGTCTGACCAATTGAAATCTAGCTAGTTAAGGACCATATCACCTCCACCTTACCCGATACCCTAGACTCACTACAATTCGCATATCGCTCAACAGATCCACGGACGACGCAATCGCCATTGCACTGCACACTGCCCTATCCCACCTGGACAAGATACACACTTAAGTAAGAATTCTGTTCATCAACTACAGCTCAGCCGTCAATACCATAGTGCCCTCCAAACTCATCACTAAGCTCAGGGAAGGAAGGAGCTGATCGTGGACTACAGGAGACAGCAGAGAGAGCACACCCCCATTAACATCACAGTGAAGAGGTTCAAAAGCTTCAAGTTCCAGTGGACATCACTGACAACTTGAAATCGTCCCTTCACACAGACAGTGTGGTGAAGAAGGCGCAACAGCTAAGACCCTCACAAACGTCTACAGATGCACCATTGAGAGCATCCTGTCGGGCTGTATCACCGCCTGGTACGACAATTGCACCGTCCGCAACCAGCAGAGCTCTCCAGAGGGCGGTGCGGTCAGCCCAAGGCATCAGGGGCACACTCGGTCACTCAATTTTTTGGGGGGGGGGTTGGTTCTTTCTGTAATGAAAAGTACTATAGAAGCTGAATACATTTGTATTATTATTATTATTATTATTATTATTATTATGAGGCTGATACTTTCTTTTCAGTTTTAAAGCTAATTTCCTGTAATTCTATTTTTATGACACGACCTCCGGGGGACCCCACCCGCCTTGCAGGGGCTGTGGGGATGTGTGCTACGCCAGTGGGCATGTGTTCCTGTTGTAATCTTATAACATAATATGCATGTCGTTTTAAATTCAGACATAAACGATGCATGCTGTTTGTATTTCCAATCAAGGGAACATTGTGAATAGTTTCCAGGCATCATTTGCATGTGAAACCCTTCCAAACTTACAGACTGAAGCTGAGGTGTGCTTTACTACTAATCATAGAGATCCCTTATCTTGGAGGGGACTGATGGGATTAGGTGACCAATTAAAAATAAAAATAAAAATGTATTTGTCACAAGCGCTGAATACAAGTGTAGATTTGACCGTGAAATGCTTACTTACGAGCCCTTTCCCAA